TCACGTAAACACCCGGACATTTAAAGTCACGTCCCTAGTATTACAAGGACACCCAGACATTTAAACTCACGTCCCTAGTATTAAGCGGACACCCGGACATTTAAAGTCACGTCCCTAGTATTACACGGACACCCGGACATTTAAAGTCACGTCCCTAGTATTACACTGACAACCGAACATTTAAAGTCACTTCCCTACTATTACACGGACACCCGGACATTTAAAGTCACGTCCCTAGTATAACAAGGACACCTGGACATTTAAACTCACGCCCCTACTATTACACGGACACCCGGACATTTAAAGTCACATCCCTACTATTACACTGACAACCGGACATTTAAACTCACGCCCCTAGTATTACACTGACACCCGGACATTTAAACTCACGTTCCTAGTATTAAACGGACACCCGGACATTTAAAGTCACGTCCCTAGTATTACACGGACACCCGGACATTTAATGTCACGTCCCTAGTATTACAAGGACACCCAGACATTTAAACTCACGTCCCTAGTATTAAGCGGACACCCGGACATTTAAAGTCACGTCCCTAGTATTACACGGACACCCGGACATTTAAAGTCACGTCCCTAGTATTACACTGACAACCGAACATTTAAAGTTACGTCCCTAGTATATATTACACAGCAAAGTCTTCAGTATCATTTGACTAGAAAATATCTGAAGATTTTTACGGTGGTTTCTGTTACTTGTTTCTGTTGTTTTAATTCTTCTCTTAATTTCTTTTCTTGCTTGTTTTCTGATTTGTACACAATCTGGATATGTCGGATAATGATTCTAATTGCGGATGTTGTGAATATTGTATCTATATTTAAAGTGTCCTGTGTTACTGAGATAGATCTTATTTGGTTTTATTTTTTTCGTTCATATACCTTTCCTATCTTTATAACTCTCTTTAAAACTTCTCTACATTTCCTGGAATTCAGAATTCTCGAGTGATTTCTCTACCTCCTAAGGGCCAGTTATCTTCTGTCAGACCTTTTCATGCTGCTCGTTCACACTAAAGACTATCAAACCATTTCCCATTGTTAGTTACCTTTCATCCACACAGTTGTTTCGTGTTTATGTCATATCGATCTATATTTCTTTTAAGCCTTTCTTTCTGCTCCATGCAAATCTCAATGCCCCAAATCCTCATTTTCTTGTTATAACCGAAGAAAACCTCAATCTTTTTACAATTCTCACAATATTCATCCACCGTTGCGCAGGCCATGAGCAGGTTATACACTACTGACGGTAAGGTTACATCGTAGGAATGCTATGGAATGAGAATATTTTGAACAAAATCCAGCAGAAAGTTGCTTTGGTGATGTACTTAAATAAGTTGGTGAGTAATAGTAACATTGATCTTGACCTCGGAACTGTGAATCATGAACTCATCTGAGATATTTGCATAGTTGATTCCTGCATAAAATTGTATAAAAAATCCCAAATAAAAAAAGTGACGCAACTCAACGTGACGGGGCGAAATAGACCGGAGTAACAACATCCCACACATAATTGAATGTTGAGGGTATGATTTTTTTTTGTGTGTAGGCGTATCCAAGTATGTAAGACATAGAAAAATCCAACCAACAGCCGCGCCCTCAACATGGCTACAAATGTGTTATATCCGTATATTGCGAATCGTCACAATGACAATGTATTGCGTCTAAAACGTCACGAATGCTTTGGCTGGTACTGATCACGGTATAAAAATTATATATTCTATGTCATGCTATATTTTCAATGTTACATACTTATTTATGGTAAGCTTATCTTAAAAAGTATTGATAACGTTAATAGTATAAATACGTTTCTCGAGTTACATAACAAAATACTCTTTCATGAAATTCATACGAAAAACATCAGGAAAATTCAAACTCAAATTCCATAAAACTAGGGCCAAATATGAACAAAAATATAGATTCACTCGAGGACTCCTGAAAAAGTACAAGGAGAATAAGACCAGGTGTTTAATCAGAGTAAGCGTTTTCTGTTTCATCGACGACAACCGCCATGCAAACCTTGGTCAATCCAAGATAATAATGTCACGTTTACAACAACGAAACCAACAGGCATTATATACATCAAGCTCTAAAAATTCTCAAAGTCTTATAACTTATAAGATTGGTCAATTCAATATTTCACAATCACTCGCGTCTATACAGACGGCAATTCATTAGTAATGGAACAAACCCGCCTTTTACATCACGTATTCAAATATTGGTATACAAATTGATAGCACATATAAAAAACAGTCTTTCCTCAGCAACAACGCTCATGTGCGTGTTAAGCATATCATTTAGCATGTTAGGTTTCAAAAGACGGTATTGTTTGTGACGAATTTCACATGCATTTCCCCCTGAAGTATTGCATAATAGATTGAAAGTCATTACATTAACCGTTGCCAATGTGTAGATATTACAGTTGGTCACGCAACAGCTATGTAAGAGATTCGTTGTTCTATTTCGTATACATATATCTATGCATGGGTGGTCTGTGTGGACAGCGCTGTGGATTACACAACGATTCTCTTAGCTACAGTCACTTCTACACAACAATTTTTTGAGCTACACTGACTTTTACACATTTCTGTAAGCTACTATGTTGTCAACACAACACTTGCCTGAACTAAACTGACTCCTACGCAACAATTCTCCGAGCTACAATGACTCCTACACAGCGTTCTCTGAGCTACACTGACTCCTACACAGCATTCTCTGAGCTACACTGACTCCTACACAGCATTCTCTGAGCTACACTGACTCCTACACAACACTTCTCTGAGCTACACTGACTCCTACACAACACTTCTCTGAGCTACACTGACTCCTACACAGCATTCTCTGAGCTACACTGACTCCTACACAGCGTTCTCTGAGCTACACTGACTCCTACACAGCATTCTCTGAGCTACACTGACTCCTACACAGCATTCTCTGAGCTACACTGACTCCTACACAACACTTCTCTGAGCTACACTGACTCCTACACAACACTTCTCTGAGCTACACTGACTCCTACACAGCATTCTCTGAGCTACACTGACTCCTACACAGCATTCTCTGAGCTACACTGACTCCTACACAACACTTCTCTGAGCTACACTGACTCCTTCACAACGTTCTCTGATCTACACTGACTCCTACACACCACTTCTCCGAGCTACACTGACTCCTACACATCCATTCTCTGAGCTACACTGACACATACACAGCGTTCTCTAAGTTACAGTGTTTTCTACACAACATTTCTCTGATCTACACTGACTCCTACACAACACTTCCCTGAGCTACATTGACTCCTACACAGTGTTCTCTGAGCTACACGGATTCATACACAGCCGTTCTCCGAGCTGCACTGACTCCTACACAGCATTCTCTGAGCTACACTGACTCCTACACAACACTTCTCTGAGCTACACTGACTCCTACACTACCATACTCTGAGCTACACTGACTCCTACACAACACTTCTCTGAGCTACACTGACTCCTACACAACACTTCTCTGAGCTACACTGACTCCTACACAACACTTCTCTGAGCTACACTGACTCCTACACAACACTTCTCTGAGCTACACTGACTCCTACACTACCATACTCTGAGCTACACTGACTCCTACACAACACTTCTCTGAGCTACACTGACTCCTACACAGCGTTCTCTGAGCTACACTGACTCCTACACTACCATTCTCTGAGCTACACTGACTCCTACACAACACTTCTCTGAGCTACACTGACTCCTACACAACACTTCTCTGAGCTACACTGACTCCTACACAACACTTCTCTGAGCTACACTGACTCCTACACAACACTTCTCTGAGCTACACTGACTCCTACACAACACTTCTCTGAGCTACACTGACTCCTACACTACCATTCTCTGAGCTACACTGACTCCTACATAACAATTCTCTGAGCTACATTGACTCTTACACAACAATTCTCTGAGCTACACTGACTCCTACACAACCATTCTCTGAGCTACACTGACTCCTACACAACACTTCTCTGAGCTACACTGACTCCTACACAGCGGTCTCTGAGCTGCACTGACTTTTACACACAAAAATTCTCTGAGTTACAGTGGTTTTCTTCACAACAATTCTGTGGGCTACTGTGTTTTCTACACTGCTATTCTCTGAGCTAGAGTGACTTCTGAACAACTTTTCTGCCATTGTAATCACAGTTGTTCATGTTTTAAAGACAAAATAAAAATGATGATAATAAAAGCACGGAATGGATATCTACGCGTTCAGTAACAGTCTGTCGTCTCTGAAACTCCAAATCAATATTTCTATATCTTCTTAAACTAAAGCTTTTCCCAACACTTCGCCGCTTTGACAAATTATCTTCTTCACTCTATTGACCGTCTTCTTATTTCAAGCGGCGAAAGAGAGAGGCTTGAGGAGCTCCCAATATTTCTCTCCGAACTAAATGTAAAAATATATGTATATACTGTGATGGATACTGACAGTCTATCCTGTCGCTTGTCGTCCGCCATGCTATACTGCCGTGCTATGGCCATGAGGCTATACAATTGTAACTAATTAGGCTCAGGTGGATGCTACTCAGATTCGTTCTCACTGGTCAATAGCTATATAATTAGTTTTACGTAGTTTACATCTAACAGATGTGGTTACATTCATGTCGGCACTAAAAATCATCAGATTTTATTGTCGTGATAGGAGAAAAGGGTTGCGTGCGTTCCTCGAACCGTTGCCAGGTCAAAAAACTGTACATGCATTTTTCAAACGCATGTTTGAGAGAGAAAAAGAACAGGTGTGTTGATTAAATTTACCTGTCTAAATGTTTCTGGCATTTATCTTCTATATTCCACATTGCATACAAAGCCCTTGGATTCCAATTTTCACTTAAATGGCATGTCAGCTACTTACACCATTAAATCTTACCTTTTATCATCAGAACGTTTGTTCTGGTGATTACTTGCTGAAGTAGGCGTATGACTGGATATCAGGATTAGAAGGAACTGGTCGGTGAGGGCTGGAATGGAGTTCAGGACAAGACGGAGTTAATCGGTGAGGGCCGAAGTGGTTTTCAAGACAAGAAGGAACTGGTCGGTGAGGGCTGGAATGGAGTTCAGGACAAGACGGAGTTAATCTGTGAGGGCCGAAGTGGTTTTCAAGACCAGAAGGAAGTGGTCGGTGAGGGCTGGAATGGAGTTCAGGACAAGACGAGTTAGTCGGTGAGGGTAAGACCAGAAGGAACTGGTCGGTGAGGGCTGGAATGGAGTTCAGGACAAGACGAAGTAAGTCGGTAAGGGTCGAAGTGGTTTTCAAGACCAGAAGGAACTGGTCGGTAAGGGCCGGAGTAAAGATTAGGACAAGGGTAACTGGTCGATGAGGGAAGACCTGGCCCCGAGGACAAGAAGGAACTGGTCGGAGAGGACCGGACTGGAGAACAGGACAAGAATGAACTGGTCGGAGAGGACCGGAGTAGAATTCGGGACCAGAAGGAAATAGTCGGTGAGGGCTGGAGTGGAGATAGGACAAGAGTTAACGTGTCGATGAGGGAAGAGCTGGAGATAAGGACAAGAAATAAATGGTCGGACAGGGCCTGAGTGCAGTTCAGGTCAAGAAGGAACTGATCGGAGAGGGCCGGAAGGAAGTTCAGGTCAAGAAGGAACTGGCTGGTTAAGACAGGAAAGATGATCAGAACAAGAAAGGACTGGTCGATGAGGACCGGGATAGAATTTAGGACGAGAAGGAACTATTCAGTGAGGGCCGGACTGGAGATCAGGACAAGAAGGAACCTGTCGGAGAGGACCAGAGTGGAATTCGGGACAAGAAGGAACTGGTCGGAGATCGACGGAGCGAACATTATGGTGTGGGATGGTATTACAACACATGGAGGGACTCCATTGGTTAGTGGATGGCAGCTTGACCATTGTGCGCAACTACTGCGAAGTTATGCGTTATCGCATTAAACAGTTTATCAGTTATTGCCTGAATAACATTATTTTGCAGCAGGACAACAGACGGCCACATATTGCTTAAGCATATCTAAAGCAGCAGAACATCAACTTACTACCTTGGCTACTTTGTGACCAGATTTGTCTCCAATCTCACATACGGGTATTTCAGGTGAAATGGACCCAAGATGTTGTCATAATATGACATAGTTTCTTTGTAATTTTTCTCTTTCACCCTGCCCGCGTGGAACGTTTGTAAGTTTCCTTTAAACGTCATCGCCTGCAGGGTCCGCTGATTGGGATCACAACTATTCGAGTTATCCAGGAACTGCGCTTTTCTTTATTTTATACCATAGATTCATCGTTTTAGATGTTGTCATTTAAGCTATTTCCGATAAGAATTTGTCATCAATTTTTCGAACACGTACTATTCAGAACTGTCTGAATTAAGCTGATATTCCATCCTTAGTGCATGACAGCCGGTTACCACTTCCACCGTATTTTAGTATCTACCAATGATGCCTTCAATCATTCTCCGTCCTGGTGTCATTAGACATCAATCTTTCCCTCCGTCAAAAGTCAATGGTGCCATCAATCTTTTCACCGTTAGGTGCCGATGGTGCCGTCAACCTTTTTTCCCGCCCTGGTGCCAATGGCGCCCTCAGTCTTTTCTTTACCTTGGTGTCAATCGTTATATCTAGTTTCTGTTATCAGACAGGCCTTTTGATAGCCCGTTGTGGCGTATTTCACTTCTCATCTTAAAAAAAAAACTTATATTGAGTGTTACTGTGACTGCTGGTCATTCTATTAAAATTCTCCGTCTTTCTCCTTCTCTCCATCTTTCCCAGATTATTGTATATTCTGAATAAAAAATTGTCAGGATGGCTATTTCTATATCTATTGGATCAAAAATCATAAAAAAAAACAAGAAAACGTCTTCACAATTTCTTATGAACAGTTTAAACGTGCTGCTACTAATGTTCATTGGAACAGCAGTATCCGGCCAAAATTAACAAAATTCATTTAAGTCATTTACATATAAAATCGTTCAAAAGACACACTAGTTAATATCACCTATTAATATGATTTAGATAAGGTGCAGTAGAGTCACACAGCGAACTTAACAGCATCATACAGTTGTTTCTCACATTTGAGACTTGTCTATGCTGCGTTGAAATCCAAAGTTCACTAAAAGTCAACCAAACATATGTACACAAGGACAAAAATGCTTTTTACATTACGTGTATTGTAGTATATAATGTAGAGCAGGAAATAAACATTATCACAATATAGTGGTGCTTCATTTATCTATACACTCAGACATTTTCTCTAAATAGGGAATCATAATAAGCATTTCTTATGCTGTGCCTTTATATCCGTTTTAACACACATTCTTCATTACTACTGATTACCACACCTATATCGCCACGTCGTCCGGATGATACAGAAGCGTTGATAGACACTCGTTGTTGATTGGCGACACGGTGTCTGTACAGATAACACAGTTCAACATTAACATGGATTATTGAAAGGAGCTTCTCGATCTTATGTTTTTAATAACTCATATATTACTTTTATTAAAGGCGACGTTCTCACGCTAAACTGCAAGTGCCCGACTAATGTCGACGAAGTACATAGAATTAAGGCATACAAAACACCTGGTATGATACACAATACACTTCATAGTGCTACTTATCCTTTGTAAATATCAAGGACAGGATTTATAACACATCCCTTCTTTTTTGATGGTATCTTCCATAAAATCGCTGTTTCACTATCGTTTCCTTTGTATCAATTTATGACCTATCAAACAGAATACTATGTAAAACCAATTAGGTAAACCTTTCCTCGCGACCTCACTCGCATTTCATTTCTCATTAAAGTTTCCGCTGTAGACTCGAATATTCGTACCTGTTGATCCAAATGCATTGCAGTAAAACGCGGAGACATTGGGATTTACTTTCTATTCCTACAGTCGTTCTCAATACTTTTGTATCATTGCGCCGATCGAGCGTTAAACCCCTTTAAACGGCAAATAAAGAAACTACTCCATGCTAAATGTTCATTACATTCATTATTATAATTGGCCTGACGCAAACGCGCGCAATGTTCAGAGAAAAAAACTCTGTGGTCTGGCAGGTGATCGAATTCATAAACCATTTTAAGTCTGATAGGTGAATTAAATATCGGTCGCCCACATGAAAAGGCGAGTTCGGTATCCGTTGTATCTGTTGAACATCCAAATAGGACGTTATAAACACTCAAGGCTGTCCACCTTCCATAGATTTATTTTCAGTTTAACTTAAAGCCGGCCTCCCATAGGTAATTGCAAATTAAAAACAGTTGGAATGGATAATGACTGATAATCAGATAACATGATATAGCTTGATTCAAAAACACCATAATCTTTCCTGCCATGGCTTTTGAAAAAAATGAGCAAAAAATAAAAGAAAGAAAAAGGTCAACGTATTCATAATCCAAACTGAAATTCAATAAAATCAAGGCAAAATATGAAAAAAAAGAAAAAATATAAGACCAGGTGTTCCGGAAGAGTAAGCGTCTTCTACTACATCCGACATAAGGTTTTGCTCAATTCAAATAAGCGATGTTACATTCTCAAATAACAACAAGGTATACAACAACGGAACCAACGGGCAGACGAAGGACTAGAATCAAACACGTCCAGCTTTATATCGCACAAGTAGAATATTTCGCTATAATATTTCTATGACATTCCCATAATTTTCATAAACTTGCATCTTTTGAAACCCTGTGTTAAGATTTTGTCCTTCAGTTGACGACATAACGCAAAAACTCAACATCCGCTATGTATTTCCAATATTATAATCGTAATTATGTAGGCTGACATTTTCCTATCTATGGTGATTGAGATTGTCTGATCAATGTTCAAGTTAAGCTGAAATTGTCTTAGCAATGCAAGTCGATATTGTCTTAGCGATGAATGCTGAAATTATTTTCCCAACGTAGGCTGATATTGTCTTATAAATTTTGACTGAAATTGTTTTACCAATGGAGACTGAGACAGTCTTTCCACTATAAGCTATAATTGTTTTACCAACGGAGGCTGAGAGAATCTTACCACTATAAGCTGAAATTGTTTTACCAATGGAGGCTGAGAGAGTCTTACCACTATAAGCTATAATTGTTTTACCAACGGAGGCTGAGAGAGTCTACCACTATAAGCTATAATTGTTTTACCAATGGAGGCTGAGAGAGTCTTACCACTATAAGTTATAATTGTTTGAACAATGGAGACTGAGAGAGTCTTACCACTATAATCTATAATTGTTTGACCAATGGAGACTGAGAGAATCTTACCACTATAAGCTATAATTGTTTTACCAATGGAGACTGAGAGAATCTTACCACTATAAGCTATAATTGTTTTACCAATGGAGGCTGAGACAATCTTACCACTCTAAGCTGAAATTGTTTTACTACGTATGCCGAAATTGTCGTACCAATTGTTTTACCAGTGTAGGCCGAGATGGGTTAAGCAATGTAGACTGTGTTTTTCTTACCTATGCTGCTGATTGTCTTACTGACATACACAGATTGTGTTACTGATGTAGTCTCGCCTCCATAAAGTGAGAAGACTAGGAAAGACCATTCTGAAAATCGCTTGTTACACGATCGATTAAAACTGACTTTGCATAACTTTGGAGTCATGTAATTTGCCGAATATCTTAAAAGCTTTTCTAGAATTCTAGATTTCTTATGATCCGTATTCAAGAAAAAACGTGAAACATCGAACTGACATTTCTAGTTATTGGATCAATTTATCCGTGATAAAGACACTGTGTTGACAGCTGGTAAAATCTCTGGTGAGCCTTGGTGTTATACGGTTTATTGACAACAAACAGATAAGCCCCATCATTAGTAATGGGAGGGATGTTATGTATGTTTTATTAGATCTGGCTGATTATTAAAAGCAATTTGATCTGTTTCATTCTGCTGTGCGCCGATAAAAATGAAGTGATTGGCCATAATCTCTCTATGTAAAGCAACTAACGTCAGCGCTTTTATCAGGTTGTGACCTCGATGATTTTCACCAGAGCCAAATACTTCCATCTTTCTGACGAAAAACAATTAAAGTCTGCTAATATAGACTTTAAAGTTTTGTGTGAACACGACTTGCCAACAGATATGATTGTCATTTTCGGAGTAGTCCAGAGGACACCGAATTGATAGTCTTAACAATAGACATTTTTTTCGAAATGGAACTAACACATTTTTGTTTTTTATTATTATTATCATTATTTGCTTATTTTAAGATATCTTTAAGAGGATTTCTTTACTGAAGTAAAAGAAAACTTGCATCATTTCTGCTCTAATTCTTTTCATCTAAAACCAAACATGAAAAAGTAGATATCTTCCTACGTGGATCCAAAATACTTTTTTTTTTAATTTACGAAAATCTGAAATGCTAAATCGATAAGAATGCAAGTACGATTTGTTTGTTTTTAATAAACTGATAACTTCACTCCCAAAAACACATACAGTAAGAAATAACACAGGTTTTGTGGGTGGAGGGGGAGGGGGGGGGGGTCTTGAAAGTGTTATTTTATTTTCACAGCGTGCGCTTTACTTTCAGCTGAGACGCAGACATGCGCCATTATACGCTGCGGGGACAAAGAGTCCAAACGACACGAATGCCGGCCTGGACTCGGAAGTGTGGCTGTCTTCTCGATGTCACTGATGAGGGATCTGTCCCAGGGTGCATGTCAACAGGATGTGACGTACGGTCCAACGTCTCATGGTGCTGTCTGGGTTGACAAAGGGTGTGATGGTCAGTTTCAAGTCTGTTACGCCACCACAGGAGAAGGTTGGTTTCCCTTATATATTCATCAGGTCATAGAGATACTGAATCAATTAAATTTAAATTCAACTTCAGTTTATTTTCTCCAATTCACCAACAGATGAAAATTGGTATCCACACAATCTATCCAGAATTACTAATACGCCATAATGTCATACATTGACACTTGCTATGGTTGATTAGATAGAACATAAATAATTTTTATTTTGGTAATAAAAGCTTCCACATGACCTCGTCTACAAAAACATCATTTCATATTGAATTAAATCTTCAAAATAACTACTTCATAGCAACTGAATACAGGACACTTAACCAGTTTTGATCAACTTGTTTTTTTTCATTGTAATACCTTTAATATACGAAAACATATTGCACACCAAAATGGTATATTTTGCTGTTGTATGGTTTGCATTAGATATGTATCGTTTTTGTTGGTACCGTTTGTGTATTGCAATAGAAAGTGTGCCATGTGGCGTAAGGGTAGGGATAGGGTTAGGTTGAGATGGAAGAATCGACGTACACTCTCGGAGCTGTTTTCCCAGGAATCTGAGAAACGGACCGTCCTGTGCTATTATCATTGTGTTATTGGTCAAGAAACTTTACCCCGATTTCTCTGGACGGTATGTGATAGTCCCCGTTCAGTTAGGTAGCTACCATCCATTACCGGGAGTCAGGGTGATTAATTCGGCTAATAAATATTGGTAGACGTGTAAACAGACACTTTGTCCTGCTTATTTCTTGGTATTGTACTGTAATATAGCTTGTTTATTAAGTGATATTGCTTGTTTGATTAGATCTTGACAGTTGTGTCTTCTATTGAAGGGATTCTGTTGCGATTTCTGGCGCCGTTGGCTATACCAATTCGCAGATTATATTCTGCCTGTCAAACATACACTGTAATGATATTGGAACACAAAGATAATTAGATCCAACGTAATCGATAGAGTAAATTAAATCACCATGCTGTGGCTGATCAAGGTTTTTTTGTATTTCGTAATGAGTTGTTGTGAGCCAGACCTTAATCTCGGCTCGGCTACTGTCCATAGTAAACATGTTCAAAGCGCCAAAGAGATAGCCGACGCCGAGACAAAGTCAATAAGCTTTTGTTTATCCGCACAAATCTGTCGATCTATAGCCCTGGGACGTCTTACTTTAATAGTTTTTTATGGGGTTTTTTCCGAAAGAGAAAGCAGTTAAATGGTGAAACATATACAGCATATTACATATGTTCTCCACTCAGATTTTCTGTCAGATGCTGTTTTAAAGGTTGTTTCTAACTGATATACACGAAATGTTATGTAAATAATACTAGTCATAGCGAAGATTATCTTGAATATTTTTAGTAATCTTAGTAATTTTGATGAGCACGATTAGAAGGTCCGCACGGGTAGACTTTGTATAAATATTGACGAAATTCATTCTTATTTTTATTTATTATTATTAATTATTATATATCTTATTTGCAACATACTGCGAAATAGTGAGTACAAATGCTGACAGAAATAACTTTACAACCGGACATGTTCTTACAGAAACCGAGACATGAAAGGTCTTGGAGAGAGCTATTAAGTTGCAATGTATTGATTGTAACGGAGAATATATATAGAACTCGAGACTAAAGTCAATGATATTGTTCGACAACTGCATAAAATGTTCTGCAAACAAACTTTGCGCAGCGCACGCTATCTTGCTGACAAACCACTTCAAAGTTACTTGAAAAGGTAAACGTGAAAGTTAGAAGAACATATGGAAACGGGTGACGGGACAAATATGAGAAACATCTTCTATCAAGCAGCACAGACAAATGTTGAAGAGAAAAACTCACTTTGAACAAGATCATTTAGAAAACTCCTGCTCGGCGAAATAAACAAGAGATTCACAGCTCAATCATTTCTCGATTCACTCTGGGCAGTAGAAATGAATTAAACATTGATTGATATTTCCTGTGTAAAGAGTCTTAGGAGGAAGGCTACGAACCTGAAATGTAATGCTTCGGAATACTATCCTGTGGTGTGATGTTTCGACCTTCCATCACTATTTTAATGTTTCGACCAATCATCCTGTGATTTGATGCCTTGTCCTGCCATCCTCAGCTGTGATTCCTCGATCCTGTGTTTTGCTTATTCTACCTACCCTGTGCTTTATCATCATGTCTTGTGACTTTTAGACCAAGTTGTGACTGTGAAAATTGCATTACTTACACATTTCTTCACTGAAAATAATTACATTCGTTCGAAAAGGCTTCTGTACATTAGTATTCTCGCGAAGGGCAAACAATATGTGGGAAATGGCTGGTAACGTCTGAGAACAAATCAACTTTTCGTAGTGCTAAATGGACAATATACTGTTTTCAAAAACGTGCAGACAAGACCTTACGAGGAAATGAAAAGCTGTGTGTTGTGCTAATTTCATTATAAATCTTTCTGTAGGGGGCACCGCGGTGTCCAAACGAGTCAACTTTTTTGTTAAAAAGTTTTTGTTTTTTAATTTTGCAAAGAAAATAAACACTTTTGTTTATTCTATGTATTGTCTGAATTTTCAATTTTAAGATAAGACTGTTTCATAATGTATTTATATAAGGCAATGATCAAACTACCCGCGAGTATACACAAAGTTAATGTAAAAATCAAGGACATTTCATTTTGATGAATATGGTGTTATATCAACATAGAAGAAAAATACTGACCTCGTGCTTTGCTTCCGGTTAATCTTTTCTACCAGGTTGATATAACACCATAATAACCGAATCAAATATCCCCAATCGATACTAACGAGTTTTCATTCATATAGCTAACGATATGGTGTTAAAATCAATGCCGCATAATGCATATCTATGAAAGCCACTAACTAGACTCACGTTGATATTTTTATATTGTTGCACCACGGCAGATTACTGATTCCATCATAACGACACCGAGTCATGTCTTCCTGAATTTCTTAGGAGGCGTCTACATTCTTTTTATCTTCCACCACGCCATTACATGGACAGTCGTATAGAAAATATTCTTTGTCTTGATTTCATTGTTAGATCGATGACAACCTTGTTCTTGTTATATTTAAAACACACTCCATGAGACTTAGCATAAATCACCAATTTATTTGAGCATGTAGGGGATTAACTTTGTGTGGCTGATTCTGAAATCGTAGAAAACTGTTTAGTGTCATTGATGGGCGTAAACAATTTAGACAAGAGGCCCATGGGTCTAAACGGTCACCTGAGTGAACTCGCAGACTGAAACAATTGGAATGAATGTGTGACAAAGGGAAGAGAAAACAAGGAACGCTATTTACACAGGGACAGAAATTTTACTTTCAAACATCATCCGACCATGAATACAAGTATTTGAATCTACAACGGACGACAATGGACAAGGGGGTATCGCAATAGACTTAGTCTCGGTGACCGGTGAACAGTTAGGAGCGAAATAGTACACCCGAGCTTGTAACATTCAGGTAATTTTTTTAGAACGACAACTATCGTTTGACATAATCAACGTCGGACAGACAAGAAAACGAAACATAATAATCAGACGACCGTTTGGTTCATTGGTAACCCTCCAGCTAGCCAAAACCCCTAGAACTGCGACATTTATCAATCAGTAGTGACGAATGGAAAATTGTACACTGGGATAACAGGGTTAGAAAAATCCACTCGTCAGCTCGTCTAGACGAGTCAAAGATACTTGCGGGCGAGTGATTTGTTTCAGCTAATTGTCCGGCGGGCGAGTGAAATTTGTAATTCTGACTATTGAATATTCCATAATAAATGACGTTTATCAACTTGAACATTCTTAAAACTAATTTAAATCCACCGATAGCCGATCAAATACATCGATGTAGTATCCTTGTTTAGGCCTACACCACGTGTCAAGACTCAGGCTGATCCAGACTACGCGAAAACCTATTACGTCACCACACATGTTGTAAACAAGGTTGTTTTGTGTACGTAGTTAATGTCAAAAAGTCGATGTTCTCGCTTGCGTTAACAGTGAATTAAAAATGAGTAAAACAATAAAAGCAAGTGTTGAGTTCAAACATTTGATATAGAAATTGATAATATAATTTGTGTTCCTTGAATTATGTTTTGATGTCTTTTTTTCTTCGGGTGAGTGAATATTGGATTCGGGCAAGTGAATTTCAAGTTTCACTTGCCCGACAGACGAGTAGCTGAAAATATTTTTTTCTAGCCCTGGATAATGTAACAGCACTTTTGACATCGACAGCTTAAATAAAGTATCCCTCACACATATGTTACTACTGTTTTCAACAACACATGTATAAGATCCGCTCTCTTTGAAGAGCTACTCTACACACAGCTTATGTATAGTAGTACATCAATAGAAGGCTCTGTCACATAATTAGACTAGAAGCACAGCCATTCGAGACCTTCGCAATCAAATAACGAACATCTAAATGTGATTATGGATTAAAGTTCCTTCTGTACTTCGCGAGCTTTTTCATGAAAATAAATAAATGTGGTATCCCATCTGCTACCTGTTTCCTTACTACGTCATCACACCAGGCTTAATTTCTCGAAACTGTCACCCCTTGTTGGTCATATGTGTAGTGATATACCGTTTAGGGGATCGTTACCGTTTCTCTGTAACTGACGATTCGAGATTACCATCTCTACCTGCTAATCCATTTCACGTCTTACCAGAAGGGATGTACAATCATTTTAAAAAGTTTCAAAATAGGAAGAACAAAACTATGAATTGATTGAATACATTTCGATGTATGACCGAAAATCACAGCTTCTAATGCAAAACAGAACAAACCAAAGAAGAAATACACGATGAACGAAATCATAATAAATGATCGTGTTTCTGATTGGCAACATCTTTGTCGAGTTTGGCATACCTATGAGAACCAACAGCGCCCCTCTGTTTGCTGACGTGTAATTACGCTTTTCAGGTGTGTTGTTGATGTCTTCTTGTCTTTAAATAACAAGAAATTATTTTACCACGTCCATCGTATATATCCATTAGGAAAATCAAAGATACGACAGACTCATCTCCATCAGCTGCTTATCTCAACCTTTTCCCACAAGAAAACCAACATGAAATACTGTCCACCGACCGATATAAAAAGCGTGATGATTTCAATATCCTTATTGTTTTCACATGTTGCATTTGATTCGATATTCAATAGCTTTCTCCCATTATAACGATTTTCGTGTAAGAAATCGTCAACTGACGGACAGGTAGGTTGATGAAAATTATGGGAAAGTTTTACAGTCGTCAAAGTAATGTTACTGAGAAATAGTCAATGAAACTTGACATGCCTGATGCTCTTTAGTTTGTCTGTTGGCTCCGTTTGAGAACGTGACATTACTTGCTCAGATCAATCAAGATTTGCATAGCGGGTGTCGTCGATGAAGCAGAAGATGTTTACACTTCCGGAACACCTGGCTTATTCTTCTTGTATTTTTTCAAGAGGCACCTTGTACATCTTTCTTTTATTCAAAATTTCTGCCAGGATTATATTTTTAATTTCAGTTTGAATTATGATTATGTTGGCATGTTGACATTTTCTAATTACTTTGAAAATCTGTTAACTGAGTAAATTAACATGTTATTTACATCGACAATATTCAAGAGTTCATTTATTAAGTATATAGAGAAAATATTACTGATCAGCAACATGCTCTGAGGTATTGGTAAATTTTGCAATATACATATATACTATACAACCTGTTTTCCGGCAAATACGAGGATTAGACCACAGAAAGTGATATTTCCCGCGGTCTTCAAGTGCCGGAAATCACTTGTGAAGATTGATAAATCGTTTTACAGAAAATGTCACTGTTTCGTGGAAATCCAACCCGTCAGTTCTTGTCGACTTATCATCAAGAAAAACTGTAGCGACTTCTTTCCTCATCTTTGTTAACAAAACTCTAGAATGGATTATTGAATTCAGCGCTTCCAAGACGTCTCTCATGTAAAATCGTTCAAAATGAGTTTATACTAGCGAAGAACTTTCAATGTTCCGGAACAAATGTGTGATCTTTCGAGCGATTTCAGATGTTTCGCGTTCAGTGATTGGCTGTTAATGCTGCTGTAGTATACAATCATGGCTCTAAATTATTGATATACTTTTTTAAAAAAAAAAGTGTGACGTAAAGAACGGATTACTTCCCAAGAACCTGTCAACTGGAAAAAAAATCTCACGTCTTCTCGCGTGACATCTTCGCTTTAGAACTTCTCTTGTCAGGACATCCGATTAAATCACACTCATTAATACTTGTGAACAGCGTGATCGTTGCCCTGTTACAGTGCTTTGATGGCGATGACAAGTGCGGACAGTGATTAAAATGCCCGAGAGGAGGGCACAAGGAGCAGATGACAAGGAGCAGAGGGTCATATAGCAGAGATTTGAAGGAAAGAGTGGGTGACAAGGCCGCGGAATATTTAGATTTTATCATTGGGCTTTACTACAAAAAAAAAACACGATGATAGTGAATGCTGGCGATCTTACTGCTTCATGAATGTAAAAAAATATATTTGTCTGAATTCTGCGAACATTTTTTGTCTGATTAAACCATTGAGCACAAGGGACAATCATCGATATCTATAAAGGTATGCTCATAATCATAATCGAGGTTAAACTGGTGTGTCATTACGATCATTAATTTGTATTGTGGTTTTATTGTCCATATTTCGTGGTCAGTTAGTGGGCGTTATAAAAAGTAGGCGTTATTGTACTCAATAAAGCTGAGGACATCCATCCTTGGTGAAGGCATGCTGTTATTTGTGTACACTCTCAAACTTTCCATGTAAACATCGTGAAACAATGTCTTAGTACCAGGCCCATGGATCTTAGAATTTCGTCACATAGAGCTGTTACAGAATGACAGTCAATTATACTTAATCAAGCATAAGGTTCCGCTGAAAACATTACACTCGATACATTCTCTACCTCTTTAGAAACGCTTTCATCCAGACCTTAATTTGAAACGTCCTCTACAGTTAACATACATTGCTATCTGAATCGGCGATAGACCTTCGGGAAAAATAAATAACCCAAAAAACCTAGTGACAAGATCAAATGTCAAATCAATTGTTAAAACTTAATATAAAAAATGTTGCTTCGTGCTCCCTCACCATCCTACGCTACCCTTTATGATAGCACACGTCCTATCCCACGCTACCCCATATGATAGCACATGTCCCATCCCACGCTACTCCTTATGATAGCACACGTCCCATCCCACGCTACCCCTTATGATAGCACACGTCCCATCCCACGCTACCCCTTATGATAGCACACGTCCTATCCCACGCTACCCCTTATGATAGCACACGTCCCATCCCACGCTACTCCTTATGATAGCACACGTCCCATCCCACGCCACTCCTTATGATAGCACACGTCCCATCCCACGCTACTCCTTATGATAGCACACGTCCCATCCCACGCTACTCCTTATGATAGCACACGTCCCATCCCACGCTACCCCTTATGATAGCACACGTCCTTCTTGTATTTATTCGGTAAATACACTTCATCGCGTTACATTTGATATATTCAAATTTATTAGATTATTGAACATGAAAAACGTTTGATAATGTATAAAGGAAAACAGAAATAACACATCTGTCTACCGGAAGTGATTGTTCTCGCAGTTTCACATCAGAAGTATTCAATGTTAGGAATTACAACTTTTTCGATAAGTGAATTTCCCCGATTTCTTAGATATGTAGAAATATTACCATTGCTTATGTAGATAATCTTCGATGACGTTCCTTTTTATACTTCCTGTAGGACTCAACTGTGACAAAGGGTGTGGGGTAAATGCTGTATGTGTTGAGGGAAAGTGTCACTGCAGCAAGGGTTTCTATGGTAACCCGTACGTCAAGTGTGAAGGTAAGGTGTATAGTTGTCCCTTTGCCTAACGATACTTAGTAAACATTTTGCATTGAAACAAGCCTCATTTCCATTAAAACCCGCTTCTGTCTTAGAACAATGTCACTTACATAATTAATCCTCACACACGTTATGTCCCGTGTGCATGTGTCTCATTTACTGCTCACCATACAAAGGAGTGTTAGGGCGCTGGTATCAGGGTACCAGCCGCCATAGATCTAGTATTATGCATCACGCTTACCCTTCAGGAACACAGGGTCATTCTTCTTTTCCTATAGTGTCTACGTTAATATATATTTTTGTTAATAATTTACCATCTTTTCGTCGATTCTGCGTTTCTGACTTTTGTAAACATATCTGTATTTTCTTGTTGATATTTTACAACGTTTACAATAGGGAAAATTCTCATTAAGCATTATTTTTTTCAAACGTTTCCCGAAAAAGTTGAATACCAGATTAGCATCTGATACATTTTGAAACACTCCTATTGTTTGTGATTAGCATTTTTATCTGTTTTTATCGACGACAGAAATACATAATGTTGCTTGCGTAGATACGAGCGAAATTAAGCAACACGAATTCTCAGATTCGATATATGTATTGGTCTCACTCGTTGATAATATTGAATAAAATTATAATACACCTGAGGCTTGTTTTTGTGTCAACGCTGAACTAATTATAAATTATCGCTGATTAACTTGTCTTAATTTTTAGTTTACTTTTTTATTTCAGATGTGTGCACGTGCGCTGCCTACGGGGACCCCCACTTGCGGTTATACGACAAACAAAAGATAACTGTAAACGGTCCTTGTCGATACACCCTAACAAAATACGGAAACGAGAGCGACAAATGTGCCTTTAATATCGAGCTCAAAAACGAGCAGAGGGGTACCAGGAAGAACGTGGCCTACACGCGATCTGTGCACGTGATGGTTAACGGGTTCGTTATTGACCTCATAAAGGACAAAGAAGTACTTGTGAGTACTTGGATATGGTTTGCGACGGACTTTTTTCTCGGGCTTTTCTTTCATAATTCATTTTTAATTTTTATACAGAAGAGCGCGACGGAGCTCACCTAATTGTGACAGTTGTCCCAGTCATACTTAACACTCATAGTGTATGTTTTAAGTTACACAATTAATAATATTTAATTGCTAAACTTGCTTTAATGATGACAGAATGTATGACATTTATTTTTCACTGATGCAATTACCCCTATCGAATGTGTGAAGTCTACACAACTTCTGATCCTTACAATACCACGAGAAATCCTACAGAAAGTATAATTAACACGGTTATTCAAGGTCATTGTCCTTCTCACTTATCTAGCAAGCTTCCTGTTGGTGAGTGACATTCCACAATACTAGACAAGCTTACTACTTTGTCTGATACACCAATCTTAACAAAGATTCCTTCCTTCCTTCTTCTTCTACCCTATAGAATCACTTCCCATTAATGCAAAACAGAATTCAATCTTAAGAATGAACGCCATTACCTTAACACAAGAAGACACCATCAAATCCATCACTCTCGGCCGAGAATAAAATTCGATTCTCTCGACAGTCATTTGTAAACATGTAAAACACTTGGTTGCCAGTCCCTGGTGTACCTGGTCGTTTGGGAAAGAGAGAGTTTTCATTATTGGAGGAAACTGGAGTAGCCGTGGAAAACCCAACATGATTGGGTCACCATGATCGTGTTGGTGACCGCATACCCTTTTACGTCCGTTCAAGGAATCGAATTTCGAACGTCTAGGTGAAAGGCAACTGCGTTACCACTGCGCAACCCGCCCTATCAGTCAGATGATGACTTGCACGAAAATCGTGATAATGGGAACAGGCCCTTTGATATCAATCAACTGTGACATGTAAATATCATAGGTTGGAGATGCATTAATATTGCTATCCAGAAATGGAAAATTTACACTATGAAAGTTGAAATCTGGTGGATATATATGATGAACGTGGTCAATTAATTTTTCTTATTTTAAGACAAGACGTCATCAGTATATCTGAAGGTGAAATTAAACAACTTGGTAAGGTTTTTGTGACCTGTTTTGATAAGCTCTTCAATAAATTTAGCTTCGCATGAAAACAAAAAACAAGTCAGCTAAAGGAGGCGCGCAGTTGGTTCCCATAGGTATGCCAATAGTCTGTTGGAAGATCTTACCACCAAAGTCGACGAAGATGTTTACAACCAGAAACTTGATCATTTTTATGATTTTGTACTCCGTATATTTCTCTTTTGATTTGGACATATACTTTATGTTATACGCTTCAGTATAAGTTCACAACCAAATGTTTATACCGTCGTTCACCTTTCTAGGAGAAAAAAGCTCTCATAACAAGAAAACGAAGGCGTTTCTTCAGTTTAGAATGAGGTATGGTGGTGTACAGCATGGAAAAATCAAATGTTCTTATAGAAGTTTTTTTAGAAGAGTAGCCAAAAAGCCCTTTTGAGTTCATCGAAATCCACTTCTGGAGTAAACAGTATCACAATAAGACTGTAACTTTATAGTACCTAGAATGGTGGTTGATAGTTTAGACAAAGAATTGGTTGAGCAGTTAGACTTTTGTTTAAATGGATCCTCAAGTTAATGATCGATAATCCATATCTAAATGATTTCGAACGAGTATGTCAATGCTGTCCTATCGCTTCTTCACAACCCTCTAAATGGGACGGGGGGGATTCCAACTAAGGTGTATCAAATAAACTTTTAACCGGCATAATGCAGATAATATGATCTATTGACTGAGGCTTTATACCGCGTTCTAAAATGAAAGAGAGTATAGTATAGATAGTACTCATTTTACAAGTTTTTATACCGATAATGGCAACATATATTCGGGTTGCGGATGAATATGCCAAAGGGCATGTTCAGGGCATGTTCAGACGCCTTGTGGATTTTCTTTTTAAGAGACGTGAAAAAATAAAACTCAAAAATACATAACAGTATTTAAATAATAGATACAATTCAGGACACATAGATACACGTAACGAATTTAAAACGGACAAAACTGAAACATTATGTTGTGATAAATGCTTTGAACTCGATGATAAAATGCATCTGTTTGTCAATAGTTTTCATTCCTACATTTCGTAAGAATTCTATTTTATTGACCAATAATTGTCCAGACAGTTTCCCTCGACTCTTCCTCGGATCGTGATAAAACTTACGACACATCATCACAATTCCTGACGATGCAAACCTTCATGTTGCATTGTCATTCCAGCACTGTGTTACAGAGCAATACCTCTTTGAAGAAGATTAGTATGAAATTATCCAAACAGCTACTGCCAGACTTGAAGGTGGAGTTCAGAGAAACTTCACACAATCGTAACCGCGCACTGACATTAGGTATTCTGTTTTCATATATCATTACCGCAATCACAGAAACTGCCAAAGGGCATGTTCAGACGCCTTGTGGATTTTCTTTTTATATCAAGTGACGTGTAAAAATAACACTCAAAAATACATAGCAGTATTGAAATAATAGATACATTTGAGGACAAAATTATACACGTAACGAATTTAAAAGGGACAAAACTGAAACGCTATTTTGTGATCGCCTTTGAACTCGATGATAAAATGCATTAGCGCTAATCTTACGATCACAGACGTTTCTTGCAGCGACCAATTGTTAATGTCTACAGGCAGTTATAGGGAACTCGATGGCATTTAATATGTCTTCCCACTGTTCAGTCGTATGGTGTCATATTTGGTCATTCGGTGTACTTATAAACTCGACATTGCGTGTACGTGTATGAAGATAGATCAAGTTTTACAGAAAGGTTGCAGACGACAGTGAAAATGTGATGTATCTTTATTTCCTCTTTCAGATAAATGGCGTCGCACAGTTCTTTCCTGTTAGTGTGACGTCAGACACGCATGGGGAAATCGACATTTACAATACCGGGCAGTACGCCAGACTGGTAACCGGATGTGGCCTGTCACTTTCCTGGAATGGTAGATCGGAAGTTTTCGTGACAGTTCCGAAGAGATACGGAAATGATCTAAACGGCCTGTGCGGAAACTGTAATGGAAAACGGGACGATTATAGAACGAAGAATGGGACGGACGTGTCCGGTGTAAGGACTAAAGGCAGGGAGATAGCAGAGAGTTACCTTGTCAAAGACCTGTCTGATGACGCGGCTAAGGAGTGGGTGTTGTATTAATCTGTAATAACATATTGTAACAATAAAGAAAAACCCCTTCCTCCTGAAAACTTGGCCGTGATTAGTATCACACCAGTTATTAAAGTAATTATACCCCAACAACGATAGAGAGAAATCACCCCGGATATTTCTCATCTGTTTGTCAATATTTTTCATTCCTACATTTCGTAAGAATGCCTTTTTTATTGACCAATAATTGTCCAGACAGGTTCCCACTACTCTTCCTCGGATCGTGATAAAACTTACGACATATCATCACAATTTCCTGACGATGCAAATCTTCATGTTGTATTGTCATTCCAGCACTGTCTTACAGAGACATACTTCTTTGATGAAGATTAGTATAAAATTATACAAACAGCTACTGCCAGACTTGAAGGTGGAGTTCAGAGAAACTTCACGCAATCGTAACAGTGCACTGACTTTAGGTATTCTGTTTTCATATATCATTACCGCAATAACAGAAACTGCAGTACCAGATCGATCAAGATGTCCCGTAAAATTGTCAATAGTTTATCTTTTTCTTTAAAAGTTGTCTGAGATCTTGTTATCGATTGACAAAAACACCAGTTTGGTTCTAATATGATAAATAGAAATCTATATATCTATAATGTATGTATATCTATGATGACCTGCAAAACTAGAGGCTCGAGATTCATGTTGAGGATGAACAATTATTGCAAGGTGCTGTCCTTCAAGATAATGGTTCTAGTCCTGTTCGCAGTTCAAATTTGATAACACTTAGACGAATTCTGATTGACTGTATCAATGTCGTCACAGCAACGGCAATATGAATTTCAAATAATCCTAATTATATCAATGAAACAAAACATGTCGGAGTTGTAAACGAGCACGTTTAAGCACGTGTCATAACACTATGTAAAATAGGGAAAAGTAAGTGGAATGCAGTTGATTAAGTAAAACTGAACGTAACACATATATTTACACTTAGTTAATCATGGTTGGTCAATATGCCTGGCTAGTAAACCAATAATAAATATATATATATATATATACACTAAACATTCGGTAGGTTCTACAGATGTTGAGAGATATATAATTAAAGATTATCATTTCATAAAAAGATTTTTATTTCAAAGAAATATGAAACTTTCCGAAGCGACTTGAGTCCAGAAACCTTTTGTCAAACAGCACATAGATGGTGTGTTCGTCACGGAAAATTGTAATATTGATAACACATACAAAAGAACCTGTCATTGTGATCTATTGTTTTATGTGTAGATGTGCAGTTGGAGAAACGGAGGACCCATGTAGTGGAGACATGGAACTTTTAGTACAGGAACCAGTGTACTGTGGGTTACTGTTTCCGGCTCGTCAGGCATCCAGTCCGTTCCAAGAGTGTATTAGCACCATTCCGGAAATTATTCTTGACATGTATTCGTCATGTCGCTTCGACGTGTGCACATATTTCCATGACGAACACCGCGTAAAAGAAGTTGTCTGCCAGGCCATGGACAGCATGGCAGCTGAGTGTGAGGAGAGGGGATATATGGTAAAATGGAGGACGGAGTCATTTTGTCGTAAGTTTCAAAAGTGTTGATAGATAACAACTGGGATATAGTTGTTTCTTGGTGCGTTTGGTCACATATTCACACACATATAGATTCGCTTTCTACATTTTTGCTGAATTAAGTAGGCAATGTTGTTATACGATTCCAGAATTAATTCAGCACAAAAGATGCTTGTATGACCTTATCTTTTTTGCTGATAAGTTTGGGTATTACAGCTCCTAAATGTCCGGAGAACATGCGATACAGCACCGAGATAAGTGGATGTCCAGCCACCTGCCTTGACCCTCATCGTGCCCAGACCACTTGTTCCCAGCCCCTGTCGGCCGGATGTGAGTGTCTACCTGGATACCTGCTTAGTGGCCTTGCCTGTGTTCCAATGACAGACTGTGGCTGCAAGTCTGAAGTCGGATATCTTCCTGTAAGTACAACTTAAAATATATACCTGCAATTACGACACAGAATATCTACCTGTACGTACAACTTAAGATATCTACCTGTAAATACGACATAATATATCTTCCTGTAAGTATGACTTAGGACATTTACCTGTAAGTATGACATAGGACATTTACCTGTAAGTATGACATAGGATATTTACCTGTAAGTATGACAAAGGACATTTACCTGTAAGTATGACATAGGACATTTACCTGTAAGTATGACATAGGACATTTACCTGTAAGTATGACTTAGGACATTTACCTGTAAGTACGACATAGGACATTTACCTGTTAGTACGACATAGGAAATTTACCTGTAAGTATGACATAGGACATTTACCTGTAAGTATGACATAGGACATTTACCTGTAAGTATGACAAAGGATATTTACCTGTAAGTATGACATAGGACATTTACCTGTTAGCACGACATAGGAAATTTACCTGTTAGCACGACATAGGAAATTTACCTGTATGACATATATACCTGAAGTGTAAATAGATTCCATTGCACGCATTTTTCGGTAAAGAAGTTGCCGTAAGATATATGTTACGACAGTTTTCTTTTCTGTGAAAATGTACATTATCTTGACGAATGTGTTTCTCAGGCGTGAGATACTGATATGTGATTATAATTAGAATAATTAAATATTGAGGTAATGCTTCAACACATCTCGCGATTTTCTTATCAGTTAATTTGTCAGTATCAGTTATCCATTTTAAGAAACCGGAAAATCTTACTTTCGTTGATAACTGTATACTTGGCGATTGTCTTTTGATTTGTCTTCTATTTGACTGGAACGGTTGAATCTTAACATGATTCAACATATGTTTACTACTTCATACACGTGCCTGATATTGATCATTCTTAACACTTACTGTACTACATTACTGTGATACCATGAATCTAACATTCACACCTATCATGTAATATCCAATGGGTGTAGTAATAATAGTAGGAACTGTTGTTAACAAACATAACTAAAGAAAAAAATTTCCAGAATCTCTAGACCTCATATATAAGTTTATAAGTTATTTTTTTAGCTTCTCAGTCAAACTGTAGAATACGTTTATATACTCTACTACAATAACGGAAATACATCGCAGGATGTGTTTCTTTCAAATATAATATCAACCATCCAAAACAATAAGCTATCTTTTGTCCGGATACAAATCTAAATTAGACACCTGCAAACAAGATTAACACCTATAATTAACAGATGTCAACCACAAGGAAACAGACTTGTCAAATACTTCCGGTATAATTACATTCCCATGCTAAAATTTCCGTGTTATAAATAATTCCATATCTTCCCTTGTCAAATACAATTGCTATCAGGAAACAACCCGTTATCTCTATTGTAATACTTCTCTACCCCTTCTCACTCTTTACACAGGTAAGACGTTTGAAATACAATTCACGATATCATGTGTTACTGGCCTTGAATTTGATCAGTAATAATAAAACAAGTTATTTTTATTTCTTGTCCTCCTTACACCTCCCCTCTCAACTTTAAATAAAAAATACACCTCGTTAAGTCTTCTCTAATGTCTTATGTAAAATTCACATCAAACCTCTGATCATCTCCAATTTTCTTCTCAGGCATTCGAGTATGACCTAAACATGAGAACCTAGATATGTGTCTTCTATATTACACTTCTGTAGTGAAGAATATCACTGGTTCACATTCACACAGCCTAGTTAATAACCTTGCACTGTATTTTTATGACGCACTGGAGGGAGCATATTAAAACCTCAACGTTGATGTAAAACGTTCAGTACTTTGGTACCAAATAAAACGTGCCTTGTTCTCATTTCATATGATATCGTCTTTCTCCTCTTTACACATTTCTGCTGCTGTGATATTTTATACGAAGTGTGATGATCGGTTCATCATTTTTCATCCATTTTGTTGACAAAAAGTATGTATTGTGAATCACGTGGAATCGATTTAGCCAATCAGAGACTGCAAACATCACTTGATGATGTTACATTCATAGATACTTTATTTATTTTTGTAAATAACTAATTTAGAGAACAGAGAACTCCTTGTTAACTTCTTTGTTTGTTTTGTTTTGTTTTTGTTTTTGTTGTATGTTCACCATATCAACTTGATCACTAAACCCTGGATCCACCAGTATTAGATTACTTCCTTTGTCAAAGGGGAATTGAAATTTTATCTATTTATCATTTAAAACCAAATGGAATGGAATTTTAAATTACTGATATCAGTGAAATGTATATTATATTGTGTGAAGGATGTTTTGTACGAGACATGTGATTGTTCGGATTTTTTTATTAGATAACCACAAACCACATCTACCGACATTCACCAGTACAACATCATAAACCTGTTGATCTAAGGGCGGATGACAGATATGTTAACGTATCAGTAATATATATATTTATCTTGCATCATACCTTAGTTTTTTTTAATGTTATCATTTAATTAGTACACTAATGCTAGTTGCACTAGTAACTTGTACTCAGCAGTATGTATTCATTGGCCTGGTGATATGATAGTAATCAGTAGTAACGTTGTAAGTTAAACAATTACTATAACATTAAGCGTTCTTCGTGCTTGTAAACCTAACGGTCAGTTCTCTATGATAAACCGCATTCGAGGAAAGTACCATCACATTCCGGTAAAGTTAGCAACATTTTTATTTGTAATCCTAGCTTTGGAAATCGTCGCTGTCGTTGGACTGTCAGACGATGCTAACATGTGTTGAAACGAATGGGAAACCAACCCTGCAAAAGAAAACTGTCACATTACAATGTCACGAGTACGCCGCGTGCGGGCTGCAGTCAGGACGTCCTAATTGCGCCTGTTTGGACGGATACTTTGGAGACGGCATAACTTCTTGTGAACGTAAGTGGGTCGTATTAACCAGAAATGTCTAAATGTAGTATTTAAATGATCAACTGAATACATTCACCGTTTTGTACTGTCTTTTTTGCGACCATCATTTAAAGGAAAAGTGAATAACCTCTATTTACAGCCTTATGTAACGGAACAAAATGTGGTCTGCACGCTCGTTGCCTGGATATGCGTTGTCGCTGTGGAAACGGTTACCATGGAAATCCTTACGTCAACTGTGAACGTATGTACTTGCGCAAATTGTTATGATTACAAGAAATACCGTGTTGTATAGCAAAAGAAACATTTTGTTTATGACAAATTTCTGTAAGGGAACACAAAGGATAATATATGGTTTTGTTGTGTGTCTGTGTAAATCGATAAATACCAGCAGTAGAAAACAACGGTTCCTACAGGTCTTGTTAAGTTTTCCTGACTACTTTCTATGTAGCATCGCATCTCCCGGTCATAGAAAGGATACAAACCGCACTGCTAGGTTTAACATTCCTGGGTATTTATTTTACCTAATTGTTCGACATTGATAAGTATCGAAAACTATTAATTGTTTATAAAGACAACTTTTTAATATACGATAGGAACGGATCACGAAACCTTTAATAGATTTCGAGCATTTTATCAAATTTTCTGAACTGATTTTATTTAGATAAAGGAACTTCTGATAAAACAAGTATTAATTTCCTATCATACAGAAAGCCTGACCGAGTTCTGTGCTACAATGATAAATATATATACCTCGCATTGTATGATGGGATTAGTATAGAATTTTAGCGTGAAATCGTCACATTTCATGAGCAAACAAACATGATTTCATGACGCACGCCGAGGAAAATTAATCTGAGAGTTTCCTAAATTAGGGGAGTGTAGAAATGATAAATTCATTTTTCCATGAGTCACAACCTCGTAATTTTTATAGCCAGTCGGCAGGCTATAGGTAATGAGATACGATCATCATATATTTTTATTTCTCTTTAAAACGATATTACTCAACCATTGTGACGTCACAAAGCACAATGAAACGAGTCCCTAAATTAAAGCGCACTGACATTTTTGTTGTCTAAATTTTATGCAATTTTAGAATGTATTGTATCTAGTTTACGATAAAAGGAATCTGTAGTAATAAGACTTGTTATGAAACATGCTTTGTGTGTATTGTCACCAGCTGATGAATATTCTGAAGAAAACATTGTGTGACATCAATCAAATAAAATTCGTTATTATTACTTAATGCCGTGCCAAGGTTTCTGATAAGGGAAACAATTGTTAATAAAAACACATTAATTTACCATTTTTAAACTTTATAATTTCTTTTAACTTTCAGCAATCGGGACATGTGGAGGTGAGAGTTGCTCTGAAAACGCTGATTGCATCAACTACAACTGTGTGTGTCGGCAGGGCTATGTCGGGGATGGATACGACGAGTGTAAAAGTAGGGTTCAATATCCATGTCATATACCTAATTCATAAACACCAAATACTGTATTGCACAATCTGGTATCTAAGCGTCACATGATTATGTGACACGTTCATCAATGTGTTCATCAACGTTCACTTAATTATTATATGACATATTCTGTCACCAAAATGTCCTCATCATTATCACGTGGTCATATGTCCCGTTCTTTCACCCAAATGTCCTCATCAGAATCACGTGGTCATATGTCCCGTTCTGTCACTCAAATGTCTTCGTCAGCGTCACGTGGTCATATGTCCCGTTCTGTCATCATAATGTCTTCGTCAGCGTCACGTGGTTACATGTCACATTCTGTCATCTAAATGTCTTCATCAGCGTCACGTGTTTTATGGTACATTCAGTCACCTAGGCCAGCTGAACAATACCCGAATACAGTATTTTCATCATCGCCGAATGGTCACCAGTGTAAATTGTAACACATCGTCGGAGTTTTGATGGAATCCCAGTACTCCTGTTAGTATTCTGGTCAATCAGATATATGCTTGACCACTACTTAGTTTTGTATACTTACATTATCTATATTATAGTATTGACCACTCTCTTCAACATGCTCAACAGGTCTGTGTAATAGACGGAGGTGTGCTGACAATGCCCAATGTGTAGACGATAACTGTAGATGTATACCTGGTTACCATGGTAACGGCTACATTCATTGTGAACGTAAGTTTGCATTCTATGGTACATCGGAACCACTAATCTTTAATATGGTTATAATAAAGAAAAACCCACAAACACAGCCGTATAATATTTTGCCATAGTTACGGAACTCAAGTCGATGTTTCGGTCGTTATTTTCTTTAAATAACCAATTTTTGTTTGAATTATGAGTTTATTAGATGGGGATGTTTTTGTTGTTGATTTCATGATTTAACAATGATGTATTTATAAAATATGATGCCGACTCTGCCCTTTAGTGCAAGGTACTTGAGATTCACCATGTAGTTAGATTCAGGAAAAAACATTATCGTCTTTGCAGCAGCCGGCGCTCTATGGTGGCCAGACCTATGAGTTGTGGGTTTTTCGTTAACTAGAAGGATGGGAGGATGCAATAATTACTATCGTTATATTTAGCGTCACGGTGTGAAAGGTCGCACCTGTGTAGTGTGTATTCACCCTTTTTTTGTAACCGTCTCGGTGTGTGAATGTCGCACCTGTGTAGTTTGTATTCACCAGTTTTTTGTAACCGTCATTGTGTGTGAATGTCGCACCTGTGTAGTGTGTATTCACCATTTTTTGTAACCGTCATGGTGTGTGAAGGTCAGAACGGTGTGGTGTATTGTACACTATTGTTTTTGTAATCGTCACGGTGTGTGAAAGTCGCACCTGAGTGTTTATGCTTGTGCTAACTACACATGTGTGTTTGCTTTTATTGTTTTTGTAGCCGCTGCTGTGTGTGATGGCCGGACCTGTGTCGCGGATGCTGAGTGTGTTAACTACAAGTGTGTATGTCAGCGTGGTTACTATGGTGATGGGTACCACGCCTGTATTGGTAAGTTTCAAATTTAGGATCGTTAGTAAGCCGTGATGGTAAATCATAAGGGTATACATTTTGTGTTCAGAAAGTGTAGAAGGAATTATCTCTGTGTGTTACATTGTTACACCTGGTTACATTGGTTGCAGTTTCCGACAATTTCCAGCTGTACAAGGTTTTGTATACACTACAACTGGTCATTCAGTAGCGCCAATATAATATCTGAGTTATATGAAATGTCACACTCTTCCTATAAACGAAAGCTTCGAAAAGGACGATATTTCCTACAACTGAATTGACCTCTAAAGCAAAAGTGGATTCTACATAATAAATTGATTTGCTTAAATATAGATGTTTTCGACAACGTACGTTGTGTCAAGTTACTGCAGACAAAATCCTGAAACATATGAAGTGACAAAAAGATTTAAAAAAAAAGATGTTAACATCAACCCAGTAGTGTATAGCGACATGATACTCCAAAAGGTAGGCGTCCCCTTCAACAAATGTAATGTGGTACCAAGGTACTCCAAAAGGGTAGGTTTCCCTTACAACAAATGTGATGTGGTACCAAGGTACTCCAAAGGTTAGGTGCTCCCTACCGCAAATGTGATGTGGTACCAAGGTACTCCAAAGGTTAGGTGCTCCCTACCGCAAATGTGATGTGGTACCTTGAAATGTGATGTGGTACCAAGGTACTCCAAAGGTTAGGTGCTGCCTACCGCAAATGTGATGTGGTACCAAGGTACTCCAAATAGTATGTGTCTCCTACAACAAATGTGATGTGGTACCAAGGTACTCCAAAAGGTAGGTGTCTCATACAACAAATGTGATGTGGTACCAAGGTACTCCAAAAGGGTAGGTGTCCCCTACAACAAATGTGATGAGGTGCCAAGATACTACAAAAGGGTGGGCGTCCCCTACAACAAATGTGATGTGGTACCAAGATACTACAAAAGGGTGGGCGTCCCTTGCACCAAATGTGATGTGGTGCCAAGATACTACAAAAGGGTGGGCGTCCCCTACAACAAATGTGATGTGGTACCAAGATACTCCAAAGGTTAGGTGCTCCCTACAGCAAATGTGATGTGGTACTAAGGTACTCCAATGGTTAGGTGCTCCCTACAACAAATGTGATGTGGTACCAAGGTACTCCAAAGGTTAGGTGCTCCCTACAACAAATGTGATGTGGTACTAAGATACTCCAATGGTTAGGTGCTCCCTACAACAAATGTGATGTGGTACCAAGGTACTCCAAAGGTAAGGTGCTCCCTACAACAAATGTGATGTGGTATCAAAATACTCCAAAGGTTAGATGTGATGTAGCACCATAATACCCTGAAAGGAGATGTTCCCTACAACATATCAAATGCCTGGTTACACCGACAGCTTATGTAGGATCTCAGTCACCCGAAAGGTTAGACATTAAATACAGTCTATATATACATCGCAAGTGTGTACCAGGGCTTGTGTTTCTCTGCAACCAATGAAACACCTTTCAAAACTTCCTGGTAATTAAACACTTGTGTTAACTCTTTTTGCCTTACGTTTTTCTGCTCTTTATTAAAGCATGCATTAATTTTTTGTTTGTTTTATGTTTATGATTTATCTGAAACAAAATGCATTGTAATACCATGGTGTTGTGCATTTAGATATTGCAAATCTGAGAAAATGTTTTCTGAGAAATGCTTTCTTTGTGTTACTGATAAAGTAGATTATTGTCACACAGAGTGAGAATATGGTTGTGGTTATATGGTCGGATATTTGAGATAAGAACGTTGTGTTATATTTTCCAGCTCTTTGTGACGGCATGCGATGCTGTTCCAACGCATCCTGTCAGGATGACAGATGTGTCTGTCTTCCGGGATTCCATGGAAACGGATATATAAAGTGTGAACGTAAGAGCAATTCCGTTAAATTAACCGTCTTTGTTCTATTTAATAATGGTTTTACTACTTATCGTATTCTAATAAATTTACACTGCCGGAGCAAGTCTCTTGACGATGTTTTAAAGTCACAATGCGTGTGTCGTGGTCTTGTCCATGTCAATAGTGGTTGTAAATAGAAAATTTACATAAACGTGGTTAAATGTTAAGTAAAATATATTGATATAATTACATCGTTTAAGTATTTACTAATAGTAAATAAAAACATCAATTGAATCACTTTTTGTTGTCATGGCATTTTCATTGAACCCCCATATGGCGCCACCTTCCTCATTGGTATAATATGGCAGTTCAATTGAACTTGCCTCTGTTCTAATAATATGTATGAAGTGATTTGTTTCTTAAATGTTGTATGAATATCTACGGTAATCAAATGTAAATATAAGGATTGTTTATTTTCTTCACGTGCATCGAAGTGCATTTTCAGCATGGTAAATATATATTTTACGTGAAATTCACTTTCCGATGTACGTACAAAATATTAATAGTAAAAAAATAAATCAGTTTAAAACGGTAAGGGGTTGAAGTGATACTGATTAACTATAGAGGATATTAAAACCTATATTTGCACCCATAAACACATGTTTACATGAAACGTAATGTCTTCCATTGATTTTAATCAGCTGATGGTAAGTGCGATGATGCTATATGTGCAAAGGGTGCCACTTGCGTTAACTCCATCTGTAGGTGTGGTGCTGGATACCATGGAGATCCGTATGTAGTGTGTAAAGGTAAGTATTTATTTATAATCTAAACATGATGTATTATTGAGACAACATAAGGACTTCCCATTTCGCTGAGAACGTAAGGAGAAGAAATTTAGACTGATGTAGAGAAGACATACAAAATGCCAGTAATTATAAAATATGAAAGATTCCAACAAATCTATTTAAAACAACGATAACGAAATGTTAACAAAGCTTACCTTATACTTAATATTGATAAAAAAGGTAAATATGAACATAGGAAACGTTCACACGGAGCCCCTTTAAAGTTTCAAGAGCAAAGAAGTAGTGTTTCAGAAGGAAAAGTGTCCCTTCCTCTTCATATATACACCAACATCAGCCACTATTTCATCAAAATACATCTCTCAAAACCGTCGGTAGTTGACAGCGTCAAATTGTCATACTGAAAACAAGTCGTAGACTCCAATAAACAGTGACAGGTCCGGGAGGTAAGGGTGTTACTTAGCTAAAAAAAACGAATACTGAAATCATCACGATTATAACGATTATGCCTTAAAAGTTGAAAGAGAGGTAAACGGCTGATCTTGATGTCATTGATTTTGGAAGGAATAAGGTTGGACACTGGCATTACATTTGTAATGATATAAACCATCAATATGTCAATTAGTAGGTATGTTCGATGTTGTTAACATTTCTGAGAACATTACACATGGCAAGAGACGTCAATGAAGCAGAAGACGCTTACCTTCCTGAACACATTGTCTTATTCTCCTTGTACATTTTCATAGGTCTCCGCGTTAATCGCTCTTTGCTTCATATTTCCCTTAGTTTCATTGATTTTGAGTTTGAGCTGTTTTGACATGTCGGTATTTTTTTTGTTGATTTCATTTCAAATATTCACTATATATGATGTGAACTGTTATTTGATTTATTTTATCTACATTTGTTAACCATTTAAGGCTTCTTTCCAAACAGCCCTGTGTAATGGAAGGAGATGTGCACAAAGAGCTTCTTGTATCGACGGCGAGTGTAGATGTGATGACGGTTTCCATGGAGACGGTGACGTCAAATGCGAACGTGAGTTGGACTGCATACTTGGGTTTAAGTTATCAGATTCCTAATAAATCACAAAAGAAACACATGTATGTATTCTTAAATAATGTAATTTTTTCGAATATACAATGTAAATTGCTGAGGAAATGATGACATTACAAACATGATATGTTGAAAAGATCAATTTGTGGCCTCTGGGTATATATTGACAACTAAGGACACCAAAATAATATTGATACTGGTTACATACTCAGATACACATTGATATAGATAAATACGTTCTCAGATACACATTGATATAGATAAATACGTTCTCAGATACATATTGATATAGATAAAAACGTTCTCAGATACATATAGATAAATACGTTCTCAGATACACATTGATATAGATAAATACGTTCTCAGATACACATTGATATAGATAAATACGTTCTCAGATAATATACGTATAGATAAATACGTTCTCAGATACATATTGATATAGATAAATACGTTCTCAGATACATATTGATATAGATAAATACGTTCTCAGATACATATAGATAAATACGTTCTCAGATACACATTGATATAGATAAATAAGATAAATACGTTCTCAGATACATATTGATATAGATAAATACGTTCTCCGATACATATAGATAAATACGTTCTCAGATACATATTGATATAGATAAATACGTTCTCAGGTACACATTGATATAGATAAATACGTTCTCAGGTACATATTGATATAGATAAATACGTTCTCAGATACATATAGATAAATACGTTCTCAGATACATATTGATATAGATAAAAACGTTCTCAGATACATATAGATAAATACGTTCTCAGATACATATTGATATAGATAAATACGTTCTCAGATACATATATAAATACGTTCTCAGATACATATTGATATAGATAAATACGTTCTCAGATACATATTGATATAGATAAATACGTTCTCAGATACATATTGATATAGATAAATACGTTCTCAGATACATATTGATATAGATAAATACGATAAATACGTTCTCAGATACATATACACATTGATAAATACGTTCTCAGATACATATTGATATAGATAAATACGTTCTCAGATACATATTGATATAGATAAATACGTTCTCAGATACATATACGTTCTCAGATACATATTGATATAGATAAATACGTTCTCAGATACATATTGATAAATACGTTCTCAGATACATATAGATAAATACGTTCTCAGATACATATAGATAAATACGTTCTCAGATACATATAGATAAATACGTTCTCAGATACATATTGATAAATACGTTCTCAGATACATATAGATAAATACGTTCTCAGATACATATAGATAAATACGTTCTCAGATACATATAGATAAATACGTTCTCAGATACATATAGATAAATACGTTCTCAGATACACATTGATAAATACGTTCTCAGATACATATAGATAAATACATATAGATAATATACGTTCTCAGATACATATAGATAAATACGTTCTCAGATACATATAGATAAATACGTTCTCAGATACATATAGATAAATACGTTCTCAGATACATATAGATAAATACGTTCTCAGATACATATTGATATAGATAAATACATATAGATAAATACGTTCTCAGTTCTCAGATACATATAGATAAATACGTTCTCAGATACATATAAATATAGATAAATACGTTCTCAGATACATATTGATATAGATAAATACGTTCTCAGATACATATAGATAAATACGTTCTCAGATACTGTACATTGTAATTATCGATATTATCAATGATTTGAAAACTTCACAATAATTGATTTATGATTGGTATATAGGATTCGTTGACACTCATCACTGCAGTAATTCTGATATTATCAAATCATCTGTTTGATGGTCCAAGTCTGTCTAGATATTATGGATTTTCTCTTTACTTGATTTAATGTTGATGTTTTTGATTATCTTCGGTTGTAGCATTACGAGTTTGTGATGGACGTAAGTGTGGCGCGAACGCGGTATGTGTGAACTACCAGTGTACATGTACTCGCGGATTCTATGGAGACCCCTACATGCAATGCACACGTAAGGACATGCATTCAAATCAATAAATATTTCTTTTACGTACCCATGAAGTACAGAGATGTAAACAAGTTCGTTATTTAACTAGGATAAATTAAGTTGTTTATAAGACACAGGTAATACATGAACAGATAATAAGAACTTTGAAATAATTTAGGTATTGTGAAGTTTTAACTTTAATTAATTATGAATTCTTAATTGAATTTAATTTATTGACGGCGTTTGGTGAATTATTCACTGTTTATTATCACGTTCATCATGGTTTTTTTTACTTGTATATCTGTAACCATCGAATACAAACTGTTAGTGTACGAATTATGTTTCCTATTGTCTGTACATCAAATAAAAGAAAGAAAATCGTTTATAGTAATCAAAATAGTTGCTTGGTGTATTTTAAAATTATCACTAATTAAATATGTCAATTTAAATACCGGCCATCACGCTTTGACGTTGTAGCTCTGTGTAAAGGGAGACAATGTGTACAGAACGCGTATTGCTACAGAGAGGAGTGTGTGTGTACAGAAGGTTACCATGGTAACGGATATCTGAAATGTGAAGGTAAAGTATTTCTCAAAATTTTAAAAGCAGCTCAATAAACATTGAATGTCACCCATGTTATTCTTGTTAAAGAGATTATGTTCTGTTGGCTAATGATCTGGTGCATTTTTATAAAGATTGTTATTTTTCCAACGATAAATCTTGTATATAGCAACGTCACTATGTGGAGGGAAGATGTGTTCCCCTGACGCCAAGTGTCTCAACTATCAGTGTGTGTGTAGAGACGGCTTTGTAGGAGACGGGTACAGCCATTGTGAAGGTACTTAGATTATACTAATGGTCATGAGGGTTTTGTAATAACCCTCTGTCTTTTTCTACTTCATCATTCGATCATTTATTTGATAATATGACATAATTGATTACGTCATTGATTGTGAGTATATATCATTCTACAAAATTCACCGCTTTGTCGTATTTTTAGTATTCACATTTTTATTGAAAGAGTCCAACTGTTATACATTTCTTCAATAAAATAGACGCTTTATTGGCTCTACTATTTATGTTTTATGTGAATGGTGGAATACACAGAAATTTTTACTTTCTATGCATTCAAGAAATATGTGTTCTCTGTAATAACTTTGTTTTAGGTTATTCCTTATTGAACAGAACATTCTACTTTGTTGTATATGTCACTTAAGTAATCAAAATATATTGTTTCCCGAAGAACTATGCAGTAACAGAAGATGTGCAAAGTTTGCAACATGTAAAGATGGAAAATGCAGGTGTATGGAAGGTTTCCATGGCAACGGATACCTGCAATGTTACTGTAAGTCGACTGACAACAATTAGGAGGTTTTGACTGCTCAAAGACACATTCTATAAACGTTAAAATTGACAACAGCTATATGATGATGAATAGGTTAGTTAAATCGTTGTTAACCAAACCTTACTCTTTGATGATAACGTCCCTAACAGTGATGATGATAACTGTTTTTTTTCCTGACACTACGTAGCCCTGGACTTCTGCGATGGTCGCCATTGTTGTGAGCATGCCACTTGTCTATACGGGAAATGTGTGTGTTCACCTGGGTATGTTGGAGATGGATATGTCTCCTGTAAATGTAAGCATATCTCCTTGTATAGTAAATTGGAGTTAGGTGCAAGTGGAGATTATTTTGTATGAATGACACATCTACTATATCTGTATATATTTTCTGTATGAATGACACATCTACTATATCTGTATATATTTTCTGTATGAATGACACATCTACTATATCTGTATATATTTTCTGTATGAATGACACATCTACTATATCTGTATATATGTTTTCTGTATGAATGACACATCTACTATATCTGTATATATTTCTGTATGAATGACACATCTACTATATCTGTATATATTTTCTGTATGAATGACACATCTACTATATCTGAATATATTTTCTGTATGAATGACACATCTACTATATCTGTATATATTTTCTGTATGAATGACACATCTACTATATCTGTATATATGTTTTCTGTATGAATGACACATCTACTATATCTGTATATATTTCTGTATGAATGACACATCTACTATATCTGTATATATTTCTGTATGAATGACACATCTACTATATCTGTATATATGTTTTCTGTATGAATGACACATCTACTATATCTGTATGTTTTCTGTATGAATGACACATCTACTATATCTATATGTTTTCTGTATGAATGACACATCTACTATATCTAAATGTTTTCTGTATGAATGACACATCTACTATATCTATATGTTTTCTGTATGAGTGACACATCTACTATATATATATGTTTTCTGTATGAATGACACATCTACTATATCTGTATATATTTTCTGTATGAATGACACATCTACTATATCTGTATATATGTTTTCTGTATGAATGACACATCTACTATATCTGTATATATTTTCTGTATGAATAGCACACCTACTATATCTGTATGTTTTCTGTATGAATGACACATCTACTATATCTGTATGTTTTCTGTATGAATGACACATCTACTATATCTGTATGTTTTCTGTATGAATGACACATCTACTATATCTGAATGTTTTCTGTATGAATGACACATCTACTATATCTATATGTTTTCTGTATGAGTGACACATCTACTATATATATATGTTTTCTGTATGAAGGACACATCTACTATATCTGTATGTTTTCTGTATGAATGACACATCTACTATATCTGTATTTTTCTGTATTGATGACACATCTACTATACAGTTGTTTCTGTATAAAAGACACATCATATTCTTGTTTTTTGTATGAATGACACATATATATATATATGTATATATTTATATCTGTATGTTTTCTGTATGAATGACACATCTACTATATCTGTATATATTTCTGTATGAATGACACATCTACTATATCTGTATATATTTTCTGTATGAATGACACATCTACTATATCTGTATATATTTTCTGTATGAATACACACCTACTATATATATATGTTTTCTGTATGAATGACACATCTACTATATCTGTATGTTTTCTGTATGAATGACACATCTACTATATCTGAATGTTTTCTGTTTGAATGACACACCTACTATATCTGTATGTTATCTGTACGAATGACACATCTACTATATCTGTATGTTTTTATGTATGACAGGTCTCCTATATCTGTATTTTTCTGTATTGATGACACATCTCCTACAGTTGTTTCTGTATAAAAGACACATCATTTTTGCGATGACACTATATCTGAATGTTTTCTGTACGAATGACACATCTACTATTTCTGTATGTTTTTATGTATAAATGACAGGTCTCCTATATCTGTATTTTTCTGTATTAATGACACATCTCCTACAGTTGTTTCTGTATAAAAGACACATATCATTTTTGCGATGACACTTTGTACGTTGTGATGTTGTAACATGTAACGTGATTGTTTCCCCATTGAAGCCCTTTGTGGAGGAGAGCGATGTGGTGGTAACGCCGAATGTCAAAACGGCAAATGTGTGTGTTACGACGGGTTTCATGGTACACCCACCATACGCTGTGAACGTAAGTCGATCACCACCAATCAAAGGGATCAATACGCATTGCTTTTGTTTTTTAAACTCTCTGCAATTTCCTCCGAAAGTATGACTCAATTTGCTTGAGAACATGTCTTAATTTGTAGAATTTTCTTCTATTTAAGGAAAATTGTATCTAGAAAGAATACTTCCATAGTTTTACTGGTTTAGTTTCACGTCGGTTGATTTGTCTCTTTTAAAAACTTTAAAGTATTTTTTTAGCTGTTTACACATGCGGCGGGAAGACTTGTGTGACTAATGCCGTCTGTATCAACTACGCATGTCAGTGTCAGACAGGATTCATTGGTAATGGCTACTTGGAGTGTAAGAGTAAGTCTAAAATCTGAGTATACGCTTTTATGATGCTCCTCGAAATTGTAGTAGGGGAGCATATACATTTGTTGTTGTCGCTTTGGCCGTCCGTCCTTCTTTCCGACCGTCCTTTGGTGTTCATAACTTTTCCCATGGTTAAGCATGAATCCTGCTTTAAACCAGGATAATACATTGGTAATATTAAAACATGTGTAGTAAAACAATCCAGGGCCTGTAACCCCTTTATTACAGAATAATTGCACTCTGTTAAAATTCCGTGCCTAATTAAGTTTTCTTCGGGGAGCATTCAACTTCTATCTGCAGTTTAACCGTGTGTACTTACTGTTTTATCCGATAAATCGACAGAAATACATAGAAACATATACTGACTTTGTTCCAAAGTGTAATGTGTGTCAGAATATGAGAAACGTGCCTTATCCTGAAACGTCACTCAGAAATTTACTATTTTTGAAATATGATTTCCCATATGGAAACATTAATATTTAAAATGCTATACAGGAACAGTATTAATACTGAAATTATCCGGGGAAAACATTACAAAACAATACCGCAAACTTCAAGTCATATTAGTTATTCAAGTTCAGAAAAAAACTTTGCCACAAGTAAGACTAAAAAAATCGCCTCTTTCTATAAATTAAAATCTTTGGTAATATCGATATGAAATTCCACTATCAATCTATGACAACTTATCTTACTGTACTCTTAATATCATTGCCATCTAAACGTAATCAATTACTGATCAATTGACTGTGTAGTGTACATTGATTTTGAAAGGTCACATGACAATATACTTTGTTTTTCATTTATTTATAAAGAACACTATATACAAGTATATGTAATTTTTATAGAACTTTGTGGCGAAAGGATTTGTTCCCAACATGCTCAATGTTTGAACGACGAATGCGTGTGTACTGCAGGTTTCCATGGAAATGGATACAACAAATGTGAAGGTAAGTGGTCTCCCACACGTAAAAACGCGAGAGTTTAGTTATTGAATCGATTGTTTTTATTATAGTTGAGTTAACAAATCATATGCACATGAACTACATATTTTAATACAAATTTAATACCAAACGTTAAACGGATTTTTTTCACTTATTTGCAGCCTTGGGCATTTGTGGCGGAACCAACTGTGTTCAGAATGCCCACTGTTTCGACTACGCATGTGTCTGTGACCAGGGTTATATCGGCGATGGCTATAGCAAGTGCGAACGTAAGTTTTTAGCCCACCATCTATAACATAATCGTTGTCCAGCTGTCCGTAAATAATTTTTGTTATCGTTATTTCTTGAGAAGTATTGGGCGAACTTTCTCAAAATGTGTATGTAGGTTTCCCCTGGTCTCTAGTTATGTCATGTGGCGCGTCCCCATGGACTCTAGTTGTGTCCGTTCAATTTTTGGACTGATGCAAAAAATAGCAGACAGGTGACCATCTTGGATTATTTTCAATGAAGATTGTTATGGTTATTCATTGAAAAGTTCTGGGTGAATCTTTCTCATCTGTAGCTTTCCCTTGGTCCCTCGTTCTTCCCGTTTGACTTTGGGCCTGCTCAGGAAAAATAGAATGGTCGAAAGCAGCTATCTTGGATTTCGACTAGAAAAAATTGTTATCGCTATTTCTTAAGAAGTACTGAATGGATCTTTCTCAAACTTCATACGTAAGTTCCCCTTGGTCCCTAATTGTGCCCGATTGGTTTAAGGACTAATTAGGGGAAACAAAATGGCTTCCAGACGACCATATTTCATTTGGCATTTAAAAAATTATGATCACTATTTCTGCAAAGAAATGTTCAGATTTCTTCATGAAGAGTAAATACACAAAAGAGAAGAGAAATGAAGGGAAGAGATCCAACTTTCAAAGAACAAATAAAGATCAAAGAATTGTGGGAGCCGAGATCCCTCTGGGATCTGCTGTGTATTACTATATTTACGTAATTTAATTTGCTTCATTTATCACATCAATGGTGACTCAAATCACCATACTGATGACATCTGAATGTGTTTTCATTATCACGAATACAAAGATGACGTTCTCTATTTTGATTTGAGTAATTTGTAATATCGTAAACTACAACCCTCCAAACATAAAGTACGTTATTTATTCAGTCCCACTTACCATGTAATGTAATTTGTATCTGTTGGTTTGACATTAATCATTTTACATCGTCCTTCCTGTTATCTAGCTGTGTGTGATTTCCGACGCTGTGCAGAATACGCTTACTGTGATGCTAATGAGTGTGTCTGTCAGAACGGGTACCAGGGTAATCCCTACATCAGATGTGAACGTAAGCACGGACATTTCACCACTTAACGTTTAATTTCCTGGCTAAATCATTGCGTGAAGCATGTAATTGAAGCTGCCACAACTTTGTATATAGGATATTACCGTAGCAATTAACATTTGAACACATTTGGAAATGACATAAACCATTTCTATATGAAGAGAAATTCCTCTATCAGATTATTGTGATTCTAATGATACCTTACATACTTACAGCTGCCAGTGTTTGTGACGGAAGAACATGTGCCTCATTTGCTAAATGTATCAACTACGAATGTAAATGTAACCATGGCTATATCGGAGATCCCTACAACAAGTGTGAACGTAAGTTTTACACTGAAACATGTATGTTACACCGACTTTGAATTAAATTAAATGTGAAGTTTACACTGAAACATGTATGGTAAACAGACTTTGAAATAAAATAAATGTGAAGTTTTATACTGAAACATGTATGATACACCGACTTTGAATTAAATTAAATGTGAAGTTTTATACTGAAACATGTTTGGTACACCGACTTCGAATTAAAATAAATGTGAAGTTTTATACTGAAACATGTATGGTACACAGACTTTGAATTAAATTAAATGTGAAGTTTTATACTGAAACATGTTTGGTACACCGACTTCGAATTAAAATAAATGTGAAGTTTTATACTGAAACATGTATGGTACACTGACTTCGAATTAAATTAAATGTGAAGTTTACACTGAAACATGTATGTTACATCGACTTTGAATTAAATTAAATGTGAAGTTTTCACTGAAACATGTATGGTAAACAGACTTTGAATTAAATTAAATGTGAAGTTTACACTGAAACATGTATGGTAAACAGACTTCGAATTAAATTAAATGTGAAGTTTTATACTGAAACATGTATGGTAAACAGACTTTGAATTAAATTAAATGTGAAGTTTACACTGAAACATGTATGGTAAACAGACTTCGAATTAAATTAAATGTGAAGTTTTCACTGAAACATGTATGGTAAACAGACTTTGAATTAAAATAAATGTGAAGTTTTATACTGAAACATTTATGGTACATCGACTTCGAAATAAAATAAATGTATGGTTCACCGACTTTGAAATATAATAAATGTGAACAGAACTTTTACATTGGAAGATAATAAAGAAGTTTCACTATGAAATATTCTAGAGACGTAGATTGAACAACAGCAAAGAAAATACCAACGTGTCATCTTGTAGCATAATTCAAACTGTAATTCAATAAAACTAGGGGGAAATATGAACAAAGGAAATATTTAATCGAAGTCTCCTGAAAAAATACAAGATGAATAAGACAAGTGTTGCGGACAGGTAAGTATCTTCTGCTTCGTCAACTACACTTGCCATGTAAATTTTGGTTCAAAGTCATTAATGTCACGTGCCTTAAATGAGAACAATATATACAACAACGGAACCAACAGGCAAACCAACAAACATCAAACACTTCCAACTACATATATTATGAAGAAATGGAATATTATCCAATGGGATTATTATAACGACCATATTTTCCCCCATAAAACATCGTTTCCATCAACTTGCATATTTCGAAATCGTGTCTTGTTAGGTTGTCTGTCAGTTGCATATTGGTTTTGAGAACACGTCATTGAATATCGAATCAATTGCGAAACAAAATAGATCCGAGAACTTTGATTTTTCGTAGTGAAAGATTCAATGTATTACATTTGGTACTCAATATCTACCATTTTTTATACAGCTCTATGTGGTGGACAAACTTGTGCGAATTATGCTGTGTGTAAGGATAACAAATGTGTGTGCAGTTTTGGTTACCAAGGAAACGGTTTGATCTTGTGTGAACGTAAGTAAATTCTAAGTTTCAACCATTTGTTATAAATGTATTAATTTGTACAGTACGCATGCTTCAGAAAAAAATAGAATTGGCTCAGTAAAACACACTTTTACTTTTGATCCATGTTCCTAGTACTTGTCACCAACTGTCATCACACAGAAGTAATGTATACCAACGTTACTTCATTCTCTTCTGTTAAACTTACCGCTGTACTGAAAGATTGAAACAAAGGGCGGTAACTCTGGGAGATCAGCATTAAGAGTTAAACAATAATCACGTTTCAGCTGTCATGTGTGTACTAAATGTATTTCTTCTCTGTGCATTTAGAAACACATAAAGGTGCCTGTTCTTATATTTAAATTTGATTTATATTACAGCGCCATACTTATGCGGAAGGAAAATCTGCACAGAGTTTGCAGAGTGCATCAATTATGTGTGTAAATGTAAAAAAGGATTTCATGGAAATGGTTACAATAAATGTAAACGTAAGCAAATACATATTGTTATACACTGTTAATGGGAAAATAAACACACATCGAAGGATGATGTACAATACACCATGTACTTTGTGAAGTTAGTCTGTAAGCCTATATAGATATATTTCATATTTGAGTCAGTCGTGTTGGTGTTTGATTTATGACGTCAGTTTCTTAAACACATCTTGTAACAAAAATAAGTGATGTATAAGACTGGTTGTTTATATAAATATATAGGTTTTTGTGACGGTTTGTATCGGTTCACACAATGTGTAGGTAAGTGTGTACTATTTTAATTCCGGAAATATATTTGATGTCTCTCACAGGATTGTGTGATGGACGCTCGTGTGTAGATCACTCTTCTTGTATAGACGGAAAGTGTGAATGTGACACGGGATACAGTGGCGACGCCTACATACAATGTGAAGGTATGTATGAGACCCAGGGTACAGTGGCGACGCCTACATACAATGTGAAGTATGTATGATACTCAGGGTACAGTGGCGACGCCTACATACAATCTGAAGGTATGTATGAGACCCAGGGTACAGTGGCGACGCCTACATACACATTGAAGGTATATATGAGACAACTGTTGTAACATTTTATCTTTATTTTTCAATGACGTAAATGTAGATTGACATTTAATTGCCTTTTTTTCTATAAGAATCAGGAAGTTGTGGTGGGAAGACTTGTACAGAGAATGCATCCTGTAAGAACTACCACTGTTTGTGTGACCCTGATTACTACGGGGACGGTTACACTCGCTGTTTACGTAAGACCACTTTTGTTTTAATATTTTCAAAACATAATATTTAATCTGATATTACCGAATGTTCAATGTTATTGTCTCATCATTTACATAACGAAATAATATATCTACAAATAATTTGAGGGATTGTTGTCATTAACCTGCTGGTCTTGAGATGGCTGGAAATGTAAATTGTAGGTTGAAAATATGTAGATCACAGTACACCTACTGGACATGCCCTATATCTATCATGACAGGAAAACCGTAAGTAAAGGTTTAAGTCGTAAGTGACTTAGTGGTTAGCTGTATAGATGTTATTGGCGGTTTTGTTTTCACTTTTCGTATTTCAGGCATCTGTAAGGGTATACCATGCGTCGACCACGCAGAGTGTACAGAAAGTGGTTGTAAATGCACACAAGGTTACCATGGAGACGGATACATCAAATGTGAACGTAAGTTCTTGTCTACATCAAATGTATCTATTGTAGTGTTCATTTAAGATCAGTATGATTTAAAAGGCACCTACAGGTTATTGTAATGTATGAAATTGTGTACTGCTCGAGACAAGGGAATGCCCATATGACCATTGAATAGTGCCATAATCACAGGAATGGTCATATGAAAATTTTCTACTGCCAGATTCAACGAATTCTGCATAAAGGACTACAATTTGAAAATTAATTAATTGTTAAGGACGAGGTAGCAAACAGGTACTTTTCCAACTGTTGACATACATGTATTGTCTCGTGAGCTACTTTACAGATTGGAAATATCACATTGTTTGGGTACGTGTTCTGGTGCCAGTGGTGCACACTGATAACCAATTAAACTGAGGTCTTACAATTTATGGTCAATTGGTATCAAGTGACAAAAACATAAACATATGCCTTGAAGCATGAATCTGTCATGGAAACATCTGAATGTATAACTTTTCGGACATCAGCTAATGGGTTCTGTAATGGAGATCGATGTGCTGAATACGCTGAGTGCCAGAACTACAGGTGTAAGTGTCGGCCTGGGTACAGTGGAGATGGCAATACAAAATGTACAGGTATGTGTTACAGCGTATCAAAAAGGCACACCTGTAAAACCTTAAACAAATTAATACTCTATTTATAATATTTAAATTTTGTTCATGGAAATTATGGAAAAGATATTTAATCTTGTTAAAATTAATGTTAAATTAGAATCGGTTCTCTCTCTTCAGCTACCATTTAGTTTACATTTGTTGGCAAATTTACGGTGAAATCGATTTGCTTTCATAAAAAAAACTTTATGTATACCTTCAATAGTGTGTTTACTGTTTAGTTCGTAAATTATTGCACTCGTGTGTGTTATTGTCGATACGTTACAGAGCTCTGTAACGACCGGCTATGTGTTGCTAACTCCATTTGTGTGGACAACAAGTGTCAGTGTGCCGAAGGATTTCACGGAAACGGACACGTATTGTGTGAACGTAAGTGTTCAGAATTTTAGGTTTGTGACATGAGTAATAGTTGATTTAACTTGTTTTATTGTGTTTATCTTATTAGCTTTTACGTGTTTAATTGTTTATTTATGATATTTTATTGAATGTTATTAACATTGTTAACCCTGTTAGGTTTATTATGTGTTGCTTTGCTATCTAAACATACTGTAAGTGTTGCTTTGCTATCTAAACATAATGTAAGTGTGGCTTTGCTATCTAAACATACCGTAAGTGTTGCTTTGCTATCTAAACATAATGTAAGTGTGGCTTTGCTATCTAAACATACTGTAAGTGTGGCTTTGCTATCTAAACATACCGTAAGTGTTGCTTTGCTATCTAAACATAATGTAAGTGTGGCTTTGCTATCTAAACATAATGTAAGTGTGGCTTTGCTATCTAAACATAATGTAAGTGTGGCTTTGCTATCTAAACATACCGTAAGTGTGGCTTTGCTATCTAAACATACTGTAAGTGTTGCTTTGCTATCTAAACATACTGTACGTGTGGCTTTGCTATCTAAACATACTGTAAGTGTGGCTTTGCTATCTAAACATACCGTAAGTGTGGCTTTGCTATCTAAGCAAACACACGCTTTGTTGTTTTAACGCACAGTTAGAGTTGTTTTGAGGACCACATACGTTTTCTTTGCTGACGAGTAAACAGATTTAGCAAGATACTTATATGTTTGTTGAAATACGCACCTAAACATATCACATATTTTTAGTATGGTATGATATATATTTTAGCGACTACTGTGTGTGGTGGTAAGGAATGTTCTGTGAACGCGGAGTGTGTGAACTTCCAATGTCAGTGTCAACAAGGATATGTTGGGGACGGTATCAAGAAATGTAAAGGTAATTATCCGATTTTTATGGCTTGATAACAACAACACATTTTCAAATCGCTTTACTTTTCGCATACCAGAAATAGTATTGTTTTGTGATAGCAATTTGTAAATCAGGTAATATGTTCTATTGTTTTAGCCCTTTGTGGGACAATCAAGTGTGTGGAGTTTGCATCCTGCATCGACGACAAATGTGTGTGTGACAAGGGCTATCACGGAGACGGCAATACTAGATGTGAAGGTATTATAGAATATCATTCCCGATAAAAGTTCAACTGTATCGAAATATTTATATCACTTCAAAATCTTCTTAAAGAACAAGAACAATATGCATATAAGCACCAAGCAAACTTTATCTTTAAAATGAATTTTTATTATTGTAGTGGACGGATTTTGTGACGGAAAAACGTGCGCGGCATTTGCGCATTGTGTTAACTTCCAGTGCGTTTGTATGACGGGTTATCGGGGTGACGGGTACGATGAGTGTGACGGTAAGGTTTCATTTACACACATTTAGCATACTCCTTTACATTTTCACATCTATTCAAATTAAGTAAAAAATATATTTTTTCAATGTCTGAACTTAATACCGTTTTAATGCGTCGTTATCATGGTGATGATAAGACAAACTAACATCACCTGCTATAAGAATGATAAAACCTTTAATTCTATAGGTACCATACGAATACAAGTATGAGCCTTTTTCATATAAAGCGAAATTATAATCCATCTTCACTTGTACAGAAATATGTGGTGGACAGATATGTACTGACAACGCTGAATGTCACGACGGCAAATGCACGTGCATTTCCGGATACCATGGTGATGGATATATCCGTTGTGAAGGTGTGTTAACGTATTTGTTTATAGATCTTACATGACTTACAACAATAATAAATCTAGCATAATATGAAGAAGAGAAATAAGATCGAATGTTAAAGACGTTAAAAATATCTGTATAAAGAAAAAACGGATTTCAATTAAAAGCGTAAAGCAACTTCGACATATTTCTGTTTTCAGTTAATGGTATATGCGGGGGTCAGAGATGTGTGGCAAATTCAGAATGCACCAACTTCCAGTGCGTTTGTAAGGAAGGGTTCGTCGGAAACGGCCGAACTTTCTGTGAACGTATGTACAAAGTGTTATTTTGATTATGCAATAATTTTATGGACGCCTTGAAAGGAGATGTATATAGAGATCTGTTTATTTTCTTAGATAAAAGTGTTCAGACGATGTGCTAGTTCATGATGAATGTATGTGATTGAATTACGACAAAAGTAAAGAAAATAGTCTTTTACTTATATTTCAGCTCTTTGCAAAGGCAGAAAATGCACTTCGTTTGCATACTGTTCCCAAGGGAGTTGCATGTGTAAGGAAGGTTACCATGGAAATGGTTACCAGAAATGTGAATGTACGTTGTCAGACAAATCGTGTAGATAAGTTTCTTTAAAACGATGAAATAAGGAATGTGAATAAAGTGATAAAATTATGTAAATATTGAAGTAAAGAAACTTCGACATGACAGGATCCTAGAGTAAACACACTGGATATTACAATCATAATTTAACCAGAGATTATTTATATAGTAATTATCTAATAATGACTCTATAAACACATTAATGTCTTCCTGAATCATTATTATCTAGTATAATTGTTTATACTGTGTTTTTTTTTTATTTTGATTTCATTTTCAAAAGAGAGTTTTTTTTTCAATAGTGGCAATTCTGATTCAAATATATATATTACGTTTGCCAGTTGTCTTCTTTTATATTTTATTTTAATTTTTGACGTCACCATAACAGCTGTGGAGTATTGCGGCGGGAAACAGTGTGCTGCCAATGCCGAATGTTCTAACTATGTGTGTCGTTGTAAACAAGGATATATCGGAGATGGGACCACGAAGTGCGAAGGTAGGTAAAGAGCAGAGGAGAGCCGAGGGTAACTAAATGTAAAGGTAGAGATAAAGGTGCGAGGCACGTAAGTTAGAGTGACGGTAGATATAGAACAGAATGTAACTAAGTGTGATGGTAGATATAGAACAGAATGTAACTAAGTGTGACTGTAGATATATAACAGAATGTAACTAAGTGTGACGGTAGATATAGAACACAATGTAACTAAGTGTGACTGTAGATATAGAACAGAATGTAACTAAGTGTGACGGTAGATATAGAACAGAATGTAACTAAGTGTGACGGTAGATATAGAACAGAATGTAACTAAGTGTGACGGTAGATATAGAACAGAATGTAACTAAGTGTGACGGTAGATATAGAACAGACTGTAGATATAGAACAGAATGTAACTAAGTGTGACTGTATATATAGAACAGAAGGTAACTAAGTGTGACTGTAGATATAGAACAGAATGTAACTAAGTGTGAAGGTATATATAGAACAGAATGTAACTAAGTGTGACGGTAGACATAGAACAGAGTGTAACTAAGTGTGACTGTAGATATAGAACAGAAGGTAACTAAGTGTGACGGTAGATATAGAACAGAGTGTAACTAAGTGTGACTGTAGATATAGAACAGAAGGTAACTAAGTGTGACGGTAGATATAGAACAGAATGTAACTAAGTGTGACGGTAGATATAGAACAGAAGGTAACTAAGTGTGACTGTAGATATAGAACAGAAAGTAACTAAGTGTGAAGGTATATATAGAACAGAATGTAACTAAGTGTGACGGTAGACATAGAACAGAGTGTAACTAAGTGTGACTGTAGATATAGAACAGAAGGTAACTAAGTGTGACGGTAGATATAGAACAGAGTGTAACTAAGTGTGACTGTAGATATAGAACAGAAGGTAACTAAGTGTGACGGTAGATATAGAACAGAATGTAACTAAGTGTGACGGTAGATATAGAACAGAATGTAACTAAGTGTGACGGTAGATATAGAACAGAATGTAACTAAGTGTGACGGTAGATATAGAACAGAAGGTAACTAAGTGTGACTGTATATATAGAACAGAAGGTAACTAAGTGTGACGGTAGATATAGAACAGAATGTAACAAAGTGTGACGGTAGATATAGAACAGAATGTAACTAAGTGTGACGGTAGATATAGAACAGAATGTAACTAAGTGTGACTGTAGATATAGAACAGAATGTAACTAAGTGTGACGGTAGATATAGAACAGAATGTAACCTAGGTGTGACGGTAGATATAGAACAGAATGTAACTAAGTGTGACGGTAGATATAGAACAGAATGTAACTAAGTGTGACGGTAGATATAGAACAGAATGTAACTAAGTGTGACTGTAGATATAGAACAGAATGTAACTAAGTGTGACTGTAGATATAGAACAGAATGTAACTAAGTGTGACGGTAGATATAGAACAGAATGTAACTAAGTGTGACTGTAGATATAGAACAGAAGGTAACTAAGTGTGACTGTAGATATAGAACAGAATGTAACTAAGTGTGACGGTAGATATACAACATATTGATGAAGGAAGTAACTAGCTGTGAAGGTAAATATAGTTGAAGGAAGTTACTATGTGTGACAGTAGATATCAACCGCCACTGTTAATTCAATCGGATCTGTTTTCATTTAGTATCAGTCTTTATATTGTTCCTGTCTTCATTAAGTAGCAATCTTTATATTACTAACTTTCAGTAACGGTTCGCGATATACTACAGTATATTGTAAGGAGATTCAGTAGCCTTGATAAAGCAGTCAATCGTGACTTCAGTTGTTGAATTAGTTAATTACATTTTAGAAAAAATAATTTCAATAAAACATTACCAGAAAATTACGTTGATAGCTAAATTTAATTCTTGTTTCAATCATCAGAACTTTGTGGCGGACGCAAATGTGTAGACCATGCAGAGTGCAGACAAGACACATGTTTCTGCGAAGAGGGCTACCATGGAAATGGATTTTTCAAATGTGAACGTAAGCTTTCAAAAAAAATAAATACCAAACAGTTGAGGATTTTGTAGTGAATTCACTGAGCATCATTTAGAATTATTGTACAGGACAGTATAATTTGAGTACATAGCATTATAGAAATGTATAAAGAGATGAAAGCATGGTCCATTTTCACGCCACAAACAAATGTATTTCCTTGTTTAATATATAATTAGACGTGTTATGCTCGTTAGTTTGCTGGTGTGTTCCGTTATTTTTACCTTGGTTTTTTTTCCAGAACGTGGCATTTCTTACTTGGATTGCCCTAGGTTTACACGGCGTGTGACGTCGATGAAGCAGAAAACGCTAACTCTTTCCGGATATTTGGTCCTATTCTCCTTTTAATTTTTTTAGGAATCTCCGTATAAATCTTTTGTTCATACATTGCCTTAGTTTCATCGAATTTGAGTTGGAATTCAGATTATGTTGACTTGTCGGTATTTCTAAAATAGGAATTCAAGTGATGAATCACAACACAGTGATTTCGGAGTGAAACGTACAAGTTTATATTTTTTTCTTGAAGAATTTAGGTAACCATGTATATATCGATTTGCAGCTGAAGGCATTTGTAACGGCCTACCATGTGCCCCCAATGCCTACTGCAATAACTACATGTGTTTGTGTGAAAGGGGATACTTTGGAAATGGATATAAAAAATGTAATCGTGAGTATTCTGAAAGTATCTATTGTTCAATATGCTAATATACGCATATAGCATAAATAAGAGGTGAAAGTTGTGACGTATGCAAAATTATCATACGTTTTCCTATTCATGTGATGCTATTGATGATGCCAGGAAATATGTAACATTCCGAATGACATTTGTATATGTATATTGAAATACATGTGCGTAAATCTTTTGAACTTCAGCCTTCTGTAACGGACGTTTATGTGTGGAAAATGCTGATTGTGCCAATGGAACTTGTACCTGTCACCAAGGTTACCATGGCAATGGATACTTAAAGTGTGAACGTACGTATAGTGTTTCTCTCTATATGAAAACTGCATTTCAAAGTTACTTTCTTACAGTCAGAAATGATTATGCAGAAGGTGTATTCTGAAAATGGTTATAAAATTATTTCCGTTTTTAAAACTAAATTCCTTCCACGTCAAGATGTTAAAAAGGTCAGGTAGGCAACGTTGTGTACAAGATAAAAATGCAAATAGAAATGGTTTCTTTAGTTTGTCTCGGTGCATTCTGTCTCTGATATAAGCTGTTTTTCATTTTTTTTCTTGGTTTGTTTGCAGCCCTTGGTTTGTGTGGAGGTCGGAAGTGTGCGGATTACGGAACGTGTGAGAACTTCCGGTGTGGTTGTAGACACGGTTACTATGGGGACGGCTACAACTTCTGTGATCGTATGTAACAAATCAACATAAGTAGATGAAACGCTTGGAATTATGCTTAACTGAATTAAGATCTGTTACAAAGAATGTTGTTGAATAAGACTTGTTGGTTAAAATAAATATCTTATTAATATTAAACATATTCATTTTGTTGGCATTATATAATATTTTGTGTTGTGATTATGACGTTTTCATACATCTTGATTTAAAGCTAAAGGATACTGTAGAGGAAGGAAATGTGCTGAAAATGCTGTCTGTGATGACGGACGGTGTGTTTGTAAGGGTGGTTACTATGGTGACGGTGAAGTGGAATGTAAAAGTAAATCTTACTTAATATTGCTTACAAACAATAAACACTGACAATGATGTTCTACATGGAAGGTCTATAGTATATCCACTGGCAAAGGAATCTCTGTTTGTACCGTAATCTTTTGGTATTGGAGATATAAGCATCGCTTGGTTTATATTTGTTGAATGCGGTTGAAATCTTTATGCTGTTAACTTACATGTTTCATCGACAATCTCAGCGCTCTTCGAACTAAAAATAATGCGCTTAATAGGATTGCGCTAGTTACTATTTCTGACTTCTTGATATAGCAAGTGTTATGGATATGTTCTCATTACATTAATTTATAAAATTGTCATTATACGATTAAATTTGTTGCGCCAAATACAATGCATTACAGTTTCTAAATGATGGGATAGAAAGGTGATATATTCTCTTATCCTTTCTCTGACACCTCCAAGTTACAGGACGATTACGTCAATCTTCTTGTGATGTATTTGTCAGGAAGATGTGTATGTACTGCATCTGGGGACCCTCACGTGCGAACGCACGACGGAGAGAGCATCGATGTTACTAATGCATGCCGATATATTCTCACTAAGTCAACCATAGCATCCGACGCATGCGCATTCACTGTGAAAATAAACAACAGTCACGAGGGATTGAATTCGTCTACGTGGGTGAAATCGGTTGATATACAGATCTATGACACCAAGCTCAGTTTGGGAAGTGATTACAAGTTTTATGTAAGTTAGTGATGTCAATAGACGTCCTATTCATAGGGACCCTGGTCTTGCAGAGGACAACATCATTAGTCTCTGTTTAAACAACATGAATGTGGTTGACATTTTATTCAATTAGCGTAGTGCTTCACCTGAAAATAATTTCTATGCATAACGGTTAAATTGCTGTGGAGCTACAACCTGCATATTTGATATCTTTTACACGTCTTATTTTAGACGTTATATGCAAGCCAAAAAACGTTAATCTAACATATATTGAACAATCGTTTAAGGTGAATGGCTATCTTCGTTATACGCCGAATTTCGTGGCTGACGGGAATGTTAGGATATACATGTCAGGTCAGTGGCTGGTAGTATGGACAAAGTGTGGCCTTGTTGTTTGGTGGGATGGACACGGTGCCGTTGTGGTGCGGGTGCCGTCACGATACCACGGAGAACTTAAGGGTTTATGTGGCAACTGTAACGGTGTGGGGCAAGATGACTTCACTACTGCAGACGGCAAGAACGTGGCAGACCACCCAGCGGAAAAGAGAGACATGCTTATAGCCGGTAGCTACATAGTTCAAGAGGCAATTCGACCTGAAAATAATCAAAGGTATGGAACTTGTTTTGTTTTATATGAAACTCGTTTCCATTTCAGTTAAGACTATGTGTCTCACATATGTTTATGTATATCTTGGGTAAATCCAGTGTCTCACTCTTGTTTATGTTTATCTTGTGTAAATCCTGTGTCTCACTCTTGTTTATGTTTATCTTGTGTAAATCCATGTCTTACCCATGTTTATGTTTTAAGGATGGATTTTTTTTTCTTTTCAGAAAATGCTTGATCTCGGTTCCAACAATTTTGTGTAGTGAGGAGAGAAAATTAACAGCTTCCAAACCAGATATGTGTGGACTGCTGGATTTATCTAGGGTAGAAAGCCCGTTCCGGAAGTGCATGGATTTTTACCCATACTTAGCGCGACGTGTATACCAAGCGTGTGTTCGAGATGTTTGTAGATACTTTGAATTTCAAATCAAGTTGGAACAGATCATCAGAGCCTATATGGCGGAATTCGCCCTGGAATGTAGCCAGAGAGGGTTTACCATACGATACAGAACATCAACATTTTGTTGTAAGTAAAAAAAAAAATCCGATTCTTTTTTACGCATTAAATTGTTTAAAGCGTCTGTAATTTCTTTTCCTATATCGGCTATCAATCTGGGTTAAGATATTGATGAACTATAGACCAAACAATAACTGAAGATCTAACTTGAAATTTAAGTTAATCTTTGGCAGTGTAATCGAATTTTTTCTGTAATCTTCAGCTTATCAAAGGATCTCATTGGCTAACAGTACTGGTGATGTATATTGTGTTTCTATAGCTATTAAGTGCAAGGAAAATATGAGGTACTCGGACACAGTCAGTGGATGTCCCGCAACGTGCATGCATCCTAATCAGACCTGTGATCTTCCGACCTCTGATGGGTGCGAGTGTCAGCCCGGGTACGTCCTGGATGGAGACAAATGCGTCAAACCTGAGATGTGTGGTTGTGTTTGTCCAATCGAAACCTATGTACCTGTGAGTCTGTTTACAGTCTTTGAATAATTCATATCGCTTAATATAAAGGAGTGTGTCACATAAGCAATCATTTTGCACGGATGCAATATATGTATCAGATGGTTATCTATTGATGCATACATATATATTTATACCGATAATGACAAGAGTAGTAATACGATGATGAATCAATTCTATGTCAAATTTTCGAAGCAGTTAGCCTCTTTATCAAGACACCGGAAAGCTTTAGAAAACACAACTAACACCTCACAGCGATTACTTAAGGAAATACGAAAACATAACAATCTTATCGATGTTCAAAATATGACTTCTTTCGGTCGATTACAGTCATAGGCTATCAAGATAAGTATTACAGTCGAAATTCGTTATCTCGAACTCGGCGTGACCAAAATTTCGAGATAACCGAATTTTCGATTGAAGTAAGTTTTAATAATTTGTGTAAAGTTAGACAGGGACTGACGAAATGCTTCCAATCAAAGAGTGCCTTCGAGTTATACGAGTTCGAGATAACGAGGTTCGGTTGTAAATGGTCAGTGAAACATACGTAGTGTGGACTGTGTGTGTTCTCCAAGTGTTTTCATTGGTGGAATAAGACTGATCGACTCGATATTATGCGCTGAACATACTTAGACATATTTTTCATGGACCTGTTTATTTTTTCCGGAGTTGAAGGGGTCGTAGAGCACGTGTTTAAGAAAGAGATATCTAAATTATTACATTCTGAAGACGCATGTACCTAACCTATTATTGGCATATATATGAAATAAACATCATGCATGAATTATGGAACCAACACAAAACAATTTTTGTTACGTTTGTTAAACAGATTGGCGGTACGTTTGTGACGGAGGATTGCAGTGAGAAGATGACATGTAAACATATCAATGGACTGGCTCGTTTCAGACGGACAGAGATAGATATTGAGTGTCACACTCATGGCATGTGTGGTCTGTTGGACGGGGTCCCTACCTGTGTATGCATGCCCGGTTATCATGGAGACGGCAGACAGTCGTGTGTTGAAAGGTGATCTCAATGGACTTAATGGAATGATAGGAAATCGAATTTAACCAAAAGTCATTGTCTTAAGTTTGGTTTAAACAGTATCCTATTTTAAGAGGTTTTATTTTGCAATAGTTGTTCAGTTAACAGTGTGGACTGGAGTAATAAAATAAACCGAAAACTTATATCAGTTTCTGTCTCCGAAAGTTTGTACAAAGGAAAGGTAGTGAGAGAAAAAGAGGAAAAATCATAGATAGGAAATGTTGTTTGTTAGTTATCCATTCATTTTCATCGATAATGTCAAACAACATCAGTAAAAATGGAAGTATCGTATATAAGTATCAGACATTCATTACAATTTTCCTATCGTAAATTTTCCATTTCTGGATGATAACAACCGTGCTCCCCAAACTTAAGGTGTCAACATTTCGGAGTTGATTCGACATTCAAAAACCTCACATGTGGGTTAAAGTTGTATCTCATTTTCTTGGCCAGTAGTTTATATATATATATATATATTTGCTATATTTTGTGTTTTTATCGCGTTTATTTGTGTAATTATGTTGGCATAAATTAGTGGATGTTGGATAAGATCAAACAATAACAGACATGACTTCAAGTTTAATGAACTACGCCTAGTTTCATGAAAGACGACGAGTTTTTCTTCGTTGATCGCAGCCGTGATTGGCTGTCATGACAACGATGAAGACGGTATACATCTAATGTTCAAAAATCGTCCGACGTCTAACTATAACCAAATGCGTACAACATAGTCTTCCTTGATTGTGTCAGATATGTTAAGAAATGCAAGAGAATTCTTAAGCTTTTGCATATCAATAATTATTCAATAATTTTGACGTTTCCATCGGTCTTATGATGCATAAACAAAGTTCCAATATTGACAGGTGAACATAAACATTTACTCTATAAATCACTCCAGAAAACCCCATTATCCTAAAGTATTCAAAACAACACAATATTGTCGGAATCGTATTGGATTAGAAGCAAAAGAGCTGTCCACTCGTTCAAAATTCAATTTAATGGAAACATGGTATCAAAATATTGCCACAAATGGCATTACAACGTCATATTTACACTGAATATAAAACAACATAATATTGTCGGAATCGTATTGGATTAGAAGCAAAAGAGCTGTCCACTCGTTCAAAATTCAATTTAATGGAAACATATATATATGAAACCTCTGGCTAGATTTAGTGACCATGTGTTTATGTAGACTCACGTGACAGCCACGTGACTTATTGGGTATACGCAGACTGCCGCATACATCTAGGAAGTTACATTGATTATCGTGTATGGTGCAACGGGATAAAAGAAATCATCGAGATAATAGAAGTTTTCCAAATTGATTTTTATAGAGTTTTGAGATGAAAAAATGACCAACATGAATCAGCATATGCTGTTCACAAAACCACGATTTTTGTGCAAGATCTCGTCAACTGACAAGCAAACTCATACCACAGAGTTTACAGCGATGACGGTTGATAAAAATTATGGGGAAGGTTTACGGTCGTCTTGGAATATCATTGAGAAATATTCTATTTCTTCGTGTGATATAAAGCTGAACGTATTTGAGGCTAGTTTGCCTTTGGACTCTGCTGTTGTTGTACGCTTGCCTCTACAGTATCTAACTATAAATTTCATCAACAGGTGCTATTCACGTGTGTCTTCACTTGTATCTTATAATACAATCCCAAGACTTACTATAAATGTTCATTGAAACACATCGTTGGTAATGATATTTCAAATCAAGAAACAGTCTCAAAAAGGTAAGTTGAAGGGGTAATCTGGATGATCTTTGCTTCTGAAAAAGAGAATTTTAGAAAATCTAAACCACTATAGAAGACTGAGAACTACTGAGGAAGATATTGGTGTACCATCCGCTGTATTGAAATAATAAATAATCATGTTTGATATTGAAGAGAATCGAAAAGTTAAAATAGATTGATTGAGAACGTGGTCAAAGTAGAATTACATAGGGAGAAGGAAGAGCTATGTATACATATATGTATATAGATAAACTTACTTTACACGTCCAAATCGGCGTATCCCATCATCTAAACCAGCAATGCTTTTCAGGTCTTCTTCGCTGAATTCGAAGTCATACACCTGTCAATACAAAAAATCATAACAACGATGTATGCAAATGTGTCGGGACAAGATTGTTATGGAAATAGCTTACATGATTGATAAAATTCTCGATAGGCGAACACATAATCTCTGAATCATGTAATCTGACACACCTTTCGATGTTTTTTGTTACTTTTATGAAGAACTCACCTGGTCACAAGTTTTTTTTTTTTTTTATAGATTATTAGCATATCAATTACGGTGTATACTCTATAGCAACGGTGGTAAAATGGTGGCTATGAACTTTAATAGCAATTTCCTAATGAATATTTTTTTCGGGAAACCTGGTGCATCAATTTCAATTTCTGAAGAAGAGGTTACTAAATGTTATATTCGTACTACTGTATGTTTTAGTATGACATCGATAAAGTGATGTTACGACTTTAATTTATTCAGCACGATAAACAATAGTTAAGACAAAGATCATTACCTGTAAGTTGGCAGTAAGTCGGTCAGGATTGGTCGACATCGGAATCACCACTATATCCCTGTCGACTAGGCTCTTGAGCAAAATCTACAATATATTGTTTGTTTCAGCAACTGCTGAACATGATCACCATTTCAAAAATATAAATGTATAAAGTATAAGTTTGGTTTCACGGAGAAGTGATGCTAGTTACAATCACTAAAACCTCACCTGCCCCGTGTTCTTTCTGTATCTTTCAGCTAGTTTACTAATGATGGGATCCTGGAGTAAAGGGACTTTTTCCTCGACAGTACTGCAAGACAAATTATAGTTAGCTTGTACTAAAATGTCTGTAGGTATATCTATTGTCCCCGTGTATATATTGATAAAACAATACATTCAACTTGGAAGAGGATGTTGGTTGCTTACACTAAGAAGAATGACGCTTATAAGTGAAGGGCATATCTGTTGGTTATCGAATATTGAGTATAGAATTTCATAAACGCTCAAAATACTACTGTTTCGTCCCTCGATGACTCGTTCCTGTGAAGCTAAGGGCCTCAATGGGAAATAAAGGAGGCGACTAAGGAAAATTCAAATTGATCGGAAAAAAATGTTGAAATCTAGATGGGGAGGAGCATTAGTTCTGGAATGGTAATTTTCATATATCGCATAATTTTAGATGTATTACTTCTGCAAGCTTGGATGACCTGGAGAGCCCATAGGAGCATACGCCGTTAGCAGGATATCTCGTTCTCCACAGAACCGCTGGAGTTGATGTTGAGGAAAACGAACGTTAAGTTCGACCTGGACAAATATAAAATCAAGTAACTAGTACTGCCACTTTTGATATTGACACATTACAACATTTTACTATAGGATAGTGTTTAGAGGTAGAGATAATAGAATATGGACGAATGAATGTAATTAGTAATGAAGGAAGACTTTACTGATAACAAAATACAGAAATCATATTTAACCGTCAGCGAAATGATAAAATGTGGAAATAGGAAGGCTGCCATGTGCAATTTAAGTTAAGCACAAACTGATTTTCACATGATTGCACAGGTTTAATTTTAAATAGGACACTGTCTTTACTCTACATGAACAATAATACAGTTGTATTTCATTTTAGAACAGATAAATGTATAAACTGAATGATTACTTGATTAATAACTGGTTTAATTCTTGCCCCGTCGCATATATAATCAATTTGCTGTGAGTTGAAGTTGGACAGACCAATTGATTTAGCCTTCCCTGAAAACACCAACTCTTCCATGGACTGAAATAGAGACGGGAATACCAATACGATATAACAAAGTTATGTATTACACATTTAATGTCGTTTCAATTTAGATAAAAATATTTCATTGTGGACAAAATTGAAATTAAGCAACGATTTAAATTATCTACTGATTGCTATCGGTTTTATTCATGATGTAATTTCTGTGTCAGATATACAATGACTCTATATCCAATTTGATTTCATCCACTTTCAGATTTAACAAGAAGTAACCATTAAAAACACATCATTCCAATACATACTATACATTGATCTGAAAATTAAAATGATTTTTATCTGCAGCTACACACAAATTGGAAAAATAATACGTTACCGACATAAAAGTTACGGTTAGGAATCATCCTTTTAGTTGACTAAATATCTACAAATACTTAATCGGTCTTTCACAATGTCTGTAACAATTGCAACAATGCTACATATAAATAAACAGAAACTTTTGGAAAATTTTGTATCGTGTTGAAATTAATATGTTTCCATCGTCAATAATAATCACAGAACATTCTACATTAGAATGACCGATATTCATTAAATATTAATAGGAAATTATCGTGCAATTATGTATCATTATGTTAAGAGCAATCATGCATAACAAGTGGATGTTTTATTTCAGAAGATACTTCACGCGTAACCCTTACTTCTGTATTTATAACTTCACGATCAATTCATGAATGACGAAGTTGTGTATTACGTCACCAATAATCCATGCATGACAAAGTTGTGTATTACGTCACCAATAATCCATGCATGACGAAGTTGTGTATTACGTCACCAATAATCCATGCATGACGACTTGTGTTGCGTTTTGCTGAACGTGTGATGTCATCCACAGCCATAATCAAAAGAACAAAAAATATTTTTTATCGAAGAATGAGGTAATAATTTCTCTTACCCGCCAGGTTGACTTTAAATCCCTTGCAAAATAACCGGTGTCAACACGCTTTGTGACAAAATATCCTGGATTCTAAAACATAAAGATACAGTGATAACAATCGAAAACCCATTAATTGATTCCATACCTTCGTGAAACCCATTGTGATTCTAATCACTGATAATGTGAACATATTAAGTGAGACCAGTCTTTCATAAAGGCATTTATACCATTATACATATTAAAGAATTTCTATTGAAAAATGTCTTATGTGGACCATTACAGAAAAAATGAAGTAATTTCATCTTAAATTGAATCAATCAAAATAGCATAACACTCTGCTACAGATAGGTACCATACCTTGAGAGATAATGGTGAGTGGATAAGAAAGAGATCGACATAGTCGAGTTGGAGACGGCGAAGACTCTCGGTACAGGCGGAATATACATCTTCCTCGGCCTGGTAGTAGCCACTCAACTGAAGACAAAAACACATTACCCAACTGCTCGTAACATCAGGGCGGGTTAATGTGCGATAACAGTTCTCTAGTTATGATAATGTGATACTGCTATGAGTTGAATTTTTCACTCGTTTATAAATATCAGTTTCAATAGAATGTAAGCTTTGAATATCTGATAAAATTCTCGTTGGTGATATGATTTTGATTTGATCCCGTGTACTCGTCCTATTACAAAAAAATATGTTGTGGATGTAGGTTAAATTAATCCACTTCTTGCTATATTAGCTAAATATGTCCCCTTTTCCATTCATTGATACACTGTGTCTATATTATACAAATATTAAAAATACGTCACGAACTCCACTGCAACCTGTATAACAATACCTTTGATGTGATGAACACGTCTTCTCTTTTCACCGCCCCGTCCTCAAACGTCCGCTTGAGTGCTTTTCCTATCTCGACCTCATTTTGGTAGGCAAATGCAGTGTCAAAATGCCGATACCCTTTCTGTATCGCTAGGCAAACAGTGTCTTCTAAAATATCTTTGGGAATCTGTCATGAAACAAAATAATGGAATATAACGTTTAACACGGAGAGAGCTAAGTTAAATGTATACGAAAATCAAATTGTTGAGAAGAAAAAGGAAACAATGAAAAGGTATCAGATCGTAAACACAAGCATAGCACAAATAGGTTTTAAAGGGAAGTTATGAAATGGCAAAATAATCAGAATTATCGCACGTGACAAAAGATGTAATGGGTTAATCAATTTCTGTCATGCACTATTTCCCACACAACATAATATGTTCTGATTGCTTTGCAGGAGCCATTAAATAATTCAGTACCAAATATTATGGTCTTGGTGAACACACGCTTCAAATTACAGATTGAAGCTCGATGCTTAAGAAATGGTACATAGTTGGTTTTAGTTTCAGTCATTTTAAAAGTTTTAAAATATTGTCAGTAGTCATGCAAACATTTTTTTGCTTTGCAGGACGCACAACACACGCTTCACTTGCAGTTAACATGCCATTTTATATTATATCACGTAAGATATTACAACCTTGCAGAGCAAAGGGATTTTTGCTGTGTTTTTCGCGTCGAATTCCTGTTAGAATAGATGACGTTGTCAGCATATCAACATTAATATCAAAAATAAAAAGTTATATACAGCACATGTATACCCGAGATGTGCCCAGTCCTATCTGTGGGATCTTCCTGCCATAATTCAATGTCAGCTCCTTCGCCATATCAGTCTATGTAAAGGATGTGTAACACAAGCAGTCGCTGGACGTTGGGTTGTAATGGACCTGGATAAAAAATGAAAAGCCCAGAATCAAATCTAACTGAATAAATTAAAGCATGAGGGTTGATGTTTATAAAATTTTGGAGGATAATATGATATGAACATTAAGATATTGAAGAGTAGCAACATTATCAAGGTTGGCTTTGAATAACACACGACAAACATTTTTGTCAAATTAAAAAGAAAAAAATCCTAAGAAAACGACGTAAACCTGAAAAGGCCTGACTTACCTCACTTCGCTTTATATATAACAGGATACCTTGATAGTGCTTTAATCACAATTAGCACTGCCTTCCTGATCATAGCATCATGAAATTATGACTTTAAATACCATACCATGTAATATTTGATAAAGCAGCTCTCATTTGTTCTCACTTAAATTTTCCAACGGATGGGTCATTCCCTGCCAGCGTGGTGTTCTCAATAGATGGATTTGGAAGACTACACCCAATAATAATAGTTACAGAGAGGTATAATGGTTAATAGTTTGTTATATTCAGAGAGGTATGCTTTATCATTCACTAGCAAAATGTATATGTTATACCAATGAATGATAACACAAACCGCTACATTTCTTAGATATTGAACGAGTGATTTACATATGAAAATTAAAATTGCACAGAAGTCAACATAAACTTTTCAATGTTATATAGATTTGCATGGTAAAATTATATTGGATAATAGTGAATATGATTTCATTATAAATACCACCAACAATTCACTATCTTCAGACATTTGAACACATCTTATATGTGTCTTCCTGTCATGGGGTCACAGGCTTTGTGTATCTGTCGGTTTCCACAGATAAAAACATGGAGCCTCCTAACTAATTTAGGATATTGATCTGGTATTAGATCTTACTTTAAGAGATCTGTATGTCCCCAGTTTATTCCCGTTGATAAATATATTGTTAAATGTGGATTTCAACAAATAATCAGCATCACATTTGACAATGAGTAGATCTAACATGGAAATGTTTTCACTTAATGGCAGTCTGATATCTGTCTATGTTATCACAATATAATACATTGTCACCCGAATATTTGTTATGCCCCGATGGTCATCTATATGGCTATTGCCCAGGTATGTAAATTTTCTATAAATATTTATATTTATACCACATAAGTGTGGGTCCCACGAATTGTTTTGTGTAAAGGCGTTAAGTCTTGCTTCCATTTGGACACTCAGTTTCCCACGTAGCAGGAAAGCTCTCTGTATCATGAATCATAAAAGCTATCTATGACATACTTCTACCTCTAGGACCTTATTGAATTGGATACTACCCCATTTTATATACTAGAGTGTCATGCGTAGCTCAGGTGTATCTGGTATATACAAAAGTCAGGTACTAGTGTGTATTGTTATATAGGTACTTAGTAGTACGTTACTCACCCATGCAGTCCCACATATATCGACGACACAGGTAAATTGACCTTCGTACCGTTGTAGTACATCCCCTATTTCTAATATTGACGCCGCGTTTTAACAGTGTTACATTAGTATTGATTAGATACCCCCCCTACCACCACCACCACCAAGTCATTCATCTACTTACCGTTACGATATAACGTACCTGTGGTAGAAGAATAAGGTGGTCGTCACTAGAATCAAAGGATGGCGAGGGAAACGAAACTAAATAACCCGGTGACTATGCGTTATATTTATATATTCACACACTCAACACTATTTTATCAGTGTACCGCTACGAGATAACCACCAAGTAACACAGCTACAATAAGTAGTGTTAAAATGTAGAGATATTCGCTTTTCCTCGAGCAATTGTGGTTTTCCACTTACGCAATTATAAATCCGTCGACAAAAAATTAAAAAAAACCAAAATCAACATGTTTTTGTTGGTGTTGTTACTTCACACAGCTCCGTTTAGATAATTGTTAAAATGACGATGGATCAGCCATCAATTATACATTTTACATTTTTTCATCGAACACAACGTTTAATGTTATAAAACTAACTGGCTCGAATGCCTCCGTTGGCATCTCACCTGGTGTTGTATCACCTTGAGGTGCCCGTCATTCCGGAACATCTACATCAGGATCCTTACACAAACATAATTCTTACTTTCTTTTTCGTATGTTGTTTTTTATTCAGTGTCTACATTTGTTCAAATTTCTAAAATTCATTTATAAGACGGCGAAAAACATTTACAGTGGAAAAACAATCTGCAATTACTATACTAACATAATAAGTAAACTATAAAATTAGATATGAGTATAAATACATCACAACCTTCTTAGAATATGTTATTTTTTGTTATAGTTATCACATGTTGTATACATAAATTAATATCGTCTATTCTGCAAACCATAAATTCAACAAATTATAAATATTGGACATGACGTGTGCGCTATGATAAAAACACAGGCATATATGATAATTCTTACTTACTTTTTTATTTTATCTTTTATTGTTTGTTTATTTATTTTCTTCTTTTTTTTCACACTTTTTTAAAAATCGGAGTACCTACATAGATCCGCTCCTTGAAGCCTATTGCAGACTACGCTATTGCTTTAAATAATTAAATTCTGTCGTAATTGTATAAGTTCATCTATATTCCAGAACCAGAGTCAAAAATGTATCCCGAAAGGATAATCTGGATGGTCTTCATTCCTGCAAACCAAACAATCAAAGAATTGAATTATTCAAGATAACCATGACAATCAGTAATACCCGTTTCCTTCTTTTATATTCAGCACATTTGCATAATATCATATGTGTTATCGGAAATAGTATGCTGTTAATTTGAATATACACTGTGTTCAGATTACTACTAACAGGCAAAAACCTAATTAAACATTAATAAGAGTACCAGAAAACCTTACTTTTGTTGCCAAAAGTGTCGTGTCTCGTCCTCTAAACTTGATATAAGTCGAATGTCTTCAACGCTTAGTTCAAAATCGTACACCTGGAAAATAGTTTTAGATATTTCGATTGTTGTAAAACATGGCGTAAGTACAAAGTTGTCTTTAGATCAAGGATTCCAATATTCAAGTCATGATAGATATCCGAACAGTGATGTCACATTAAAAATAATTCAAGTTGCATGAAATATGTTGAATTATGAAGCATTGAGAAGCCTCTTCACCTTGGTTGCCTTCTGATATTAGATAATAATTGCTACTGTTTAGTCTAACAAATGTATGCATGACAGTTGATAAGGAACATTATGATCAGTCATTACCTGTAAATTGGAGGTAAGTCGGTCAGGATTGGTTGACATCGGAATCGCGATTATATTTCTGTCTACTAGACTTTTGAGTAAAATCTGCAACATATCGTTTGGTTAAGAAGTTATCACACCTGTTGAAATTATCATTCCGAAAGTATAAACAAATATGACTAATGATCTTCCTTTGTTGTTAGTTTGTTTGTATTATAGTAAGGAAATTTGAACTAAATATCTACTATCCATGCTCACCTGGCCTGGATTTTTTCCGTATTTTGTTGCTAGTTTGAGAATGACAGGATCTTTCAGTAAGGCTACTTTATCCTCGGTGTATCTACAACAGATACATGACAGCTTGGAGGATCAAGATAAAAGGAAAGTCCTTTAACATAACGTTATGGGAATGGTGACCGTGATGTATTGTTAGGAGGAATTTCAATGGGTATATTGCAATGTCTCAACAGATATCAAAATCGATTCCAAATTAGAAACGGTAATAAGGAATGAAATAATCCATTAGCGCCTACTTCATCATCATCATGATTCTGATGAAGTCCAGGATATAAGCTATTACCTCGGCAGTGATTGAGGGTGGCCAGGGGCACCCATAGGGGCGTACGCGGTCAGAAAGATGTTTCGTTCTTCACAGAACCGCTGGAGTTGGTACTGTGGGAAACGAACGTTAAGTTCGACCTGAAAAAAATAACGAAGTAGTGTCCTATGTATTTACATGAAACACATTGGAATATTGAGGAAAATAAATGTGACATTGTTTGGCACTGCCTTCTATTGAAACAAGCTTTTCACCTGTATCTTTTGTACAACTCCTTTTATAGGCACGGCTTAAAATATATTAGTTCAAAATATATCTACCACCTTACTTATACTATAAAAAATAGTCGTTTTATTCTTAGGTAAATGGACAAGTGTTTTTTTTATTTTAACTTATTTTAAGACTCCCAGGAATCTCTGGTTCTGACACTAAATTGTTACCTGATTGATAACTGGTTTAATTCTTGCCCCGTCGCAAATGTACTCAATTTGTTGTGAGTTGAAATTAGACAGGCCTATCGATTTTGCCTTTCCTGCAAACACCAATTCCTCCATGGCCTGAAAAAGACAATACTACTTTCTGCTGTATATTAGGTAATCATAGAAGTCCTGAGGGACTTACAGCTTTGGTGTGTATTATAAACATGACTTTAGGTATAAAATTAATAACACTGCAACAGGAAGCCTTTTAATGTCTGTCTTTTTATTGTGATTTTACGTAAAATGATCTAGATAACCATATATGTTGTTAAAAAACGGCAATTGCAAAATTGGCTTTAAAATAAACGGTGTCTTCAAACAGACTCGTGTCATTTTGATGAATTCTTACATAACGCCTTGGATGCCACGGTCTGTACAATAAAGTGAAAACTAAAACAACTTTAATATGTATATCTTTTAACATTTGACACACCTTTTCATTGCTGAAATTCGAGTCGGTATATACTTATTATAAAATTATCTACTGCAATATATTTCACGGAGCTCACAATTTTTTTATCCTGGAAACCCCGAAGCAAAATTAAAACGAGACCCCAGCAAAATTAATGATTTTATTGTATACCGTGTATATTCATTTTAAACGCATAACGACAAATCCAAAATAACACAATAAGCTCTTCGTCACCCTCCGGAGTATTACTTATTCTCAGATCTTTTAGAAACCCTAGGTAGAAACGGAACTTTCTTTGAAGTTGACTGTGTTATCATTTGAGAACGTGACTTTACTTACTTGGTTTGACCAAGATTTATATAGCAATTGTCATAGCTAAGGCTAGAGACACATAACCTTGCAAAACTTTGGTCTTGGTAACTTGGTACATTTTTCAGGGTGTCCGCTTAAATTTTTCTTTTGTTCATTCATCGCCTTCGTTTCATAAATTTCTGTAATTGTTTTTGTTTTTGTTTTTTTAAACAAAGGTCTGTTGTTATTTGTAACGAGGAGTTCTGTCTGAATGTATAGTAATCATAACAGACAATACAGTTAAGTGAATAGGAAGCTCTCATCATGTACTGTTTTCAGGGATAACCGACTCTAAGGACTTTTCTCTCAATATTACTAAGTACATGCAGATATTCTGTAGCTGAAAATTTATAAAGATACTGGACTATGAGACAACATTATAAACAAATAGAACAAATGATAACATACTCGCCATGTTGTCTTCAAGTCTCGTTCCAGGTAATCTGTTGCAACAGGTTTCGTAGAAAAATATCCCGGGTTCTGTAAAGGTGTATAGACAAGGCGGTGTTTATGGAGTTTTAATATACATGAAAGTCAGGTAGCACGAAATGAATCCCAAGCTTTTTACGACCATATAAGTCATGCCAGTTCCTTCCTTCTCGTAACAGATGAACTTGGCAGTAAAAGACACCTTAACATTGTTTTTTCCCGTTGTGGAATTTTCACGTTATTACTTTATATTTCACGAAAAAGACTGGTGTTATACTTAAGTTACTATAACATTTGCGACATTTTCATTTTTTATCAACATGTAGATCATTTACCTACCTCGGAAAGCATCGATTTATTTCGTCATTTTAACTGACCATGATAAGAAATTGATATAGCAACTCTAGACTTAGTCTGATAGCATTGTTTCTTGTCAAGTAACTAGAAACAGACGCACGAAAATCTTATTTACTTAGAGTGTGCAATGGGGAATGCATCAGTGACATTTACCTTTTCTGACGATTAGTATCGTGTCTGAGTTTTCTAACGTTTAGCATCGTGTCTGTGTTTTCTAACGATTAGTATCCTGTTTGAGTTTTCTAACGATTATCGTCGTGTCTGTGTTTTCTAACGATTATCATCGTGTCTGTGTTTTCTAACGATTATCATCGTGTCTGATTTTTCTGATGATTAGCAATGTGTCTGTGATTTCTAACGATTAGCAGCGTCTCTGTTTTCTAACGATTAACTTCCTGTCTGTGTTTTCTAACGATTAGCATCGTGTGCGTGAAAGAAATTTAGAGAGTAATAGGAAACGTTGAAAGTGTTTTAATGGATGTTGACGGATTCAACAGCTTGGGTTTTTTATAGAGATGGAATGAAAACCTGGCGAGATAAAGGCCAGTGGATCAGAAATAGATCGATGTAGTCGAGTTGTAGACGGCGGAGACTCTCAGTACAGGCGGGACACACGTCTTCCTCAGCTTGGTACTGGTTGTCCAACTGAGAAAAAATACACACAATAATGAAACATGTCTAAACAGCAGGTATGGATATCACAGGAAAACAATGATGGAAGCTTTTATTCATATAACAAGGTAAAGATCACGTCTGAAGTATATTAAGGACAAAAAGAATAGCTTCTGACAATCTGCATGTCGTATGTAAGCTCAGGAGAAAAAAAATCTTTTGACTTATAAATTCCAATGAGCATTACGTGACAATGAAATGAATCTAATTCAATATGTGATATGTCAGATACAATTAACCATTATAACCAACAATTGAATAGAAATCAGGAAGGAGGTTTTAGTACAACCTCTCAACCATGCATACGACAGCATATTTGACAGGCGGCATCTATTTATAATTTCCGTTTTCTTTCCATATTTGTCTGATTGTAAGGCTACCCTCGTTCTATATTTGTCTCGTAGTTTTGTTACCCTCGTTCTATATTTGTCTCGTAGTTTTGTTACCCTCGTTCTATATTTGTCTCATAGTTATGTTATCCTCGTTCTATATTTGTCTCATTGTTATGTTATCCTCGTTCTATATTTGTCTCACTGTTTTTTTCTGCTAATTCTCTCTCCAAATTATTATAATATTACGTGCATGAGATATAGAACAATAGCGCTTACCTTTGACGTGATAAACACATCCTCCCTTTTCACAGAACCGTCTGCAAACTTCGTTTTCAGGGCGTTTCCTATCTCGACTTCATTATAGTAAGCAAATGCGGTATCAAAATGACGATATCCTTTCTTAATCGCCAGGCAAATGGTGTCTTCTAAAATATCTCTTGGGATCTTAAAGGAAAGAAAATGAATACGAAAAGGTTTGCTGATTTGAAAAGAAAAAAACGTAAATAGAAAACCAGGAAACATAAAACCTGAAAACAACAAGAAAATACCAAAATTTGAACTAATCATCAGAACACAAATTCAACCAAACAAAAGAAAGATTTACACTGACACTCAAACTTTTAATAATCTCAAAATAATGTGAAGGTAAAATAATACATTCTTAGATTTCGTTATTTCATTGATAAGACACGTGTTCCTGTATGTTAATTAGGTCACATCATCGAAGAAAATGTATAGAAATTATGATTTCATTCGGTAGGAATAATATGTTGATGGTAAATATATGTACTTATATCACAGCCAAATTCAAACCTTTTGTTGGGTGTTAAATTGAATATATTATCACCTTCATCGACGACAGGTAAAACGTTATTTATTAAAAGAGATTTTCTTAAAGATGGACTCCAGTGGTTTATTTTGTAGTACTCTGCATTACATATGATCTGTATTTGTATCCCGTTTGTTGTAAACTAAGTAACAACAACAATCTGTGATATATAGGCAATCAGGTGGTTTTGAAAATTTGTGATGCCCCTGTATCACCTTCACATAACGTATATTTAAGTAATATAGAGATGGTGTAATCCTATATAATAATGAATTGGAAGGTATAGTGCAACAACTTCGTAGTTAGTTCGTACCCTGGATGTTCCCAGTCCAATCTGGGGAATTTTCTGTCCATTTCCCAACAATATTTCCTTAGCCATGCTAACATGGACTGGCACAACGAGTAACGTGTAACAGCACAATTGGACACCGACGCACACAGGTGCTGCTTCGTATACCAAGGTGAGGGATTAACTGTGTAAATAAGTTCAGTTCCTTCTTAATGAATTCGGTAAATAAGTATATTTGTTATACTAAATAATTTATCATACAGGAAGATATGTTAAGGTCAACCTTTTTTATTCGATTCTTCGAAATTCAATATTAGATGAAAATATAATTTTTGATTTCTTCCTTAATCAGATTAGGTTTGTAGAAAAAACAAATAATTGAGAAAGTCAGAAAGTAGAACACGATCACTGAATAACGTGGTCAATTTGGAAATCAAATTGTATAAAAATATTACAAAAATGACATCATTCAAACCTTAAATAACCTTACCAAAACTATCGCCACCACAAAGGATCAGAATCTATATCAAGTGACTGACCTGAAACTCCGTCATGGTGACAGGGTTATGATTACAGAGACAAAATGAAAATAAAAATATGTATTTCTACGTCTTATCTACACCAAGGTTACTGTAGATTGCTTCTTCAAATATGTAGTATATATTTCATTGCTGGTGTTTAATTTCTCATTATGAATAATTATTCATTTTACCTGCAGATCTTTTGTAGCTCGCTTTCCATACCTACCTTTATTTTACCTGTGTAGAATGAAAATTGAGGACGCCGTTAAAAGCAGAATAAACAGTTTCAGTATTAACTAGTCACCAGAGGTGGTACGTGTTTTAATTGTTATCACAAAACTATCTACTACATATCAAGGGGTCGACCCAGTTTTGTGATAGCAATCATATCCTACACATGTATCTACTGATTTCATTTGTAGTATAATGACTTTAAGAATGACCTTTGAAATTTTAGATTGTTTCAGAACCTACGTCTGTCGTGGCACTTTATGATCGATATTGGAATGTATGCTGTCAAAGATGCTTGCAGATTCATCAATAAATCCAGGTCGACTTTCATAACTTTGTAATTAAGTTATAACAGTCAAGAGAATAATCGTTTACATTTTGAATATTTTTCATGCAAGCTGTAACATGTTCACTTGTGTTCATCATAGGACCTGTCGCATCTGTAGTGAATATCAAACACGCTGAACACTGTTCCTTGTATCATTGATAATACCCGACTAGAGCATATTCTGTTCGGTTCTACATTCCTAGTAAATAAAGCACAACTAATAAGGACTGGGTTATTACTTTATATTTTTTATTATCACAAATATTGAAAGATAATGTTAATCTGTAGAACTTTCATAGTAATGACGGCGTATAATTATTGGGGATACATTCTTCTATTTGTGAAATAGCTTGTGTTCACTTGCATCTCGCTTCCAGACTTCATAAGTTACATGGCAGTAAAGGTAAATGGATTAAATCACATCAATTATAAAATCAAAAAGTCGAATTCTATCGTTAAAGAGTACAAGGATATGATAAGTCACAATATGGCTACCTCACTGTCCATCTAAATGTAAATTGAGGAAATGTCTGAATCATCGTAAAGCGCCAGTTATCATCCAGACGTATTGAAGGTGTTGAACATTCGGACGTGCACAAGCATTTACACAATTGTAATGAAGCGTCTTTCTAATCGCGATGGTGCATGTTAACATATGATTGCTTCCGTTTTTTCTAGACATGTCTTACAGAAGTTCTGACTGCAAATTTGATTTGTTTTTTTTTTCAGTATGAATAGCCTCTGTCGAAGTATTTTGAATAATTAAGATAATAATACAGTTGCTTCATGCCTTATCAATCACCAGTCAAATATTTTGCCACTTGAGCCTAATCCGATGACCTTTTTTTCCTTCGGTGGCCAAGGAGAACAGTTCATCGTGTTGACCCCAACACCAGTATGGATATGTTTGACTGTCGATTGATAAGACATCAAACAATTGTATAATATAGAGGTAATAAACCATTCTATTAACAATTAAACTTACAATGCAGAATGGAAGAAAGATAAATCACTCTGATTGATCCAAGTGCAAAAAGTCGATAGGGTATCAGAGCAGTAGAAAATAGTTCCAGTTATAATTTTAAGCATTGTCACCGAATTCGAATTGTCGCATTTCATTTTCGTTAGGAATGATAATATATCATATTTGGCTGTGCATTTATGATAGTTTTTACATCATAAGATAAATTGAAATAAAATAAAACAAGCAGTCTTAACTCTGCGGAGTAGTAATACAGAATACATGAATATCATTATCCATGGGAATGTGACAACAGGCGTAAAGGTAACTTCCTAGATCGCAACTTTTAAAACAAAATAATCCATTCAAAGAACTAAGAGATAAAAAAACTAGAAAAGCAAATTTGGTATATCTAAAGAAAGTTGTGTGTAAAAAACTAACCGATGTAGTATCATATACATGATACAATAAGCGGATATGATGATGATACTACAAAGGAATGTGTAAGATCCTGGTAAGTATGTCATTGACGAAGACAACTACAGGGGACGTGAAACATGACGATGAACAACAGCAATATGTTTATAGAGGTGATAGAGGTGAAAAGTTTAACAGCCGTAATCACATACATACCAAGTGGGGTGTAATCAAGGTCACAGACACGTTTGTAGTGTCTGCAAGTATAAGTGTATATTATCTATTTATACTAAATACTAATTAAATGTTACTAAATGATGTACATATTGTATGAAATTGATTTAATTGTACCTCACGATGACCTCGTTTTAACTGATGTACAACTTTACAGTCATATGTTTCTTATAGGAATCATACATGTACAAACAAGGATATTTCTGAGGTCCTAGTATGTTTCCTCTTACTATAATAAAAACGCTTAATGCATTAAGGGTTGCAAATGATACCTTTAGTGTCTCATTTTTATTTTTGAATACAATAAGCGTACAAATGTAGCAGTCGCACTGATTAATGTAATCATAACAACATTAAGCGTCCAAATTGTACTATTGGCAAACTAAAGCTGTTATAAAGTCAATTCAATCGGAAAACATGGTTATTTCTTCCGAATAAAGGGAGACATAGTGTATTAATACAATTCTGCTTTTTCTGCTTCGTCTCGTTCAATTTAACGTTCCAATATTTCTTGTCCAGACCGTAACTTTTGAACCAATGACGATATAAAGGTGAAACGTACTTGACATGGTGTATTGACGTTGTGGTATATTTCGCCATGGTGTGTTGACGTTGTACTATATTTTGTCCTTATTTGTTGACGATGTGGTATATTGTGCCATGGTGTGTTGACGTTGTGGTATATTTTGCCATTGTTTGTTGACGTTGTGGTATATTTTGTCCTTATTTGTTGACGTTGTGGTATATTTTGCCATGGTATGTTGACGTTGTGGTATAATTTGTCATTGTGTGTTGACGTTGTGGTATATTTTATCCTTGTTTGTTGACGATGTGGTATATTTTGCCATTGTGTGTTGACGTTTTGGTATATTTTGCCATGGTGTGATGACACTGTGGTATATTTTGCCATGGCGTGTTGACGTTGTGGTATATTTTGTCCTTGTTTGTAGACGTTGTGGTATATTTTGCCATTGTTTGTTGACGTTGTGGTATATTGTGCCATGGTGTGTTGACGTTGTGGTATATTTTGCCATGGTATGTTGACGTTGTGGTATATTTTGCCATGGTATGTTGACGTTGTGGTATGTTTTGTCCTTATTTGTTGACGTTGTGGTATATTTTGTCCTTATTTGTTGACGTTGTTGTATATTTTGCCATGGTATGTTGACGTTGTGGTATATTTTGCCATTGTTTGTTGACGTTGTGGTATATTTTGCCATTGTGTGTTGACGTTGTGGTATATTTTGCCATTGTGTGTTGACGTTGTGGTATATTTTGTCCTTGTTTGTAGACGTTGTGGTATATTTTGCCATTGTGTGTTGACGTTTGGTATATTGTGCCATGGTGTGTTGACGTTGTGGTATATTTTGCCATTGTTTGTTGACGTTGTGGTAAATGTTGCCATGGTGTGTTTACGGTGTGGTATATAGACTTTTAAAGCGTTCTTGAAAACTAATGAAAAAAAACTTTCCCAAAAATACATAGCAGAAAATGAAGGCTACTCACACTCAATTAAACGAATTAAAATCTCACAGAGTCGATATCAGGACAAGCGGTATAAAGGTTTGAAATCGCACACAAAGGATATTAACTATTAAAGATGGCGGTTGAAAATTGTGGGAGTTATTTTAACAAGTGTGGAAGGAGATCGCCAGCCCGTGACGGTAACTACCATCGTAGAAATCATCACTATGACTTAATCATAATTCATCCTAGGAACAATATACGAAATCTTCGTTCTTACAAAATGACATTTTTTTCCCTCCATAATTTAACATATTCCTCTGAAGGTGTGCTGCTCATATGCATTTTAAAATTTTGATATTTGCGTGCTCTCCGCCTTTCCAATGCGCAGTTAAACAGTTTATATACGAAACACCTGCTGGGGAAAATGCAACTGAAATTGCTTATTTCTTTCTACATTGCCGTACCTTGTAATCATCCATCCAATATTATCATGAACAAAATTAATTCAGTTAAAAATGTGAATATAACAACATTTCAGATAATAAAACGATCGACCAGCTAATATCATGTTATAAAAACCCATTTCCCTTTACATTGATATCTACTCTATATATCAATATTCCATACCTGGCCAGCGTTGTTTATGGTCCTATTATGATTATTTAATCATGATGTTAATTCAACACTACACAACAGGTATGTTATTGTGCCTGTAGATGAGGCGTCCAATTTCTGGTTTTTCCAGTTTCTGTGGAAGTTATAAATCTCATCCTATACAACCAAAAAAATTACGTCTAGCAAGAAAGCGTAACACCGACTTCCATAACGTGTTCTGTATGGCAGACCATTGAGTTCAGCATGTCCTAGACTACTATAAATTGGACCAAATCCAATCGAACCTATATGTGAAGAGGTATCTTTCTTTACCAGTATAGGCAGTTCTGTCAGTAAGTACTTTTTATACATAACAGGCCTTTAGATATTAACATAATAATGTATAGATATGTTACTGTCACTAAAACGAGCACTTAAGTCATTCTTTACCCAAAACCATATTGTATGTTTTCATTTGAGGAAATTATTTCAAAGATATCTAATATCATTTATTATTCACAATATCTACGTAGGTCGAATAGGACAGTGTGGTTATGTTGGATAGACTTAATGAAGCAGTCACCATGCGTTGTCCTAATTCAACACTCAGTAAGTAAGCTAACAGAGTTTTTAAATAGAGTTTAGACGTAAACACTTTAAAATGTTTGAAATTTTAAAATAAACCAACCGGGAATACTTGACATTTTGATAACGTGAATTTTCACGGGCTCTATATACTTGATAAACATATATTATCAAATTTTATGAAAACATTTTGCATGATGTTTTATAACAAAGTCATTGAAGCATGAAAGAATCTGAGTTTATATTATCAATTCACCACAGTGTATTGATATTTTCACATATTATGGAATCAATTCTACATTATTCAAGAGCACGATAACAGGAAGTGATATTGAATAACTTACAGCAGGATGAAGTTTTCGAAATATAGGTAAACCATCATAGTTATTGACACGGACAGTTCGGGTTACTCATTTCAGGAATTTTATACGATTTGGTAAGTTTGTAAAATACTTCGTCTTGATGACTTTCTTACATGCTAAAAAAGTATGTTTTTAACTGAAAGTATGTGCTTCCATATTTCAGCTTGGAATATGTCATACATATTTGTATTTGGGAGATTCACTCAATAACTTAACTTTAGAACATTCGCTAGTGTTAAAATGGTATATTTTGGAAGGTTCGCTTAGCAGGTGGGAAGATCTCACTCATTGAATAGTTTGAGAGCGTTAGTTTAGAGAAAATCGTATATATGAAAAAAGATGCTGATAATTTTCACAACCCAAATGGCATGAATCTTCACAATAAAATGAATATACGTATTTATTGAGAAACATAGGAAATACAAGAATGTATACGAATCCGTTGATTAAGAATATCTGACATCTTCTACTTCCTCTCTGGTTATATAGAACACCTACCTGGTTATTTTCACACAATAACGTAATGATAAGTCATTTTTCTTAATTCCAGTTGAAAAGGAGTAAACATGGCGTATCGTCTTACATTGAACAGCGGACACCTTATTCCACAGGTAGCTCTGGGTACATCAAGGGTAGGTTATTTTTATACTTTATTGTTGATAGCAAATATAACAAATTTCTCGAATTAGTGTGTTTATCAACATAAGATATAATTGTGTGTCGAGTTAAGGAGAAAGAAACCACTACACTTAATGTCTATATACCATTTTATAGAAAATATTAATATACTGTACGTGAGGAAGGCAATCACTCCCCTCACTCACGTATATTTATGGCTTTCATTTGCGATTCTAAAATCTTCGTTTCCTATAGATAACGAAAGCGACTTGAATTCTTTGTTGCCACAATCCGTCATTAAGAGGTGTTTAATATAGAGTTTTGATTTATTATGTGTGCAACCCACAATTTGAATGGTCAAAAAGAGATTGCACCACCACAAGTTCCGTCCAGACGTCCTTCAATCTTGTAACATCTCGGACCAAATATCATCAGTTCTGTTGGGATAAACATACTCAGGTTTCTCCATTGCTTCCTGACGGGAAGGGTTATTTCTTAATATTTTTATGCTCAAAGGTCGAAAGCCAAATTCTCCGTCAGTGCAGATTGAGAAGGGAATATACAGCAGAAAATTATATCTGCTTGTTACTAGTAATATTTACTTATGACACAATGAAGCACATGCTGAAATCTAATGAGAAATCACTTGACCACTGGTCAAGGTCATCAGATGAAGCGTCAAGATCAATTTTGAAAGAAAGAAAAAATTGCTGATATGTATTTTGACATAATGATGCGTTATTGACTGTAAACAAATATTCAAAGACAACTATTTTAGGTCAAACATATCTTAATGGCAAATATTATCTCATGACAAAATCGATAATTATAAGTTCAAATAAAGTTAAAAATGAAGTTTAAATTTGAAATATTTACTTTGTGTATCACAGGCAACTTACTTTTGTTTGTGAAGAAATAAACAAATTTCAATTATCAATGTAACATTCAGATTTTAAGTCTAACAAAAAGCGGGGTCCTTCCAGAGGTGTGCCACGACCCTCTGTTCATTGAGTCAAATATATGTTCGACGTTCATCCTGATTAACGACGCTGATATGCAGACAGTAATTCAATTTACAAATTATAACGTATAAATTATAAGCCTATTTGTAGATTTCAAAGGATAATGTAGAAGTCTGTATAAATCGAGCATTAGAGATGGGATACCGTCACATAGATACAGCTGCTTACTATGGAAACGAGATAGCCATTGGCAAGGCACTACAGGAACATATGGAATCCACTGATCTGGGTCGGGAGGATGTATTTATCGCAACCAAAGTAAGTACACTGATAAAGTTTAATGAAGTCGATTTGTTAGTCCAAATACACAGTGCTTTATGTACGTATTTAATGATTTTGGTTTCTCTTTGACAGTTATTTCAAACTTTCATGACCGGACATGCTGTTGAACCAGCGTTAGATGAAAGTCTTAGGCGACTAAGACTGGATTATGTTGACATGTTCCTTGTTCATTTCCCATGTTCAATGAAGGTAAGGCAATACTATTTATATGTATTAACTACGGAAGAGAGTGATACATTTATAAAATATTGATTAAAATGTATCAAGAATGTACTCCTTTTGTGAGAAGTAAAAAAATTGCAGTTTTGAAAATTTGTTCTTAATATGTCAGATTTTAGAATGTGATTTAAAAGTAAAGGATCAATATGATGTTGCACTTCTTTTTTCGACACCCAATTTTCAATATCTGGATAGCAACATCCCTGCTTCTCCATCTTGGATTGATCAAGGTTTATAAGACAAGTGTCATCGATGAAGCAGATGGTGCTCGTTCTACAAGATTACCTTGTTTTATTCTTTTTAAGAGTATTTCTTTTGTTTGCATTTTGCACTTTTCTTTTATTGAATTTGAGTTTGGGTTGAGATATTGTTTAAATGTTGGTATTTTCTTGTTGTTACCGCTTAAACAGGACATAAATCTTAAATTACGATTGCAGACGGCGAGTGCGTAACGCACAAAAACATTGGTAGAAGTAATGTGTTTATGATTCATTAAGGAATATACATCATACACACAAGTGATAAGCACTTTCAAATATGAATTTTAGAGTCAAATAAAGTAGACACAAGCAATGAATTAAACTGGATTACAAGGAAAGAAAGATATATTCATAATTTACTGAAAACAATGGCAGAATTTTACAATAAAATATTAATAGAAGGGTAATATATCAACTTTACAAATGATTGCGGCAATAGTTTTTAGCTTCTATAAATCACTTCTGCTGGCTAGATGACAGCGCAAGAGGGTTTAAACTGCGAGAGGAAACCGAAAAGCCCTGGGAAAACCGACATATTCCGGAAGGTGACCTTTTCACACCATGCGGAGAATCGAACTCTGACTACTTACTTACACTCAAAGTTAATTGCAAACAATGGTGCAAGAATACATTAATATTAGATTGATAACATTGGTAGAAAGATACATATTTTACTCAAAACAAAGGATATATTCATAATGTATTACCTTTGTAGATGATGGTTAGTCCAATTGAAAAAATCACTCTGCCTCGTATGAACAGAATTTTTTACCAGTTCGTGTCCAAAAAGATGATACTCGAATCTGTGCCTCTTGTCCAGCAACGAATGTCATTACAGAATGGAATAAGTTTACAGTACATGGGATTAAAGGATTTTTAGTGTTTTTTAATCGATTAAAAGGAAACTGCTAGGGGTACCGACATAATAATACTATTAACAGTGTAATGAGACAGAGACAAGGGTAAGCATCGCCTGAATCATTGTCGTATTTTATCATCAATAATGGGGTACAATTACGATCCTCACTAGAGTGTTTCTTTCATGTCTTGATTTGACTTAATAATCGGCTACAATTACAATCGATTAGTGAATGGTCAAAACAGGTTTTCAAAATTTTATGCAATAACGAATGTTTGTGAAATGAATTCATTTAGTACAGCATTTCGCTGAAGAATATGACTCTGACTTTCTAATACTGAATAAATAATTTTGAAATAAGTGACCACGAATATTTAATGAATTATATTGAAAGGCTGGCTTTCTCATACTGAATAAAAAATTGTGAAATAGGTGACCACGAATATCTGATATAAGGAATGCGTTGTTTCTTCTTAATATCTTCTCTCCTATTTATCACACACTAGATATATAATTAATATAATCGATTGAATTCATCAATATGAAAATTGAATGAAAAATTCAGAAATTTGAAGTGTCAATGTTTTTAATTATCGAATAAAATTTAAACTGGCATACTGAAAGCAGATATTTTTCAACTTATCTGATTTGACATTCTGTTACAGAATGATGATGCTTACTGTGAGAAACAAACAATTCCTAGGGAGAATTTGTCAGTTGATTTAAGAGAAACATGGAAGGTAACTGTTCTGTTTTAAATATTGTAAGCAATCAGTAACAAATTGATAAAAGTATACAATGAATATATGTTATCGAAATTAACTGTTTCTGACGCAAGTTGTTTTAATGTTAACAGGCTATGGAGGAAATGGTTTATAAGGGGAAAACGCGTTCAATTGGAGTATGTAACTTTAATTCAAAACAGCTAGATTACATTTGTGAGGGAGCCCGCATACTACCAGTCGTTAATCAGGTAAATGGTCGTACTTTTAAAACGTGGAAGTTGCATTTTACGGCAATATTAATAAGGTATTGTACCAATTTCGATTTAGCTTGAACTGTTCAGTAGTGATGTTTTCTTTTAATCATTAAGATAATTATATGTCACCATTTAACTTCTAATACAAAACAACTGCAGGTTGAGGTGCATGCAAGATTTCCTCAGAAGAAACTTCACGAGTTTTGTAAATCCAGGAATATCCTTCTTGAAGCGTTCAGTCCCCTTGGTTCTCCACACTTCAAAGGACCGGCCGAAATAAAGTAAATCAGAAAGAGCTCGATAAGAAGTACTGTAAACTCCAGATGATCCTCCATTAGGTTACTGCAATGATAAGTATAGTGGGCAAATATCCATTACATATGTTGCATATATAGTATAGAGCGCATTCTTTCATTCTTCCAGGTTCAAAGAATCAGGCAGGGTCATATCTAATCTTAATTATTGCTTCATAATTTTTTATAAGATTATGCGATGAATGCTACTCAAACATTTAAAAAAATACTCATATGGCTTCAGAGTCATATTCCAAACTCAAGTTAAATAAAACTGGCTAAATACCAAAAAAAAAAAAAAAAGATGCATACAGATATCCATGAAAAAAACAACAGTTCACCAGTTCTGCTTCTTCGGCCACATCCGCCATGTAAATTTAAGTGAAGCCAAGTAATGTTACATCCCAGTTGAGAACACGGTAAAAAACAATGGAACCACCAGGCATACTAACAAGCATGAAACATGTCCAGTATACTGTTAAGGAAAGTGAATAGATTTCAATGAGAGCATTATCACAAACTCAAAATATTTTCATCATCTTCATCAAACTGCATCATTCGAAACCCTGTGTGGTGACTTTATTCGTCAGTTGCCGACTTCTTGCATGAGAATTTTGATTTTTAGAACAAGCCTTACAACATCGAACAGACTGCAATAAGTAAAACACTGTAGATTGGGGATGTAGGGATGTTGCTAGAATTGGAAATTTTACAATAGGGAAATGGAAATCATCACACCGCTTGGTAAAAATCCTGTTGATTAATCTAAATATATATCTTCTTGTAATTAATCACACAATCAAATTGGGCAAAATCTCATCATCATCAGGACCTATGCCAAAAGAAAAACCTTACACATTGTAAACTTGAATTGAACATGATGAACTAACATTGAATTTGTTATACTTCTATACTCCCTTCCACTTAATCGCTTCCAAGCTTAAAAGTGAAAGATGTGTTCTTGAGTTGACAGGAATTATTACCAGTTTTAAATTGCTCAAAAGACGCAAATGAATAACACCTTCTGATACAAAGTAAGAAAAGTTACAGTGGAGCCAAACAATGAATTTAGCAGCATCATGTAGTTGGTTTTTTCTATTAGGGCTAGTCAATGATGCTAAGGGCCTACATTAAAAAAAAAAAAACCTTGACGCGAGTGAGTGAAATTTCCAAAGTAATCAAAAGAAATGTATAAACCTTAAAGTCCAACAACAATGTCTGGATATTCCTGCTTTTTACTTCAATGTTAATTTTAGCATTACATCCTTGCTTGTGGTCAGAAATGTTTTTATCTTAACTTGAAATAAGGGTAAGGAGGTACGCTTACTACTGGATGGAATTTCGTAGTAATTTCCCCTGTCTCATTAAAACTGTCAATAACATTATTCTGTCATTTTTTATCTATACATGTTATAGAAAAACAATGTAGTTGACAAGAAAAAGTTCATTTGGAAAGTTAACAAGAATTCAAATGGATTATTTACTTTTCCTTCGAAAATTATCAACATCTGTTTATCTAATATGTATTATTGTCAGTATCGCTCATGTGTTACAATAACTATCAATATGTTTTCTACACCTATTTACTATGATTAGTATACGATATGTGAAAAAAACATTTTGTCCTAGTAACATATTCTGATTTATAAGACAGACTTCAATATTATATATAATTGAAGAAAAAACATGCATCATATATTGACTCGATGGTATTTAACAGTGTAGTACAATCGTCGGATAACTTGGTGGAGAATCCTATCATAGTGGACATCGCCGAGAAATATAAACGTACACCTGGACAGGTAAATAAACATCTGTAGAAGATCAGTCACGTGTCAAATGGCAGATAAATAAACATTCATAGCGGATCTGTCATGTGCCACTTAGACAGGTGGGTATACATTTATAGAGGTTCTGTCACGTGTCACATGGCAGATAAATAAATATTCACAGAAGATCTGTCACGTGTCACATGGCAGATAAATAAACATTCATAGAGGATTTGTCATATGTCACTTAGACAGGTGGGTATACATTTATAGAGGTTCTGTCACGTGTCACATGGCAGATAAATAAATATTCACAGAAGATCTGTCACGTGTCACATGGCAGATAAATAAACATTCATAGAGGATTTGTCATGTGTCACTTAGACTAGTGAGTATACATTTATAGAGGTTCTGTCACGTGTCTGATGGCAGATAAATAAATATTCACAGAAGATCTGTCACGTGTCACATGGCAGATAAATAAACATTCATAGAGGATTTGTCATGTGTCACTTAGACTAGTGAGTATACATTTATAGAGGTTCTGTCACGTGTCACATGGCAGATAAATAAATATTCACAGAAGATCTGTCACGTGTCACATGGCAGATAAATAAACATTCATAGAGGATTTGTCATGTGTCACTTAGACTAGTGAGTATACATTTATAGAGGTTCTGTCACGTGTCTGATGGCAGATAAATAAATATTCACAGAAGATCTGTCACGTGTCACATGGCAGATAAATAAACATTCATAGAGGATTTGTCATGTGTCACTTAGACTAGTGAGTATACATTTATAGAGGTTCTGTCACGTGTCACATGGCAGATAAATAAATATTCACAGAAGATCTGTCACGTGTCACATGGCAGATAAATAAACATTCATAGAGGATTTGTCATGTGTCACTTAGACTAGTGAGTATACATTTATAGAGGTTCTGTCACGTGTCACATGGAAGATAAATAAATATTCACAGAAGATCTGTCACGTGTCACATGGCAGATAAATAAACATTCATAGAGGATTTGTCATATGTCACTTAGACAGGTGGGTATACATTTATAGAGGTTCTGTCACGTGTCACATGGCAGATAAATAAATATTCACAGAAGATCTGTCACGTGTCACATGGCAGATAAATAAACATTCATAGAGGATTTGTCATATGTCACTTAGACAGGTGGGTATACATTTATAGAGGTTCTGTCACGTGTCACATGGCAGATAAATAAATATTCACAGAAGATCTGTCACGTGTCACATGGCAGATAAATAAACATTCATAGAGGATTTGTCATGTGTCACTTAGACTAGTGAGTATACATTTATAGAGGTTCTGTCACGTGTCACATGGCAGATAAATAAATATTCACAGAAGATCTGTCACGTGTCACATGGCAGATAAATAAACATTCATAGAGGATTTGTCATGTGTCACTTAGACTAGTGAGTATACATTTATAGAGGATCTGGCATGTTGTACATGGGGAGGTGAGTAATCTTTATCCTGTAATTTATTATAACTGAGCGACTTTGAGTTTGACCAATTTAAATGAAGCATTACAGATACAGGGATTACTACTGAATTTAAGTCTGATTCACCCTGATCCATACGTATTCTTTAATCTATAAGTAAAGAAAGATAACTCTCAAATAGTATATCAGAAAGCTTCAATGATAATCCTTAGGTAAAGTCAGCTGCATTTACAGTAGTATGCTGCTCAAAAACATTGTTATGGCTAAGAAAAAATGTATGTCATAATAGTATGTATGTACTGGGTGACTTAAAACAAAATGTTCGTTTTCAGAAGCAGAAAATAGTAGTCACTTTTGTAAGATTTCTTTTTTCAAAGATTCTCCTTCGGAACCTCGTACAAAGGGGTATTGTTGTGATTCCCAAATCCGAAAATCCAAAGAGAATGAAAGACAACTTACAGGTACGTATTAAAGGTGCCAAGATCAATTGAAATGTGTTAAACATCTCAGATATCGACACAACATGTAACTCAAATGTGATGTGTTAAACATCCCAGATATCGACACTACATGTTACTCAAATGTGATGTGTTAAACATCCCAGATATCGACACTACATGTTACTCAAATGTGATGCGTTAAACATCCCAGATATCGACACTACATGTTACTCAAATGTGATGTGTTAAACATCCCAGATGTCGAAACTACATGTTACTCAAAGGTGATGTGTTAAACATCCCAGATGTCGACTCTAGCTCAATTATGATAAATTAAACATCACAGATATCAACCTTAACACCAAGTATTTCTATTTGGTAATATTCTCTAACGACAAATATTCCAGATTTAGATTTAATAGTGATGGGCTCGATTACAAAAAATAATGGATAATATGATTAATTGTGTTGCAGATTTTCTCATTTTCCTTGAGCAACGAGGAAATGGAGAAGATAGACAAACTTGACAATGGAAAACGTCGGTTTATCTTTTCATGGTAACGTATAATTACGTGTGATACAAACACGAGATATGTGTTGATGTTTTCATGGTAACGTATAATTACGTGTGATACAAACACGAGATATGTGTTGATGTTTTCATGGTAACGTATAATGACGTGTGATACAAACACGAGATATGTGTTGATGTTTTCATGGTAACGTATAATTACGTGTGATACAAACACGAGATATGTGTTGATGTTTTCATGGTAACGTATAATGACGTGTGATACAAACACGAGATATGTGTTGATGTTTTCATGGTAACGTATAATTACGTGTGATACAAACACGAAATATGTGTTGATGTTTTCATGGTAACGTATAATTACGTGTGATACAAACACGAAATATGTGTTGATGTTTTCATGGTGGTGATAATATAAATATAACGTTCACAGGGTATAACGTGTAGTAACATACAATGTACAAGGGATGGTAGGGTATCACATAAGTATTACATTGAAAGGATATCACATAAGTATTACATTGGTAGGATATCACATAAGTATTACATTGGTAGGATATCACATAAGTATTACATTGGTAGGATATCACATAAGTATCACATTGATAAGATATTAGTGTTATACTGGAGGGATATAAATCAGTGTTATAATGGTAGGATATAAATCAGTTTTACTACACTAGGATTTTATTTATTTATCACATTGATTGTATATTATATACTTATTCTGTGGGGGACAGGTGTTATAAATCAGCATCATTGTATAATGGCAGTATAGTACCGAAATACAACAGGAGGGATATAAATCAGTGTTATGGTGGTAGGATATCACATAATAAGTATTACATTGATAAGATAATATTGTTATACTGGAGGGATATAAATCAGTGTTATAATGGTTGGATATCACATAATAAGTATTACATTGATAAGATAATATTGTTATACTGGAGGGATATAAATCAGTGTTATAATGGTTGGATATCACATAATAAGTATTACATTGATAAGATAATATTGTTATACTGGAGGGATATAAGTCAGTGTTATAATGGTAGGATATCACATAATAAGTATTACATTGATAAGATAATATTGTTATACTGGAGGGATATAAATCAGTGATATGGTGGTAGGATATCACATAATAAGTATTACATTGATAAGATAATATTGTTATACTGGCGGGATATAAATCAGTGTTATGGTGGTAGGATTAACTACAGGTTACACAGTGATAGGATATTGATATAAAATCAGGATATGATATTGCCCTTGTTTTTATAATGATAGAATGTATAATGTGTAGTGATGATTGGACATGTGATTTTACCATACTCGTTAAGGACATGATGACATTTTGGGAATACCTATTCCTGGAATTTTATTAGCTGATGATATTTGCTTGATATCTTCGACAAAATCTGCTCGAAGCGTCACGAACATACGCCTTCAAATGCCAACTAAAATACAACGCTACCAAGAGTGCCGTAATTATGTTTAACAACAGAAATAAATATGTTAACTATGATGTATTGGGAAGTAAAATATTATAAAAAAAAAGAGTAAAAATGCAAAGACAGAACATTCTAACAATTACAGAAGTCCTTTTACTCCCTTCGGGATATCGGTCTTCGATTTAAAGATATTACACCCTAGAAATACCGAACATGTGCAAAGAACTCGCCTCTCTTGTCAAACTTGGTGCTCTACCGATTACCGGTTGAACCTGCGGTTCTTGTGAACAAACTGTTGATGACATTGTGAACCATTTATTTATAAATTGTCGGATATATCCTGATGATAGAGACTGTCTCACAACAACAATAGCGAATGCACTTCCGGTTGTTCAGAGCGTTAGTATTCTAAATGATGATGACCGATTTATAAATTTTATACTTGGAGGAGAAACTATGGCGTCGGAAATTAATCTCGATCACTAGATTTACTTATGACTGACCTGCAAAGAAAATGAAATCTGCACTTCTGCACTGGTTGCAGCGCCATTATACATTATATACAACTCAAAAATAGGAGAAAGTGACTCTTTAACAATAATACCATTGTAACAGTTTAATGGCTAACAGCCAAACCATTACTCGTACATAGTTTCTTTTTTTATTTTCTAATTTTCTACAATCGCATTTTGTTGAATCAATATTCACATGTTAGCGGAAATAGAGATATTCAATTTCTTAATGGTATGATAATCATATCATAATGTTATGATTACGGAATATAACATTGACACTGTACACATCAGTCTAATTCAATTGAGACGTAACGCAAGTTTCAAATCATATCAGTTTTGTCCTCTCAATAATATGTCGCATAAGTGTTACATATAAGGATGATATGTTACATGACATTATTACATTAAATCTGTGTTAGATATAATGATAATTGTGGCATGAACAATGTAATGCTAGGATGATTATATCTGTGTTAGATATAATGATAATTGTGGCATGAACAATATAATGTTAGGATGATTATATCAGTGTTAGATATAATGATAATTGTGGCATGAACAATATAATGCTAGGATGATTATATCTGTGTTAGATATAATGATAATTGTGGCATGAACAATATAATGCTAGGATTATATCAGTGTTAGATATAATGATAATTGTGGCATGAACAATATAATGTTAGGATGATTATATCAGTGTTAGATATAATGATAATTGTGGCATGAACAATATAATGTTAGGATGATTATATCAGTGTTAGATATAATGATAATTGTGGCATGAACAATATAATGTTAGGATGATTATATCCGTGTTAGATATAATGATAATTGTGGCATGAACAATATAATGTTAGGATGATTATATCAGTGTTAGATATAATGATATTTGTGGCATGAACAATATAATGTTAGGATGATTATATCAGTGTTAGATATAATGATAATTGTGGCATGAACAATATAATGTTAGGATGATTATATCAGTGTTAGATATAATGATAATTGTGGCATGAACAATATAATGTTAGGATGATTATATCAGTGTTAGATATAATGATAATTGTGGCATGAACAATATAATGTTAGGATGATTATATCAGTGTTAGATATAATGATAATTGTGGCATGAACAATATAATGTTAGGATGATTATATCAGTGTTAGATATAATGATAATTGTGGCATGAACAATATACTGTTAGGATGATTATATCAGTGTTAGATATAATGATAATTGTGGCATGAACAATATAATGTTAGGATGATTATATCAGTGTTAGATATAATGATAATTGTGGCATGAACAATATAATGTTAGGATGATTATATCAGTGTTAGATATAATGATAATTGTGGCATGAACAATATAATGTTAGGATGATTATATCAGTGTTAGATATAATGGTAATATATGAAATCAGCAGTATTATATCGTTGTTGAACGTAATGAAAATATATTTCATTACAATTATAATATTGGGTCCTATAGCTGATATATAACGCATTAATGTTAAATTTAATGAAAATGTATTATCAGCTTTATAACGTTACAACATTATATCAGTATTTTTAGGTAGAACATGAATCAGTACTTTGACATCCATCAATATGATGGTGATGAGATAAAACGTCGATATTACGATTGAGATCAACAGTCTGATGATGTTATATCAACCAACACCACCAACATATTTATCAGGCGTTTGCTTTCAACATAAATCTATCATGTTTTCTTTACTGTTTTTCCAGGTTCAGTACACATCCCGAATATCCTTTCAATGAAGAATTTTAGAACAACGTATCTTGTTTTAAACTGAATAGACGCTCTTATCCCTGGATTCGATATTTTATACATATTGGACCATTTACAAGATAAATAATCATTTAAAACAACGATTACTGCAGAAGATGTATCAATTTTCCCACAGATTACAACATGATGTACAATTGTATTTCTTTTCCATCCTGCGAACGCTTTATTCGCAAAACTACTTTATCTCAATTTAGACATACCTGGCGAATGAAAGAATTTTTGTCACTCAGAAAGAGATTTTATTAACTGCAACAAAAGCGTTAAGTTTTTCATATTACAGATTTGTATTCAAATCGTATTAACATATATATAATATCATTCCATTAATTCTGGATTACAAACTGTTTGGTGTTTCAAACGAAGGCTTTAAATAATGTCAACTGAACGCTGAATACTGGCAGCGTTGTTGTACTTATTATACCCAGACGTAGGATATAGGAACCATTATATCTATAACTAACTTTAACTAATAATGAAATATTGATATAACATACCGAAACCAATCTTATTACTCTGAACGTTTGCTAGCCAACTTTGCTGCACATGTACATATTGAATACTTACCTTATCTCAACTCCATGGTGCAAAATGTCTCCATATGTTTCTTTATATGTATATACACTTTGTTGTTTTCATTGCTTTTGTTATTGGAATGCATTACATCCGAGTACTGATCATGTATACAATTTTTGTGAAACTTTTCATTATTCATCTGATAATTATATTTGAACTCTCAAGCGTAGAAGGCGCTGTGTTTAAAAGTACTTACCTCTCCTACGTATCTGGTATTACCTGATGCCGAGTGACGTAATAAGCCACCGAACTCTTACCGGCGCCTTCTATGACAAATCCCTAACATTACCCTTACACAAACGCTTAGATCCAATTACTGTACTGGCAGTAAACCTGGTACTTAACTTTGGATGGAAAGCCTTACCCATTATCACTTGTATCTTCCTATACGGTATAGGTGTAATCACTAGAGGTCCTAAAAAGGTACATCCACATAAAGTAAGTCAGAATTGGTATGTCTTAATTACTTTCATTTTACTATTAGACATTCTTGTAGTCTTATATGATCTTCTTGCTCAATGTGGAGATGTAGAAAGCAATCCAGGTCCAACTACAGCGGACGAACACATAAGTGTTGTTCACTATAACGTGCAAAGTATCCTTCATAAAATCGATGTATTGTTTACTGAACTGAATACTTTTGACGTGCTTGCGTTTACCGAAACATGGCTAAACCCCTCAAACGAGTCGTCTGATGATCTCATTCACAGCCATTTTTATCCACCTTTTTGTCAAAGCAGACAAACGCGAATTGGTGGCGGTGTCGCGATCTATGTTCGGAAAAACATCATTGTCAAACGGCGTAAAGATCTCGAGGTCAGGAATGTTGAAAGTGTATGGCTAGAATTACATTTGAAATCTCATAAACTGCTACTTGGCACTTTTACCGCCCCCGAAACATCAACGACCAAACTTGGAATTTAATCCATTACTCTATAGAACTTGCATTTAGTACAGGTATTACAAACATTCTTATTACTGGTGATTTGAATGACAATATTCTATCCACGAATAACAGTGTAATTAAAGATATTATGAACCAATTCGCTTTAAAGCAGTTAATAAATGAGCCAACACATTTCACAGAAACCTCAAGATCCTTACTAGATGTGTTTCTCGTTAGCAATGATGGTATTGTTGAACAATCCCATGTAGGTGATCATTTTCTGAAAAGTAATATAAGGTATCACTGTCCTATATATGCGTATCTGAAATTCAAACGCTCACCGAACTGTAAATGCACCAAACGTCGTATATGGTTATACAAAGATTGCAATTTTAACAATTATCGTGAGAAATTAAATAACATTACCTGGAATGATACAGAAGCATTGTCTACAGATCTCGATGCAGATTATGTTACAAAAACAATTACTCAAATAGCTTCAGAGACAATACCAAACAAATGTATCACAATAAGAAAAGCTGACCCGCCTTGGATGCACAATAATATACGTAAATTGATCAGAACTAGAAAAAGAATTCATGCAAAAGCCAAGACTACACAGAACCCACTTCATTGGGAAACATTCAGAAAAGTAAGAAATACATGTGTTGATGCTATTCGGCAGGCGAAAAGTAATTATTACAAAAAAATATCATCTTACCTTCAAACCACTCCTAACTCTTCTAAAAATTGGTGGAAAGTCTTGAACTCATTAACTAACTTTTCATGTAAAACTACTGACGTACCTATGATCATTTATAATGGTCAAGAGTACATTGATGATAAAGATAAAGCCACTATTCTTAATGACTACTTTATTCAACAGACCGAACTTAACGACTTACATCGACCCCTTCCAGTTAATCATGACAATATTACTATCATACTAGAAAATATTACTATTACACAGCAGGACGTCTCTGATGCTATTAGTATACTTGACGCGTCTAAAGTACCTGGGCCTGACTTAATAAGTGGGAAATTTTTAAAAGAAGGTAAACGTCAGTTAATTGGGCCTCTTTGTAGTCTTTTTAACAAATAACTGTCGAATCAATCATATCCCGAAATGTGGAAAATGGCTAATGTTATTCCTATATTTAAAAAGGACGACCCTAGTGTAGTTTCAAATTATAGACCGATTTCCCTTATTAGTATAATAGGAAAGGTTATGGAAAGGTGTGTTTTTAAACATGTGTATAATTTTTTACGAGACTCTTCTTTTTTCACCGAACACCAGTCGGGTTTTAGAAGAGGTGATTCTGCTATAAATCAACTATTGACTATTACAAATGATATTGGTGAAGCTTTAGATTGTGGGAAGGAGGTGCAGGTTATTTTCCTAGATATAAGTAAAGCTTTTGATAGGGTGTGGCATAAGGGTCTCCTTTATAAATTAAACAAAGCAGGCATAAGGGGAACGCTATTAGGGTGGTTCAAAAGTTATCTTTCTGATAGGAAACAGCGAGTTTTGGTAAACGGTGAATTTTCAAACTATGGTACAATTAAAGCTGGGGTTCCACAGGGCTCTATTTTAGGACCCTTATTGTTTCTGATTTTTATCAACGATATAGTTTCTGACATTGCTAGTATTATAAAATTATTTGCAGATGACACTACCCTCTATCTCGTAGTAGACAACGCTATTAACTCAGCCAACGTATTAAATAATGACTTATGTAATATTCATGCTTGGGCTAATCAATGGCTAGTTACGTTTAATGCAAATAAAACAGAGTCGTTACTAATCAGTAGGAAATCTTCAAAATCTATCCTTCCACAACTTTGCATGGATAACACAAATATCAATCAAGTAATAACACACAAACATCTAGGTGTATATATCAATGAAGATTTAAGTTGGACTAATCATGTTGACGGTATTATCTTGAAGGCGTCCAAAAGGTTATCTGCCCTAAGGAAGCTCAAATTTGTTCTTGACCGTAGCACGTTAGAACGTATATATCTCTCATATATTTTGCCGATCCTTGAATATGCTGATGTTGTTTGGGATTCTTTGCCAATTGTCTTTATCAATAAACTAGAATCTATTCACAAGGAATCAGCACGGATTGTTACTGGAGCAACAAAATTGGTAAGTATAGAATTGTTATATAAAGATACATGTTGGGACACATTAGCAGAACGCAGGAAAAAACATAAGATTATCAAGCTCCACAACATGGTCTATAACCATACTCCGTCTTCTCTTTCTAATATACTTCCACGGAGAAATTCCGAAATACATAATATGAGAACTAGACAATCGAATCATTTATCTACCATTAAAACTAATACCAGTTTCTACAAAAACTCCTTCCTTCCTTCTACTGTCCATTTGTGGAACAATCTACCTACCACTATACGAGAAAACCCCTCTGTGTCTGTCCTTAAACATTATCTTTATAGAGACAAAGGTAAATCGCCTAGTTACCGATCCTATGGAAACAGAACAGCCCAAATATACCATTCGGGACTTAGACTACTATGTAGCAGCTTAAAAGCACACCTCTTTGAGAAAAACATTAGCGACGATCCTTTTTGTACATGCGGCTATATTGAAGACAACTTTCATTATTTATTTGCTTGTGAAAAATACACAAACATAAGAGAACAATACATTTGGGCACTCAATTATGATTTAAATACTGAATGTCTACTCTGGGGAAATCCCGATTTAACTATACAGCAAAACGAGGAAATCGTATCAGCTGTTCAAGAATATATAATGAAAAGTGAACGATTTGCATGATCGTATCCATTTCCATTTGTAAAAATAACTTGACTGTGCTTACTCTAACAACAATCTCGTTCTCAATCACTTGGTCACGATGTACTTTCATTGCAAATCTTGTACCTCTTACCAATGTAATCATAAATTACTTACCCATACTCGCTCTAAACTGCGTAGAAATACTATATTTGTCTTTAGTAGAATGTAGATATCCATTCACGCATTATTTACCAACGTAACATATACGTACTTTAACGGTATTCGCAAAGTACTTACATGTATCAGTAATATGAAATTTAGTCCCTAGTTAATATAATATACTTGCCCTTAGTATGGACATATTATATACTTATAATGATCTACCTTCACTACAAATACTGTACCTATTATTTTTTATGATTGCTATGTCGCCATATTGTACCATATTTACATTCTTACAAATGGCAAATATTACTATAACCAATGTATGCGTCAACTAGGCTTTAAATTATGATATATGTGCATGGCATAATGTATTTACATCTTTTGTGAAAATTGTGGGCCTGCAACACCTTGCTGGTAGGGCTATCCCCAACCCCTGTGTGCTGTGAGCCTACAAACTTATCATTATATTGCATAATGATGTTGTATAGTGTACTACACTTATATTCTTACAAATTGCAAATATGACTATACCCAATGCATGCATCAATTGGGCTTTAAAATGATGATATATGTGCATGGCATAATGTATTTATATTTTTTGTGAAAAAATTGAGAGCCTGCAACACCTTGCTGGTAGGGGTATCCCCAACCCCTGTGTGCTGTGGGCCTACAAAATTATCATTACAGTGCATATCTTGCACAACATTTTACTCCATGTGCATGTACAACTATCTTATTATGTACCTATATACTTTATTATTGTACTTACTATGTATCTATGCTTAATTATACCAAATGTTATGTTATATGTTATAATATTCCATACTCTCTGCACTCTTCAGTTCAGAGGTAATATAGGGAATTAAAAACAACTCATATCTAATTTGCACGCGACTACATTTCAAACACATGATCAGTACTCGGATTGTAATTTTATAGCTGCCACCAGCATTCCTTTTTAGTTGGACCACTCTGTCGATATGTGAATGGTATAACATTTTAGGAGATGGTTTTACATAAGCTTTAAGCTTGTTACCAAATCCTCTTAGTTAAGATTTGAATTATATGTATATCTAAATGTTAAACATTGAATAAAATATTGTTTAAACTAAATAATATTAGTACATGTAGCGTTGTGAAATCTCTCCATCCCAGAAAACATTAAATATGATTTTTTGTTTGGATAGTATTTTATTGGAAAATATATATAACAATGTAATACAAATGACAAAGGTGTGTCAATATGTCATGGACAGAATGTCGTAGAAACACAAATGTATTCAAAAATATATAAATCAATGAGAAAAATAAGAACTTTTCAGTATTTGAGAATTATAATGGAGATGGCAAGGTAATGATTCAATAGTACAGTCTTAAATCTATATCTCTATAAAAAGGGCTTTTCTCTGATTAAACAATACCATTGGAGGCCAATATATAAAGTAAAGCAACATTTGTACTATATTTGACAGGCAACAATGTCAGATAACTGTATAAAATTATATAAAGGTTATAAAAACACAACGTTAAAGCATATTGCGAGTTACAATTAAAGAATTCACGGTGTGCAATTGTTTCACCTTGACATTATAAACCACACACATATATATACTAGCCCTTTTGGCTTAGAGATAACTGAATAAGGTCCAAGCGAGTTATGCAGTATATATAATGCAGTACCAGCTGTGTGAAATCAGGAACTGCGGACCTAAAAGGAGAGGGGAAGCACCTATACTAAAGGCCAAAACAGTATATCCAGGAGTTAGTCTGTAACGAAAATGATATAAGAAAACTTCTTCAGAACTTGCATATATTCTAAGCAAACCACACTCTCGCATTTTCAACAAATCACTGAATTAAGCTATTTTCCCCATATTGAATTGATCCTCGTCCAAACTACATGATGTATTAAGTGGGATTCCTCAGGGAAGCTTACAAAACCCTATCATATTCGTTATTTCTAACGATATGCCGGTTTATAAAAAAAACTGGTCACCTCCTTACCGATGAAATATTAAAAATTAAGAAGATGTATATATTCTACAAACGGATTTTGATAAGCTCCGAAAGTGGTTAAAGATTCACGCTCTCAAATGCATTATTCTGAATATCAGAAGAACAAGATCACAGTCTATGAGGGGATGCCATGTACAGGATCAAAATGAAAAATTGATAACTCTTGAAAATACTGGAAGTGACGTGGGTGTATTAGTGAGTGAAAAACGGAGTTATCGTTGCTGCATCTAAAGTTCTATCAGGAAAGCAAACTCTATTCTTGGTGTAATCGGAAGATGTTCATGCAACTATTCAAATCGTTAGTCCGGCCTCGTTTGGAATATGCAAGAAGTGCATGGAACCAAAACAAACTGAAAGACGTTCAAATAATTGATAACAACTTTAAACTTAACAAATGTCGTTGTAACACAGAACTAAGATGGAATAGTTTTTTCCTTATAGAGTTGTTGATATGTTGAATTATCTGCCCATACAAACTGTAAATGTAAATACCGTTAGAGAATTTGAACATTTGCTGGATATACACTACCAGAGGGTATTTTTTACATTTAAAAATGGTGGCATGTGGAACCATCTGCCCGCACAAACACCGGTGATTAGAGAATTTGAGCATTTGTTGTATAAAATACTACCAGGAAATATTCCGTAAATTCTAGAATTATAACTTGTATTGATTTACGGGATAATGGTATCATATATAAACTTATATTTTCTTTGATATGTTGATATGGAAATAAAGGTTTTTAACCTACGTCCATAATTTCGCTATTGATAAAATTATCCTTCATGCGTCTTATATTCGTGTATATGTTTTGTTATCTTAAAGAACAAGAATTTATTTTCATGGTCTATGACATAGGTAGTTGTAAACAAATTTAAATTATTTGCACAACTTTTCAATAACGAAGTTATGAATGGAATTGTCGTAAATCGTTAAGCACCACATGTTTACAGATTAGTTGAATTCAGTGCGCGATTGTCATAAGCTGACTTTCCTTCCGGGGCGCTGACGGTGTCAGCGATTGTTCGACTTTTCCCATTACTAGGCTGGTCCCGGAAGTTGTGCGCGAACATTTTCTCTTCTGTTGTCCGATACCGGAAGCGGTACGTGAGGCAGACGATAAGCAGAAGGCCTATAAAAGTTGCCGTAGCCACGACGGCAATGATGACGTGGGTCTCGTACTTCTCACTCATGTTTTCGTATTTAGGCCCATTGTAGTTGACCAGTCGTACCACCTGGTCACGAGGTTCATCGCCATTGTAGATAATGCATACGTAAATGCCCTGACTTTCTGATTTGACTTTCTTGACCAGGAGGGCGTATCCCTCAATTCCATACATAGATTGTACTTGAAAGTGTGAATCATTGTGACTGTCAGGCAGTACTTCCTTGGATGGTATTGTCCATCGTCCTATTTCACCCTGCTGTATCATGGAAACACTATCGTTACAGTGTAGTGTTACCTCCGCATCCATAACAACAAGAGTACTCCAATTCATGTCGTCATCGACATTGTAGGAGATTACAATTGCTGGCAGTAGAAACCAGAGGTACCGCATACTTGTATATGTCCTGTGCAAACAGAAAAAATCCTATATTACACAACTTAATACCACGTCTTGCTGTGCTATCAATGTACGAATCATTTCTGCATAGAAAACAAATCTTCCCTCGTAAGCTTAATACCGCCCGAATTCTACCCACTGTGTAGTCTAACAACAAAGGGTCGTGTTATGAGAAAATGAAGTGTTTTTCCTGCTAAGTCTAATAGTTCAAATAGTGTATTAATTTTTAAAAAAAACCTGTTGAATAATTTATTGGAAATAAATCTTACCTTGTCAAAGAAATGAAAGCCCTGACAAACCGTTATGAGAAAGACTTTGAAAGATAAAGTGACGACATGATATGACATGATTTAGTTGGATTATATCGACTGTTGAACGTGCGGTAATTTGAACATGTAAACTAGACGATTGGTCAATTGTTAATATTTTGTTCAAGCAGGAAATAAAAGAAAACATAGTAAGTATCAAATGAGGCAAGATTTTCAATTAATCATGTACTTCGGTACATCTACAGATCAGCTCTCAGTTATGTCATGTTGTTTCTGAAGTAGAACGGGTGTCCATGTGGCGGTTTCTGTCTTATCGCCTTTTTTAATTTGCTGTGATATCGCTATAGCACTTGTTATCCCTGCACGTTCGGCTGCAATACTTATTTAGTAAATGCAGTTTGTTGATAATCTACGGACGACAATTGTCGGGCTCACATCGTTTACAATCTGATTAAAAACACACCATTCATTCCACCCAGAACTCTGTGTTCCTGTTAGTTCACGTAGAGTATCGCAGCGGAATGAAAGATCTGGTTTTAATTAGAATGCACCCTTTCAACGTTCTAGTCCGGACATAGGTGATACTTAAATTCTGAAATGTTTCCTGAAATAACGATACAATCATAAGTGACCTTTTGGCAAATATAGCTTTATGAAGGATTTGACAGATAATGCAACTAAATCAACTAAATTGTATAAAAATTGTATATATATATACAAACACACACACACACACACGCACACACAAACACACACACACACACACACACACACACACACACACACACACACACACACACACATATATATATATATCACAGACATTTGGGTAATATCAATTTGGCATTAGGTTAAATCTGGCTATATTCTTATTCGATGTAGTGAATCCAGTTAGCAGCCAATGCATAAAATGGCTGCCACTGACATTATGACGTCACAATACAGTTGCAATTGTAATATTATTTTCAAATTGACAATCAACTGTTGTTGTAATGGTACGGCGAAGGACATGTCGATATGTTTGTAGCCAATACTAAAAACACTGGTTACTCTACAATATGTTGTGTTAGTTTGTTTTTAATGCGTTTACTCTTTCGTAAGCAGGAAGAGATATATTGTAAAGTTAAACAGCAAGATACGTGGATTACGTAAGACAGATAAAAAGATAGTAAATCCTTAGACAGGTAAATGAAATATGTACCTTGTAACGTAATACTAACAAATACCACTCTGTAACAAAACACTGTACACAGGTCTCCGGGAAACGTGTCTGGAGGATCTAGTGAATAGTTAGTTAAGATATATATATTTCTGTTTCCCAGATTGAATAGCCAATTCTGAACCCTCGATATTTATCCACCGCCGCCAGGGGTTAGTCATGACTTTAACGTTAGATTGTATGAATGTGCCCCTCAGATTCAATTCGTACATGTATGGGGTCGCACGATGTGCGCACAATAACTGCACGATGTGTGCACGACAGGAAAACTGGACGACATTAGATATCGCACATCTATTTGTACGTTGTGCGGTTCTATCACACAGATATGCGATTCTATTGTGGTTGATACAAATTTAGAAATGACTTATAGATAACTGTGGGAGAGAGTTAATTCAAATATATTTCTTAATCAAGCCATATATCCATTGGATAGATACACGTAAATCTATATGATCGCTATTCATTTGTAACTTAACGAGTTTTCTTCTAAATTTCAATTGATAGTATTAGTCAATCATTTTATTAAACAACACAAATTGTGCGCTAGATGCGGTATAGTGAGTGTGTACGGACGATGTGCGAATGTGCGGACGAAGGTTTTGGTGCGTTGTGTGTTAACACAACCTGGACCAATTACTGGGTAATTTAATGTATCATGATACATAACGATACATCCTGAGACTTTCATCCTATCTGATTTAGCTGCCTTTGAATGTGCTGTTGTTGTTCTAGTATAGGACGAACATCTTTCACTTGAAAAATGATGAGGAATTATCATATCCAGATATCCATTATATAGAGCAATAGCGAAGGCGTATAAGGTACCAACTGTCAAGAAATCAAACAACGTTTGACTTATTGAATACTTCTTAGTCAAATACAACCTTCCTTCTATTGGTCAGTGTGTTTCATCACAGACCACACCAAGTCCTGGTTATGATTACAGATGGATAAGTGTACAATGGACGGTGGCTATGGTGATACTACAATGGAACCACCAAACCACTGGAAAAGTACTATAAATAACCTCAAACATTTCCAAAATTTGGGATCGTCGCGAGATGATACAAAATTCTCCTTTGCATCTTCTGAAATAATCGTTTTATCACTTTGTGTAATATCTGATCCTTAAGGAGACACAGGGTCATACCCCAACAGAACGTTAGAAAACTCTGTGCGATATACCTGTTCACATCTTTACGATACACCTGTTAACGTACCACGTAAACGAACCCACACCAAGAATCACTGGTCAGACAATCTGGTACAAATAAAACCCTACAACAAGGAATAAGGGTGGTCAAGAGAGGTTTCCCAACGTCATAATGTTTCGATCATTTTATAATGAATAAACATTCATTAATAGTTTTCTAAATCGAATTTCATATGTATTCTGGCGATAGAACCGACGTCACTGTGTATCTGTGAACAGATGTCACTATATCTGTATCTGTGAACAGACGTCACTGTATCTGTATCAGTGAACAGATGTCAGTATATCTGTATCTGTGAACAGACGTCACTATAGCTGTATCTTTGAACAGATGTCACTTTATCTGTATCTGTGAACAGACGTCACTTTATCTGTATCTGTGAACAGATGTCAGTATATCTGTAACTGTGAACAGATGTCACTGTATGTGTGAACATACGTCACTGTATCTGTATCTGTGAACATACGTCACTATATCTGTATCAGTGAACAGATGTCACTATATCTGTATCAGTGAACAGATGTCACTATATCTGTATCAGTGAACAGATGTCACTGTATCTGTATCAGTGAACAGATGTCAGTATATCTGTATCTGTGAACAGACGTCACTATAGCTGTATCTTTGAACAGATGTCACTATATCTGTATCTGTGAACAGACGTCACTATATCTGTATCTGTGAACAGACGTCACTATATCTGTATCTGTGAACAGATGTCACTGTATCTGAATCAGTGAACAGATGTCAGTATATCTGTATCTGTGAACAGACGTCACTATAGCTGTATCTTTGAACAGATGTCACTATATCTGTATCTGTGAACAGACGTCACTATATCTGTATCTGTGAACAGACGTCACTATATCTGTATCTGTGAACAGACGTCACTATATCTGTATCTGTGAACAGACGTCACTATATCTGTATCTGTGAACAGACGTCACTATATCTATATCTGTGAACAGATGTCACTATATCTGTATCAGTGAACAGATGTCACTATATCTGTATCTGTCAACAGACGTCACTATATCTGTAACTGTGAACAGATGTCACTGTATGTGTGAACATACGTCACTGTATCTGTATCTGTGAACAGACGTCACTATATCTGTATCAGTGAACAGATGTCACTATATCTGTATCTTTGAACAGATGTCACTATATCTGTATCTGTGAACAGACGTCACTATATCTATATCTGTGAACAGATGTCACTATATCTGTATCTGTCAACAGACGTCACTATATCTGTATCTTTGAACAGATGTCACTATATCTGTATCTGTGAACAGACGTCACTATATCTATATCTGTGAACAGATGTCACTATATCTGTATCTTTGAACAGATGTCACTATATCTGTATCTGTGAACAGACGTCACTATATCTATATCTGTGAACAGATGTCACTATATCTGTATCTGTGAACAGACGTCACTATATCTATATCTGTGAACAGATGTCACTATATCTGTATCAGTGAACAGATGTCACTATATCTGTATCTGTGAACAGATGTCACTATATCTGTATCTGTGAACAGACGTCACTATATCTGTATCTGTGAACAGACGTCACTATATATTTTAACTCCACAAGTGAGCACACTTCACGATTTGTATTACTTCCAAGGTACTGATGATTGCAGCTTAAATTATATAAACAAATGACTAAAGTGTTGTCGCCTTGGCACACCTTATACCGAGTTGGTGTGGAAGGCACGTAAATCAATGAAACGTTTCAGATAAGACATCCGGGTCCTACACCCATAAAATAGATATATATTACATTGAAAATTACACAGGCCTCTAAATAACATAAAGCTGCTGAAAGAATTATATCTGGGTTCTCATTTATACATATTTACTATAAACCACGATTTATGATTTTAATGTTAACTTGATTTGTGACATCAACGGTCTTGGCATTGTTAATAAAACGTCTGATTCAGAAGTGTGAATATAGATACTGCGCTGATTCACAACAATTCAAATAGGAGACAAAACACTTACCTAACGGTTTAAAAACTTCTCGGAAATGTTAACACCTGAAAAAATAAAATATAACAAAAATATGAGTAAATAAATTTATCAAAATATAGTAATACGTGTCTCCGATATAACTATGAATTGACACATTAAAAGAGTGGTTTCTTGGTTCATCGTGTTTAATGTCTGGTTGTCTTATAAATTCCATCATGCCATCTCAAGCCGGTCGTCTTTTTATGGCAAGACTGTACAAACGACATACAAGTGAATGTCACATTTAGAAAGTGATAGTGT